TCTGCCACCATCGACATAGGCCACAGGGCATCTACCCAGCCAGGCTGCAGACCACTCTACTGCCTGAAAGGCTTCCCAGCTTTCTGCTCTGCTCTGGATAAACCATGCTTCAGACTACTGCCTCTCCTCTCTACAAAGTTTGAACTCAGTCTTTTCAATAAATACCCTGATTAGAGACATTTGTATTCCACCCCAGCCAGATACTTCGGGATAAAAGCAGCAAATATTCTTGACATTAAGGAAGCCTCAGAATTCCTTCCAAAAACCAAGTCCTTTGAGCTATACCTCCTCTTTGCTCCCTCTCTCTTCTGCCCGCTGAAGAGAAACCCATAATCTCTCTTTCTCATTTTTGTTTTGCTTTATTTTTGGGGGACTTCATTTTCTCTAACTAAATTTAGAAGTCAGATGCCCCTGAGATTTTTTTTTTCCTGTGTACCACATGTTCACCTCTAATTTTGTATTTAGAGAGAAAGAATAGAATAAGAAAAACAGAAATAAGTAATATCCAATTCAGGATAACATTCTGGGCCCCAAATTATATAGGGTGTCCCCAATCAAATAATTGAGTCAACAGATCTCTCTCTACAAAAAGAATATACTCTGCTACTGTAATTCTTAGAGTAAATATATTCTTGCTTCTATATGGAGACTTGGAAAAGCAGAAAAGTAGTAGTTTTTAAAGAATATATTTTCTTGAGCAGTGAGAAACGTGGGATTTAGAGTGTGAAGTCTCATCTTCTGATCACTGGCAGTGTGAGCATTTCTGAGAGTGGAATCCTAATTTCAGAGTCTCTGAGCCTTCATTTCCTTATCTAATAATGGATCAAATCATACCTACCAACATCACAGAAGAGATGTGAGGATCACACGGTATTAAAGTGATATGCAAATGTTGAAAGCTTGTAAAGTTAATTGTTCCTTTTTTCAAATGTTATTGCTCTTTCTTTTTTTTTTTTTTTTTTGAGACAGAGTTTCACTCTAGTTACCCAGGCTGGAGTGCAATGGCGCGATCTCGGCTCACCGCAACATCCGCCTCCTGGGTTCAGGCAATTCTCCTGCCTCAGCCTCCTGAGTAGCTGGGATTACAGGCACGCGCCACCATGCCAAGCTAATTTTTTGTAGTTTTAGTAGAGACAGGGTTTCACCATGTTGACCAGGATGCTCTCGATCTCTTGACCTCGTGATCCACCCGCCTCGGCCTCACAAAGTGCTGGGATTACAGGCGTGAGCCACCGCGCCCGGTCTGTTATTGCTCTTTCTTAGGTATAATATGTTAATTAGTCCATGAAAAAAATGTCATGAATTTCCCTCCAACTCACTTCACAAATGTTTAGGTAATAAAAATATTTCTTTTTTTTATTACCTAAATATTTGTGAAGTGAGTTGGAGGGAAAATAAGATTTTTTTTTTCCTGTGGTCAATTATTCTACATTTTAACACTCATGATTTTATTTCATACAGGTAGCTAAGAATGAGGAATATTTGATACTTTGATTTCATCAATTAAAGAGAATTGTTCTTTAATTTTTTTAAAGCCTTTTAAGCTCTATGTAACATTAGCCGTTAGCACTTCTGATGTCGTATCTTTACCGATTCAAGACTGGGCACAGGAAGCAGACGGCAGGTACATTTGCTGAGAGCTGGAATCTGGTCTCAGCAAAAGTGGTATCACAGGACATAATTCACTTACACTGACCTGCAGGTGCTTTTGTGACAACATTGATCATCAGTATACATTGTAGTGTAGCAGCAAGAGCATGGGCTTTGGAATCACACTGACCAAGATTCAAGTCTGAGATGAGTTCTCGCTTCAGTTTTCTTTAAGTTGTAGGTAACTCCCAGTTTGCAGCATGATTTGAAGACTAAATAAGGAAGATAATAGTAAGTTCTATAGCAATCCTGGAACACAGACATTGAAAGTGTGTCCTTTCTTCTTGTCTGTGCTGCTTCCTTTAAGAACCCCTTCCCCTCCTTCACCCTCAAGGCTGATGCTCTCATACCTCCAGCTGAGTTTCCAGCCATCTTGCTCCAGCACCTTGAAGGTCAAGTCGGCAGCAAACTCAACTCACATGCTGCAAGTCTTCCATTTGGGAGGGTCCTGCCCTATAAGACTACTTCCTAGACACGATGCTAATTACTTGGTCACATGGTACATAAAAACGTGAACTCAAATCTGTGTCTTGATGAATGCCTGCTCATTCACTATGTGCCTATTTATCACAGAATGGCAATGACACCTTTTCCCAGAAGGAAATTTTTCTGATTTACATATATGTGGCTGATGCATGAAGTGGGTTTTATAAATCACTATGTCACCACTACCAAAAAATGTCCTCTAGCATTATTAAAAAGAGACTGTGACAAGGGCCCTATTAAATTGAATGGAAAGGCCATAAAACCATCAGTTCATTTGACATAAAACTGATATATTATGTGATAATGCTTCAAGTAGAAACCAAGACCCCATTCATCACACAGGTTGCTACACAGCTAGGTTCTGAGCTGTGTGTTAATGAAACCTTCATGCTCTACTCACACTGCAGATTGTAGTCTCCAGTCAGCATTGGGGACCCATACACCAGAATATGTTCCCACTGAAAATACATTTCATTTACTAATGAACTTCCTTGGGAGAAAGTTTATAAGTCTATATGACTGTTTTCTTGGATATTTTCCTTCCCATTTTCCTAACCTTTCTCAGAAGAAAAAGTTTAAGCCCAATTAAACAGAAAGATACATTTGAAGTAGAGATTTCAGAATATGCTTACAATGGAATATGCAGATAAAATAGTTGTTCAATTAAGAAACATATATTCTTTTCTAAATAAAAGTAAAATTGGAGTTGTAAACATGAACTAAGAAATGTTGGTTTTATAACGTAACTAGCTATATGACCATGATCTTCAAGTGTGATATGGCTTGCTCTGTGTATCCACCCAAATGTCATCTTGTAGCTACCATAATTCTGTGTTGTGGGAGGGACCTGGTGGGAAATAACTGAATCATGGGAGTGGGTCTTTCCCATGCTGTTCTCGTGATAGTGAGTGAGTCTCACAAGATCTGATTTTTTTTTTTTTTTTTCCTTTTTTGGACAGTCTCCCTCTGTCACCCAGGCTGGAGTGCAGCAGCACAATCTTGGCTCACTGCAACCTCTGCCTCCTCCTAGGTTCAGGCAATTCTCCTGCCTCAGCCTCCCAAGTAGCTGGGACTACAGGTGTGTGCCACCATGCCCAACTAATTTTTGTATTGTTAATAGAGATGGGGTTTCACCATATTGGTCAGGCTGGTCTTGAACTCCTGAACTCATGATCCACCTGCCTCGGCCTCCCAAAGTGCTGGGATTACAGGGATGAGCCACCGCACCTGGCCTGATCTGACGGTTTTAAAAATGGGAGCTTCCCTGCACAAGCTCTCTGTCCTTGTCTGCTGCCATCCATGTAAGATGTGACTTGCTCCTCTTTGCTTTCCACCACGATTGTGAGGCCTTTCCAATCATGTGGAACTGTTAAGTCCATCAAACCTCTTTTGTAAATTGCCCAGTCTCAGGTATGTTTTTATCAGCAGAATGAAAAAGGACTAATACAAGGTGCTAGACAAGGTGGGGCTCTATAAATTCTAAATTCTGTAATTCTAAGACATTCTTGGTATTTTAAATCTCTAGATGACTGCCATCATTTTCTGGTATTTTTCCCTCACATGTTCAGGTCTATTCTTATTACAGAAGAATACGTTTAACATACAATTACAGAAGCAGAGGTTTCAAATAGAGATTTAAAGTACCTTCAAAATATATTTGGACTGAAATATACAGGTACAATTGTTTTTGAGTCAGGAAATATTTATTCTTCCCCATGAATTAAACTGTGAATACAAACCAAAGAACATTGATCTCACAAGGTAACTCTGAATTCTTTTAAATCTGAAACCAGAGATATGTACAACACTTACAGAATTCACACAACACTATTTTCAAAATAGATTTTTTACCCCTAAAAATGAAAATTCTTAGTGACAAGCTTTAGATATGCAACTTATCCCAGTGCGTATTAACTTTGTCACAAAAAGCAACTACAGACAAATAGTTTTCCCCTCTTCTGACATAGAAAGTGAAATTACAGACTTTTAAAGCAGAAAAAAATTTTCTCCAAAATGCAAATGATTAAAGTACAAGGAACAAATGAACAGAAGATCTCAATTATTCAATTGAGTGAATAATTCAGTTTGCATATTAACTCCTTTTCTTACCACTTCCTGATTTCTGATTCTGGTAAAATTTATCCTGTATCTACTGGGCAAGACACTGGGCACACAAAGAAGTTTTAGAAAAGGTCTACTGGTGTGCTGGTAAAGGTTTAACAACTAGCTCTTGACGGAAAGGTAGGTCTTCACTTATAGCATTTACCAATTTCTACGGTATAAATACTCCAACTGTGGCAGATTTCAAGCTACCAACAATTTGTCAACTGTCTCATAAAACTCCTCAAACTAATGATTGCTGCTCATAAACCATTATAAGGCAGCTCTGACACACCACCGTATGCTCTCTACCTTCAAGTAGCTCATAATCTCTTCGTGGGTACCTATTTAAGAGGATATAAAAGAATGGGGAATATTGAGATAAAACTTAAGTCAATTATATTTTTAAGAAGGTTTTAAAAGTTAGAAGGGGCTGGGCATGGTGACTCATGCCTGTAATCCCAGCACTTTGGGAGGCTGAGGCGGGTGGATCACCTGAGGTCAGAAATTCAAGACCAGCCTGAACAATATGATGAAGCCCTGTTTCTACTAAAAATACAGGGCATGGTGGCATGCACCTGTAGTCCCAGCTACTTGGGAGGCTGAGACGAGAGAACTGCTTGAACCTGGGAGGTGGAGGTTGCAGTGAGCCAAGATCCTGCCATTGTACTCCAGCCTGGGCAACAAGAGCAAAACTCTGTCTCAAAAAAAAAAAAAAAGTTAGAAGGAATGCAAATTTGTGTGATTTTCCTACTTCTTTACTATTTCCCTTTTCCTCTTGCTTAAATTTATTTCAGGAAATTATAGTGTAGAATACTTGAGGGGAGAATAAAGGATGAGTAAAATAAGAATTTTAAAAAGACAAGAAAAAACATTAAAACATCCTAAGAAATATACTAACAGTTATCATGTTTCCATTATAAGAAAAAACCTACTAAGATAAGAGCAAATATAGTGTAACTATTAAAATCCCATCTGCTTCAAGCCCCTTCAGTTCAGTTCACAAGTCCTGAAGATCTGTTCTGACTTCTTTGGCTGCTGTTTTGATAAGATTAGCTGGCTTCTTTAACACTATATTGAAGAGCACACAGCTTTACACCACTTACACAAGCAGCTCATAATAAAAGGCAGACCTAAATTTTGGAGTCTGAAAACTGAGCTTCCCCTACATAGGCACCCCCCACCTTATATCAGATCTTGGGCAACTGCCGGCTAGGATGACCAGGGAATTCTTCTGGTAGCAAAACGTGGAGTCTGCAGGTTGGACATGTCCCCTGTTGCATCAACCATGGTCTAATGCACTAAGGAGCAAAAAGATTTATGTCAGTCTCTCAAATTTAGGCTAGCAAAGGCAGTTGTCACTTCTTCTGGTGGATCTTTAAAGCCTTACCCTATGGATTGTCAAGCCAGTTACTGCAAACATGGTCCTTCCTATGGTTTGCTGAGCAAAGTAAGTGGTAAATGCACAATACCTTTCAGCCAGTTTATTCTATTAGAAATTATTTCTCCAATCCCCATTTTCAAGATGACTAGCAATTCCTCCTGACAAGGAAATTAGAGAAACTTGCTATATTCTTCCTTTGGTTTATTATATACTGTTCTCATTTATAATCCAGAAAAAGTCATAACTAATCTATAAAAGTCACTCTAGTACCTGGTATGAAATGCTTATGTTTGCAGTTAAAATCCCTAAATGACAAATATACTTCTCAGATTGTTTTTTTTGGTGATAACGACAGTAATTTTTGACCATGAACTATCTGTTAAGTCATTTGCTTGAATACTGACTCTCAAAAACAAATCATTTTTACCCATATAAATAATGGAGGAACAGGTCAGATGAGAGAGGATTAATATTAAGCACTATATATAATAGGCCCACTAACTATAGTCATAAAAAATAACATAGATGAATTATGTGCTTTCTACTCATGGGCAATGGCAAAGAGTAAATTAAGTTTTGTTGAACATGTATTTTCTAAATTATAGGAGCTTATAAACTTCAAAGGGGAAAGTCAATGGCTAAGGATCTTTCCTGGAGAACTTTTGGGATTAGGCATTTTGTGGATTTCTCTTTATATCAAAGCAAATGTAAAATACAATTCTATACCAGGTATCACATATTATATCTTTGAAATGATGTCTTAAAAACATGGGTTGACTGAACTGGCTATTATTAACTTCCCTGAAAAGCCTTTCTTTTGTATGATTTTCTTTTTCTGTGTCAAATTGCATATCTGCAGCAGAGGACTTGGATCATAAATTATACATCAACATAACTGCACGGCAGTAACACCAGAAGTTAATCTATATAAATGCCAAGAATCAACAAAAGACATGCCAACCTCACATTTTTCTAACATCAAACCTCAAGCCTGAGCATCTTTCAAAAGCAAATATAGGAGCCTGAATAGACTGCTAAGTCTTATGCTTTATGATGGGGGCTGTCATTAATTATGGACAAAGGACACTATATGGTATTTATAACATGTCAATTTCAAGTGGTGCTGTTGCTAGTTCTGCCACTAAACTACCACGTCAATTGACATTTGTCCCAGTTCTATTCAAAGGAACTGCCTACTGTGTACTATCTGAATATCCACATTGTCCCCTTATTCTGTAGGATAGATGGAGATCTGAGAAAGCACAGTGCAATCCATGGCTATGTATGGGAAAGGCATGTTTCTGTGTGGCACCCAAAAGCTCAGTTATACTCAGTGGAACTCCTGAGACAACAATAAATAGTGATGCATGTATATGATAGTAAGTAAGGCATATAAATCTCACTTAGCTGATCAATGGGAAAATTTAAAGGGTTACCTGAGCATGGAATTTGTGAGCACAAGGCAAAACTGAAAGGTTTTCTGGAGACAGATTCTCGTGACAGATCACGCAAGGCTCTTCTTCCTCCTCTTCCTCATCCTAGGGAAAATATAGAATATGTTAAATTTAGCTCATTTTTTCCTCCCAAATCTAAATGTGTACAGAATCAACAATTTCAGTCTCACTGGCTTATTGGCTCCTTCCCATGTGGCAGAACTTTGTGAAGTGAGGGGCCGCCAGGCTGGTTTTGGGGGCTGGGCAGCATTAGGCTGTGATGGAGAATGACTAGGTGAAACACAATTACCATTTGACGCTGATTTTCCTTGACTCTGAAAATAAGAATATAATGTTAATTTTTTCAGAATTGTCCCAAAATAGTAAGAACTGACACATTGTAGCACAGAATGGGGCATAGCGAGAACTAGCAAAAGGCTAAACAATCAGAATCATGAGAAATCCTGAACAAAAGTAAGGCAATACTTATATACTCAGAGCTAGGTAAAAACAAAAATAATTATATTTTAATTAAAATAAATCTTTCAAGAAAATTAGAAAATATCTCCCTCTTTAGACTCATTCAAAGTAACTAGAGCAAATTTCAAGGAGGTCAGTTTTATTCTAGAATGATTAGGTGATAGGTATTTCAAAAAGACTTCTGATATCATTTGTTAAGTTGAACTTGTTATTTACTGCTAATAGATGATTTAATATGATTACAAGTTGCTGATTTTATGAACAGATTATGGAGACATTTAAAACAGCTAACTACCAGAGATAAGGGCAGAGAGATACAGGGTTTTTTGTTTGTTTGTTTTTGCATTTTACCTGAGATTTTTTGGGGTCAATAAACTGGGAAATCTTGCAAACAATTTCATCAAATGTCAGTCCAGACAAGGACTTCCCATGAGCATCCTTCAGTTTTCGTAAAAAATCTGTAAGTTCCTTTCTGGAAGAGATCAAGGGAAGGAAAGAGCAGTAATGATTTTCCTTAATACCTTGAGGATGTGCCCACTAAAAGAGATATAAAATCCTAGCATATGATTCATATGTAGCATACAGAAAGGACTCTTTAGGTCTTTGATCTAAAAAGTGATCACAGGTCCACCTGCATTTATCTTAAACCAAAATGAAAACTCCTAATTGTGTTCATTAATGATACTTAACATTTTCATGAGTGATAAACTTGAGTACTATCTTTCCTTCCAAAAAGAGATTTTGTTTTTGAGACCTAACTAGGCAAAAATTAAGTTTATTCACCTATTTATGCACTGGGCTCTTTATACCATCTCTTTATACCATCTCTCTCAAGTGGTCTCTTCCTCAGGATAACATACTCATTTTTAGCTATGTTGCTATTGGGTTCTCTCTTCTTTATCAGTGTTAATAGTTGTACTTTTGTAAAACTCAGAAAACAAAGACTAAACAGAACAGGAGGCCAGGCACAGTGGCTCATGCCTGTAATCCCAGCACTTTGGGAGGCTGAGGGAGGTAGATCACCTGAGGTTGGGAGTTCAATACCAGCCTGACCAACATAAAGAAACCTTGTCTCTATTAAAAATACAAAAAATTAGCAGGGCATGGTGGCGCATGTAATCCCAGCTACTTGGGAAGCTGAGGCAGGAGAATTGCTTGAACCCAGGAGGCAGAGGTTGTCGTGAGCTGAGATCATGCCACTGCACTCCAGCATGGGCAACAAGAGCAAAACTGTCTCAAAAAGCAACAACAAAACAATGACAACAACAACAACAAACAGAACAGGAAAGCAAAAGTTAAAAATCACATTAATTATATAATGAAAGAACCTACAATTATTTTAATTGATATGTTCCTTTTCAATTGACCCAAAGCCTGCATCTACATTTTTGATGGGACAAATAAAATATTTTTCATTCCCAAATGAAGTGTCATGTCATCAGCCTTATGCAACTACCTTTGATTTATACCATATTCTTTGTAAACATATTTATAACAACTATACTAGAGTTCTATTTTTAGTATCTATTCACTATTATGAAATTTATAAAACTATAATTTAATAATGAAGTATGCCAGGATGTGTATTAAATGTATTCAAATAAAAATACTTGTGAAAACTAGAATTATTTCCTTAGACATAGGTTGAGATAAAATAAACTTCATTTGTGTAGGAGTAGAATTATATATCTTTCTACTAAAGATAGACTGTGAAAAACACAGTGAAGTCATGGTTTTTTGCATTTTTACTATGTTCTCTAACAAAGAAACTATAAGGATCCTCAAAATAAAGAACATTAGGAAACTAAACCCTGAAGATGTTTGGGCTTACGTAGCATACAATCAACTTAAAATTCACCTTTGGAGATAGGTTAAGATAATTATGGCGGTTAATACCATTAAAATTGGGTAGGTTTATATCTAGTTGTACTTTCAGTAAATGAGCAAACCTAAATTTAAAGTTATTCTCTCATGATTTGAGACTAGTAACTTTTTAATGAAGAAGTTCAGCATTGAACACTGCCCATTCTTGGTAAATTTCTTTTTTCCCTACCAAGGCCAAGGTAAGGAAACATCTGTATATTTTTTGTGTTTTTTAGGTTTCTCTAAAACGTTTCATTGCCACAATTAAGGCTATGAAAGTTGGAGAACATGATCTGTACCCACCAGTAAATAAAAACTAAGGTACCTGGTCTGTTGTGGAAAGGCAGTTTTCAGCCTGTCTGTAATTCTCTCCCAATTCATCATGGAGGGATCACTCCCCAGACCTGCACTGGGGGGCACGGCGTCTCCTACAGGCACTGGCAGAGTCCAGGCTATGCCAGTCATCTGTAAGGGGCAGAGAGTTATAGCCCATCAGGTTTAATTATTAAGAAGTGACATTCCTGTATTTCAGAAAATGGGTAGAATGAAGAAGAGTACTGGTATACACATTCTCTTTTTAGAGTTTTTCTCTTAACTAATATTTCTAATTGTTCATAACTGTTTTAAACTTAGTTTAAAAATAGGACAAAGAAAATGGGTAGAATGAAGAATACTAGCATACACATTCCCTTTTAGGGTTTTCCTTTTAACTAATACAAACAATATTTCTAATTGTTTATAAATATTTAAACTAATCTTTAAAATAGACATGCTTGCTTCAGTAATTACACACACGTACAGAAAAACATGAAGGCTGTTTACTGCCATTTTTTTTAACAGTGAAAACTGAAAACAACCTGAGGTCTATAAATAGAGGAATGAGTAAATAAATTATGACACATCTAATCAAGTTTTTAAAAATAGATTCATATGTCTGGGCATAAGAGATGGCCATGAATTATGATTTTTTAAAAAGTCTGTGGCATATGATTTATGAAATGACTTCCTTTTACATTAAAATTTTTTAAATACATATGTATACACAGAGAAAGATCTGTAAATTACAGTGTGTAAGAAGTGATTATTTCTTAGGGATTCAACTGCACAGTAACTTTGTTTCCTAATGTGCTTACATTTCTATATTATTTGCATTTTGTGATTAGCATATCTACCTTTATGACAAGAAGGTAAAGTTAAATTTTCAAACCACCAAATAAAGATGGGAACACCACTAGAATTGCTCTCCCAATGTCTCATCAATGTAGACAATGATGGTGTAGAAGTTGTAGTGACACTTAGCTGTGAAACTATCAGTTTTCCCCACATTTTATTGTAGTTCCTTCTTAAGATTCTAATTAAATAATACAATAAGTGAATATTTTTGGAGTGTCCATTTGATTACTCAGATAATTATGAATGACGCACCTTCTATGTAAGGCTCTAATGAGTTATTTTCAAATATTAGGTTATTATTCGTGAAAAACTAGTAACTAGTAGCAGTCATTGGAATAATTTGTACAAAGCCTAGTAAGTGAGAAACAGAATATTGCTTCTCAGAAATCTGAATTTGTTTCAATGTCAAGCTTTACCCCAGGAATCAGAAAGTAATCTTATTACGGGGTTAACATATTTTAATGTTTTCAATAAAAATTTATCAGAGTTCCTTATAGAATGGTGGGAAACCAAACTGCAAGAGTTAACACTGTAATATCATAATAATAAAAAGATGTGTTACTTGTTAAAGACTATATACATATTTGTTTGTAGACAGGTAGTCTCGACAATAATAAGCAGAGTCCATCTGACTATATATTTCAAAAGGAAACTGTTAACAATATATGGGGACCAGAAAAGAAAAGAAACAATTAAATGCACCTAAATATACTTAAAAGAAATTCAAGATTAGAGAATTTTCATTAATTATATCTAACATCATTCTTTTGGCACATTTTTCTTTAATAAAAGAAGCTTACCTTTGCCAAGATTACAACTGATAATTCTGGTAATTTTAAATGTATTTGTTCCTTCTTCAAGTTTGGATAAAGTTTATCTGGCTATTTGTAGCTGGGGAGATTTATAACTTTACAGTATATGTTCCAAGAGGATGCTATTCATATCATCTGTTTATAGATATAGTTGATACACTGTCGTACTATGTGTGTGTACGTGTGTGGAAATAAAATTTTCTTTAGTTTTGTGCTATAATTTAGTTTGTTGTGATTTGGCTTCTTTGCTTTTCAATCTTCCCAACAACCATGCCCCAAAATTCTATTAAAAATATCAATTTACCCTGCATTGTTGCCTGTTCAGAAGCAATGCTATAATTTTAGGGACTCTCTAGTATAAAAACATTTATTTTTGTATCCCAGAATTAAGCTATTATCAGTTAAATAATATATGTAACACCCTGAGTACAGTGCTTCACAGGAAGTATTCATTCAGTTATCACCACCACCACCACCGCCACCATTATCATATCAGATAAAGGAACAAAGTGAATATACTCATTCAGGAAGCCCACTATAGTAATAAAAACACTAATTAACATCTATTCCACCAAGAAAGCTTTTACCAGGGGGGCTCTAGGTTGGCCAGTTGCAGAGATGACTCCTGGGCAAACTGCAGGCATTTGAGGAACAGTAAGTATGGGTCTAAAGAAAGATTCTTTCACAAGGGGTCTTCCTAAGAACTGCTGCATCTAAAACAGAAAACATAAACAATAATGACAAACAAAAAACCCCACACATATTTATGTATTTATATATGCAACCATCTAAATTCATACAGCAATAATGAGGGGCGACACTCATTTGAACTCAAGATGCAAAGCACATTAGAAACAATGTATGTCAGAAAATTAAATATATGAATATCCAAAAAACAAAGGGCAATGAGATATACTGAAAACAGCATTAAGAAAGAGAGAAAAGAAATAGATTCTAGTCATATTTCTCTCTATCTAGCTGAATAACCTTGGAAATCAATTTTTTAATCTATAAAATGAGAGGGTCTGATAAGGTAATGTTTAAGGTTCCTTCCCAACTGTAATCACATAAGACTATGCAAAGAAGATTCTCAAGAAGTATTATCCCTGGTGGTGGACAATAATGATAATGAGAAATTTCACAAAACAACCCAAAGTTATCCACAGACAATATTTCTTTCTTTGTTTATTGGAGGTAATACTTGATGAAATTCTGACTTAATGTTTAGCTCCAAGGAGAGTTGGAAGAGGAAGTAAGATGAGCCTGGGAGATAAACTCTGCTATAGTGACTTGGAGATATGCTTGTGGGTATTACCATACTTCCCAGGGGATTGTGGAAATCTAGACTTTCTTAGCAGCTATCTGTGGAAAATAGGTAGCTTGTTGGCTGGAGTAGAGTAAGGGGTAGATTTATTGAATATGTACTATATTCCAGGCCTAGTACTGGCATAAAGCATAAAATAGGAGTTCAATAACAATTTGTTATTGAAGTTAAAAAATGAGCAACAGCAACATAGCTCTAAATAATGATCCTAAAACTAGCATTTGAAAAATTAATGGAGAACTTTACAATGGATAGGCTGGATTGGCATTTGATTCTTAATGTCTGAAAAGAAAGACCATTATATGCCTGCTGGGTAAGAAAAGGAGATTTTTGAAACAACTGGGGAAATCTAATTTACTGAGTATTAAAAATTATAACTTTCTTAGGTAAGACAATGGTGTTATGATTACATCCAGTAGGAGTTCCTCATCTAAGATGTATCCTAAAGTATAAATAAATTGTATGATATCTGAGGTTTGCTTTAAAATATTCCAGTGGAGAGAAAAAAGAGAATGACATAAAACAAGGCTGAAAATATGTTGATAATGTTGAAGCTGGCTCCTGGGTTTGAAGAGGTTCATTATACTATTTTTTACATTTTTTTTAATTTTTTTTTTTTTTTTTTTGAGATGGAATCTCGCTCTGTCACCAGGCTGGAGTGCAGTGGTGCAATCTCAGCTCACTGCAACCTCCACCTCCCGGGTTCAAGTGATTCTCCTGCCTCAGGCCCCCGAGTAGCTGGGACTACAGGCATGTGCCACCATGCCCAGCTAATTTTTGTATTTTTTAGTAGATATGGGGTTTCACTATGTTGGCCAGGATGGTCTTGATCTCTTGACCTCGTGATCCGCCCACCTTGGCCTCCCAAAGATGTATCAATTTTTTTTACATGTGAAGTCTTAAAAAAATGAATTAATGGTGGGTACTGAGTCAACAGTCCTGCTCTGTTTGACAGCCACTATTAACTAACACTTTATTTTATTTTCAATTGACATATAATTGTACATATTTGTGGGGTACAATGTGATGTTCTAATACATGTATATACTGCGTAGTAATCAAAGGGTAATTGGCATATCCATTATCTCATTCATCATTTCTTTGTGATTGTAATATTCAAAATACTCTCTTCTGGCCATTTTGAGATATACAATGCCTTGCTGTTAACTATAATCATCTTACTAATAAAACATCAGAACTTATCCTTCCTTTCTAATTGTACTCATTGACCAACCAAACTCTCACTATGCTCCCTTTCCATCTACCCTCTATAGTCTCTGACAACCACTGTTTTATTCATTAATTCTATCAAACCAACTCTTTTAGATTCCACATGTGTGTGATCAGGCAGTATTTGTCTTTCTGTGTCTGGCTTAATTAACATAATGTCCTCCAGGGTCATCCATATTGTCACAAATGACAGGGTATCATTCTTTTTTATGACTAAATAATATTTCATTGTTTATATATACATTTTCTTTATCCATTCAACCTTTATGGACATTTAAATTGATGCCATATCTTAGCAATTGTAAATACTGCTGCTGCAATGAACATGGGAGTGCAAATGTCTCTTCAGGATACTTGACTTCATTTCCTTTCCCACTATAGCCAGTAGAAGGATTGTTGGAACATATGGTAGTTCTATTTTTATTTTTTTAAGGAACCTTGACACTGTTTTCCATAATAGCTGTGCTAATTTACATTACTACCAACAGTGTGTAAGGGTTATCTTTTCTCCACATCCTGGCCAACATTTGATATCTTTTGTCCTTTTGGTAATAGCTATTCTAACTAAAGCAAGGTGATATCTTGTAATTTTGATTTGCATTTCCCAGAATTCTTCTTATCTATCAATATGATGTATCTTTCCATTTATTTGTGTCCTCAATTTCTTTCATCAATGTTTCCTTAATTGTACTTTAGGTTCTGGGGTACATGTGCAGACCATGCAGGACTGTTACATAGGTACACACATGGCAATGTGGTTTGCTGCCTCCATGCCCCCATCACCTACATCTGGCATTTCTCCCCATGATATCCCTCCCCAACCTCATCAATCCCCCACTGTCCCTCCCTTGCCCCCAGCAATAGACCCCAGTATGTGATGCTCCCCTCCCTGTGTCCATGTGTTCTCATTCTTCAACACCCACCTATGAGTAAGAACATGCAGTATTTGATTTTCTGTTCTTGTGTCAGTTTGCTGAGAATGATGGTTTCCAGATTTACCCATGTCCCCACAAAGGACACGAACTCATCATTTTTATGGCTGCATAATATTCCATGGTGTATATGTGCCAAATTTTCCTTGTCCAGTCTATCGTCGAAGGGCATTTGGGTTGGTTCCAGGTCTTTGCTATTGTAAACAGTGCTGCTATGAACATACGTGTGTATGTGTCTTTATAATAGAGTGATTTATAATCCTTTGGGTATATACCCAGTAATGGGATTGCTGGGTCATACGGAATTTCTATTTCTAGATCCTTGAGGAAGCGAAACACTGTCTTCCACAATGGTTGAAGTAGTTTACACTCCCACCAATAGTGTAAAAGTGTTCCTATTTCTCTTCATACTCTCCAGCATCTGTTGTCTCCAGATTTTTTAATGATCACCATTCTAACTGGCGTGAGATGATATCTCAATGCAGTTTTGATTTGCATTTCTCTAGTGACCAGTGATGATGAGCATTTTTTATGTTTGTTGGCCTCATATATGTCTTCTTTTGAAGTATCTGTTCATATCCTATGCCCACTTTTTTTTTTTTTTTTTGAGACGGAGTTTCACTCTTGTTACCCAGGCTGGAGTGCAATGGCGCGATCTCGGCTCACCGCAACCTCCGCCTCCCGGGTTCAGGCAATTCTCCTGCCTCAACCTCCTGAGTAGCTGGGATTACAGGCACGCACCACCATGCCCAGCTAATTTTTTGTAGTTTTAGTAGAGACGGGGTTTCACTGTGTTGACCAGGATGGTCTCGATCTCTTGACCTTGTGATCCACCCGCCTCGGCCTCCCAAAGTGCTGGGATTACAGGCTTGAGCCACCGCGCCCGGCCATGCCCACTTTTTGATGGGCTTGTTTGCTTTTCTCTTGTAAATCTGTTTTAGTCCTTTGTAGATTCTGGATATTAGCCCTTAAATAGGTAGATTGCAAAATTTTTTTCCCATTCTGTTGGTTGCCAGTTCACAAATGATTGTTTCTTTTGCTGTACAGAAGCTCTGGAGTTTAATTAGGTCCTATTTGTCTATTTTGGCTTTTGTTGCCAATGCTTTTGGTGTTTTAGTCATGAAATCCTTGCCTATGCCTATGTCCTGAATGGTTTTGACTAGATTTTCTTCTAGGGTTTTTATGGTATTAGGTCTTATGTGTAAGTCTTTAATCCATCTGGAGTTAATTTTAGTGTAAGGTGTCAGGAAGGGGTCCAGTTTCTGCTTTCCGCACACTGCTAGCCAGTTTTCCCAACACCATTTATTAAACACATAATCCTTTCCCCATTGCTTGTTTTTGTCAGGTTTGTCAAAGATCAGATGGTTGCAGATGTGTGGCATTGCCTCCAAGGCCTCTGTTCTGTTCCACTGGTCTATATCTCTGGTTTGGTACCAGTACCATGCTGTTTTCAACAATGTTTTATAGTTTCCGGTGATCTTTCTCCTCTTTGGTTAAATTTATTTCTAGGTATCTTTGTTTTTTATAGCTATTGTAAATGGGATTTTCTTGATTTCTTTTTCAGATTGTTCACTATTAGTATACAGAAATGTTTTGATCCTTGCATGTTGATTTTGTATCCTAAATTTTTACCAAATTCGTTTGTTAGTTCTAGGTGTTTTTAAGTGGAGTTTGGGATTTTCTATATATAAGATCATTTGTCTACAAAAAGGGACAGTCTGACTCCCTTCTTTCCAATGTGGATGTCTTTTATTCCTTTCTCTTGCCTAACTGCTCTGGCAAGGACTTCTAGTACTATTTTTAATAGAAATAGTGAAAGTGTCTTGCCTTGTTTCAGATCTCAGAAGAAATACTTTTAAACCTCTTCCCATTTAGTATAATGGTAGCTGTGGGTGTGTCATATATGGCCTTTATTGTGTTGAGGTATGTACCTCCTATACCTAGTTTTTTGAGAGTTTTTATCATCAAGTATGTTGAATTTTATCAAATGCTTTTTCTGCATCTATTGAAATGGTCATGTAGTTTTTGTCCTTCTTTCTATTGATATGATATATCCTATTTACTGATTTGTATATTTTAAATAACCATTCCATGATCTTTTTAATGGTACACTTCTTTGAGGACTGTGGTCCCAGCACTTTGGGAGGCTGAGGCGGGCAGATCTTGAGGTCAGGAGATCAAGACCCCATCCTGGCTAACACGGTAAAATCCCATCTCTACTAAAAATACAAAAAATTAGCTGCCGTGGTGGCATGCGCCTGTAGTCCCAGCTACTCAGGAGGCTGAGGCAGGAGAATCCCTTGAACCCAGGGGGCAGAGGTTGTGGTGAGCAGAGATTGTGCCACTACACTCCAGCCTGGGTGACAGAGTGAGACTCCGTCTCTAAACAAACAAACAAACAATGAAACACATGGAATTACTGGGTAAAACTGGGAACAATCCACACTTTCAAATAATTCTTTAGTTAGACTACTATGTAAGCCTGGTAACCACTCCTTATAACACTAGAATCCCAGAGATAGATGGAACAGAGTGGTCAGATCATCCAGTACCATTTCCTAATTCATTGATGGGAAAGCAAAAGTCTAGAACAGCTGATTTTCCCAGGATCAACATAGCTCTTCACAAAGTTAGGATCTGAACCCAGACATCATTAGCGTACTGCAATTGTATATACCATCTCAATTTATAGCAAATAACACTGTAACGTTTCTAGCTGCTGTTCTCCCAAACTCTCTCCTCTGAAGCTCAGTGGTCAACAATGTTTGTACATTAATACAACTGTTAGCTTAATCAAGCACAGTAGTGACCCTAATTAGGAAGCACAAAAGATACATGTGAACCCCTCAAAATGTTAGCAAAGGATGCCTATGAATTACCACGCAGCCTAACTGCTAGTGGGTTTTTATACTTAACTAAATCTGGGTAAGACACATCACATGTCAGACCTAAGAGAGTCTCCAAAGGGATAAAAAAAGATCTAGAGGGGTATGGAGGTCAAGGTTTGAGTATGTTTTTCAGCTATAGAGTATCACTTGTATCAGACAGCCAAGGCTTATACTGGTCCGGTTCCAGGAAACACCAAACAACAACTCTATATCTAGCTTAATAGTCTCTGGAGCCATTTTATAGTTAGAGGCATGGAAGAGTTCCATGGAAGAACCATGGAACTACAATCTAAGGGCAGTATTTTGAATATGGGCAAAGAGAACAGTGTTTTTAGATATCCTACAAAAAATATATGTTACTGCAGGGAATCTTTGGAATTTCTTTGGAACACATTCCTTATCAGAGTAGTTGGGTATGATGACGATCTAAGCCTAGAATAATAATGTTCATAATCCAGTGTTCCTAAAGAAAATGAATTGACCAAAAATATAAAAGGCAATACTATCATTCCAAACTAAAGCCCATGGCGTATGTCACATAATTCTTTTAGCTATGGATCCTGCTTTTGAAACAGTGTAACTCCATACAAATGATGTAATTTTTTTTTTAGGGAAACAGTGTATTTATTCCATGCATTTTGTTCTGGCAAGGCAGATCTACTGTTGAGATCCACAGCCTAGAGAATCTGACACAGGTAGATACAGAGAACAGTTATAATGTTTCACTGTTTACATGCAAGCTGGCATATGTACTACGCTACAGAATTCCCATCAAAGTCACCAATTAACAAAATGAATTAATTACTCACTATATGTCACTCACACAGAACAGAGACGAAGTAATCAGGAGAGAAGTCAGAGTTATCCAGTAAAAAGTAATCGGAGGTGTGTTTACATGAATAAAGATATCTTTCAATAAGAAAAAGTAGATTAGCAAAGCTAAACTCTGCATTTCTTTTTTTATTTTTATTTTTTATTGTATTTGTGCTCTGGGGTATATGTGCACGTCCTGCATCCTGCAGGATTGTTGCATAGGTACATATATGCCATGGTGGTTTGCTATCTCCATCCCCCACCCCCTGTTGCCTACATCAGGCATTTCTCCCAGTGTTCTCCCTCCCCCTCTTCTCCACCCACTCTGCGCTGTCCCCCCCTCCTCTCCTCTCCACCCCCTCACCTAGCCCTGTGAGTATTGTTCCCTTCCCTGTGCCCAAGTGTTCTCATTGTTCATCATTCACCTATGAGTGAAAACATGCGGTGTTTGGTTTTCTGTTCTTGTGTCAGTTTGCTGAGAATGATGGTTTCTAGGTTCATCCATGTCTCAAAAAGGACAGGAACTCATCGTTTTTTATGGTTGCATAGTATTCCATGGTGTATAATTTTTAAGTTCTTTGTTATACTCAACCATGAAGAGAAATAACATTTCAGATTTCTATTATAAGCAGGAGTGGTGATATCAAAGTCATCTGTCCCCAAATATCTTACACTTTTCCTCTCTTCCTACCGCCAGATTCCTAAGGATAATAAAAATTATCATCTAATGACACCCTTGTAAAATGTCTTTTGGAAAGCTGTGTGCATTTACTGGGTTTGGGTACTATGTTTCCCAGAAATACAGCACAGGGATTAGTTTATCTGATCAAGATCCACTGGCCCCTAACAACAAGGAGAGAAGGGGCAAAAGTGGAAGCTGTCCTTGCTGTTGAAGGTAGAATAGAATATAAAACTTCACAAAAAGAAAGTCTAAAGTAGATATGCAGAGGTGAGGTCCAGCCATCTAGTGTATTACACTGAGATTTCAGTCATCTAGTGCAGTGGTCCCCAACCTTTTTGGCACCAGGGACTCGTTTCCTGGAAGACAATTTTTTCATGAACTTGGGAGCAGAGATGGTTTCAGGAGAATTAAAGCCCATTACATTTACTGTAACATAGAATTAGTGGTAGCCCCAAGCTTGTGTTTCTGCAACTAGATGGTCCCATCTGAAGGTGATGGGAGACATGACAGATCATCAGGCATTAGATTCTCACAGGGAGCGCAAAATCTAGATCCTTCACACGCACAGTTCACAATATGGTTTGCACTCCTGTGAGAATCTAGTGCCACAGCTGATCTGACAGGAGGCGCAGCTCAGGTGGTAATATGAGCAATGGGGAGCAGCTGCATATAGATAAAGTTTCACTTGCTCACCCACCGCTCACCTCCTGCCGTGCACTCCTCCATGGCCCAGGGGTTGGGGACCTCTGATCTAGTTGGAAATATGAGGGCACTGGGAATTCCAAGTATTCATCATTTAGCTCCCACAAGGTAGGTGAAATAGAATGAATGAGAAAATATTACTCTACATATATAAAATGCTTCACTAAAATCCAGTGATACAACCTATTGAATAGGCCTCAGCCGTCTAATTATATCATCTGGTGACTAGAAGGTATGGTCATAATTACAATTGATACTCACAATATGTGACTATTCCATTTTGAACACACGTTAAACATACTGTATATTCAGTATTTCACAGCCCTTACCATTTTGTCAAAATGAAAAGGGCAATTACTCAAAATGTTCTATTTCTTACCAGTATCTCCGGACTGGGTGGTGGAGGAGGAAGCTGGACTGGAGGCAAGGTACTCAAGGCAAATCCTTGCTTTACTTTGTTTATTTGTTCATTGTACTGTGTCTGGTAGGAAAAGAGCAAAAACACTTTAGAGTGCAACCAACTTTAAAGAAACAGAATATGGGAATACTTGATGTAGTTTTGAATAATACAACATAGAAGATGGGTTCCCAACTTGTCAGAAATAACATAAAAACAGGTTCTGACTGAAAAGGAAAATTTTACAGGCCATCCCCACATGTAAACAGTTGTATTTTTAGGAGTGGTTATTGGTTAATAAGAAACAGAGACACAGACAATTCAGGGATCCTTGTGATAATTCCTTAGTGTTTCCATAATTTTCAGCTCTAAATTAGGAAACACTGATATAAAGTACAAAAAGAGATTAAAGATTCAAGAAGCTATAAATATTATACTGGCAAAAAAAACAGGAAAAAAACGTATTTGTAACAAAGAGTTAAACTACTTGCAAATGTTCATTTTAAAAACTGAAGGAAACACTATAGAGATTACTTATTAAATTCTACATTGTGTTTATCTCAACATCTCTAACTCTAGCTTGCTCCGGGTCCATATATATTTTATTCTCTTGGATTTTGCCAAAAATGAGACTCCAACCTGGAAGTTTAACAACACACTTTCAACATTTTTTGGCATTGTCCTCACTTTTGCTTACCATATTATTTTGTAAAGAGCTGGAAAAGAAAGTCTTATAAAACAAAACGTTTAGAAACTTCTGCACAGAGGACATGTGCTCTGAAGGGCAGGTCTTGTAAGGCCAAAATTTTGAATAAATCCAACAGAAATGCTAAGCATCACTAAAGATTGAGTAAGAAAGAGTTTAGAAACAGTGAAAACCCCCAAAGGAGCAGGACAAATATACAGTACTTGGCATTTCACAATTTAATGACAATGCTTTTTTTTCTGATAGTGTTGTGAAATCACAAAACAATCAACATTACATATCAACCTTTATGTGTGTGTGTGTGTGTGTGTGTGTGTGTGTGTTCTAAAACAAAATTAATTAATAAATATTCAGTGGATTATCTTCTGTAGCATCGTTCCACCAGTACTTAGGAATTTACTATTTTGCATTATAGAATAATTACATAAACAGTTAGAATGAAAACTAATACAGATCTACTTGATTTTCCTTTTAATGCTATAAACACATTATTACTCAGAATACATGAAAACATTTAGTTTTTATTCCAATTTCTGTTTTAGAGACAGTCTCACTCTGCTGTTCAAGCTGTAGTACAGTGAGATGATCATAGCTCACCATAACCTGAGCACCTGGCTCAAGTGATCCTCTCACCTCAGCTCCCAAAATTCTGGGATTATATGCATGAGCCACTGTGCCCACCCAAAACATTTAGGTTTGATTGGGGCATTGTTAGGTTTAAAATTCAAGGAAAGCTAGGTGTGAGGGCACAATTTTTTAATTTATTGTTTTCTTGACTAAGGATATAAAAGACTACATGTGTGAGTCAAGGATGTTACCTACAACTAACCACATAGAAGTAATATCAAACTGAAGGCATAAACTTTTATAACTAAAATGGAAAAATATATTCTTCCTTAAATTTTTTTACTAATATGTCTTCTAGCTTTACACCACCTATAACATTAAGCCAATTTACTCTAAATATATTTCAGGACTTACCCTGAGGAATGCAATCTTGTTTCTAACATCTGCCACTATGGCATTCCAACTGTCTACCGCAGCTTTTAATTGAAGTGATTCTAGGTTGCTGTTGTAGAAAACGAGACATAAAAGAAAGCTCTTTCTTTTTATAACACTTAAGTTTTCCAAACATTTCTATCATGCTTTCTAGCATATATGTCAACAAAAAACAAAATTACCCCCATCACAACAACAATTACCTCAAATGCACATAAAGATGTACAGACAGGTTTGTTACTAAAAATAAGTACAAAAACCAGTAACAAAAAAATTAATTTTTCAAGAGCAAATATAATTTATGCTTCCAGAACAAGTTTTCTTCTATCTTGATGATGTATTTTTAGTACATATTATAAAACCTTTATAAGGAATCTTTCCAATGAAGCAGGAAAATCTTAGTCATCTAATACAGCAGTGTTCTCAAAAATGTTAACTCATGTTGGAAGCAAGTTTTGGACTATCTTCATATTAACTATGAAATCCAAAAGCAATGGTTGGCCTACATGGCTCCTTTCAAATTAGAAAAAAATACTGTCTATGGAAAGGATAAATTAGAAATACCCTCTCTCTCAGGATGAATGAGGTTGCTGCCTTTATACAGTATATAAATTGCACAAACAATAGTTATATCAACTCATGCCTATCAAATGACTTAACAAAAGTAGAAACAACTTTGAAGTTGTTAGGGTCTATGATCTCTAGAAAACAAATTTCATATGGTTTTTTAAAAGGTTCTATCCATTATAACATCCCACGCCAGTATCACCCAGCCCAACAATTTTATAAGAGCTGACTAAGTTATCACTAGGATCATCTCATATAAAGAAGCTTCATAATATCCTAATCTATACAGCATTCTTTCCTTCTAGCAAGCAAAGATAGACTGACCATTTACAACAGTACTTCCCTGACTTGAACGCACATCAGTATATCCTGATAATCTTGCTCATCAGACTCTGATTATTTAGAATTAAAGAACAGTGCTGATTATTAAAATGATAATCATTTAAAAATAATGATGCCTGGTCCCAGAGATTCTAATTTAATTAATTCTTTAAGTTTGAAGGTATATCCCATAAGATTATAAATTTAAGGAGAATTTCATGCAACCTGTTCAATATTTGAAAATTACTCTATAATTACTATAAAAGCATAGCAGAAAACTACCTTTAACATATGATTTAGGTGTTAAATATTGACGTTTCCCTCAACATATTCCCTAGGTATTTAAAATCAGGCATTACATCGCTTCTCGGCCTTTTGGCTAAGATCAAGTGTAAAATCAGGCATTACAAAGGAAAACCATTAGAAAAAAAAGTCTTCCAATTAGAATCCACCTTGTTTCATAAGTATCTGGTATTCATGTATATCTCTGACTGAGAGACTTTTGATCTACTTCACGACGGAGGAAGGGAAAAATCTTTTAGCAGGTATTATTGTACACAGTACTCAGTAGACTTCTCAGTGTTTCAGCAGAAGCAGCCAAGTACAAGCATCAAAGTAACTAAATGACTTTTGAGGTTTAAAAATGAAAACAACAAAAGCTTCTGGTAAAAGGAATTTCACAGGAAAAAAAATGAAAACCCACAAAACCCATAAGAGCTTCTTTAAGAACTCTGATGTCACATATGTAAAACACATCACAGATTACATTCAACTGTGGAGACAATTGCTAACATCTCTAAGATTAAGATGCATTAAGGAAGAGGGAAAGGTTACCTTGCTGCCATGTGAGTCACCCTGGCAAGTTGATTGAGACATTCCTTTTCAGTCTGCTCCAGATGAAGCAAACCAAAATCCCTACGACACTGTAAGAAATACACCTACAGGTTTTTGAGAGAAAGAGAAAGAAGTTGAAGGTGTGCTTGTAAAAGAACATTCTCTTCTCAATCATCTCAAGTAAATTTAAAGCTATTTCTCAATTTCTTCCAATAGTATCTGGGTTTCTTGACCATTCAAGATACATTACAAAAGCTTTTAAATCAATGCCACCTCTGCAATTCTAATTTCCTTATTTAATGGTTAATAGGTTGGTAAACATTCTAGAATATATCTTTTCAAATTTGTACTCATACTGGAATCATCTCAGAAACTTTCAAAAATAGTGCCTTGGTCGCAGATATTCTAATTTGATTGATACTAGTTATAGCTTGGGCACTGGCATTTTTAAAAACTCTCTGGTAATTCTAACATGCATTAAAGTCTGAGAACACTCCTGCTATCTATTTTTTCTCATTGATGAAGAGGTAACAAAAACATCAGACCATACAGAAAGATATGGGTTTGGAGACTACATGGTCCAGTGTCTCTCCTGTAGCAGGAAACCTTTCTGTATCACTACTTGCACAGTCATTTAGCCTCTGTTTTTCACTACTAATCACTCAGTATTCACTAAAATACACTGTTGGGCAGCATTAAGTATTAGAAAGTTCTTCCTTTTCAAAATTAACAATACAAGCACAAAGAAATTTACTGATTAAAAACAATAAAAAAACACTGTATACACTTGAGCTTTTAAAAGAATCTGAACTTGTTCTTTTGTTAAAGCTAGTATCCCAACAATATTCTTCATGAATTTTTGGTTCAGATACTACTTCTTGGTTGCTGACTTTCAGGATTCCAAGTTCTCTGCTGGAGAACAGAGTTTACCCATGACAGAGGTGGAGGGTTTGTAATGTTTTTAATGTCAGGAAGCTCTCTAAAAATGTGAGTCTTATTGTATATCAAGTTTGGTTATGTACAAATGAAAATTACATACACACATACAATCATATTTATTTGGAGAGACCCTAGCTGTGGTGTTCTAAGCTAATTTACAAAAGTTTGGGTAATTTTATGGCAGTCTGAAAAGCAAGTTGGTTTTTTACATTCAGGTGTATGATGTGTCTGTATTTTTGTAAGATCTATATAGGAAGTGGCAGACAAATAAGATATTGTGACAGTAGTAAAATGTTATTATTAGAAGTCTGGCTTAGTGACTTGGTTTCATGAGAATTTCCCAAGATGTCTGTATTTGCTATACACACTGCAACAGACTGATTTCTTCGAGTCACTGGGGGAGAACAACATAAGATCATCAAAACTGAAGTATTCATACATGATAGGCCAATGAGTCAAAAAAGCACAAGACTTTGAGCTGTATTTTCCTGGCTGATCCTAAGATGTCTTATTTCTGTTTATACAAAAAGTAGTCTTTTAAAAATTCTTTAGTATATGGTATACAAGTAAAACTTTCCCCCAACACCCCATACCCCGGCCCTCATTTGTTTGGTTTTTACCTCGGCTGTTAAAGCTCTGCTAGTTTCTGCATTCAGTTTGCTCACGTATGTTTTCATTGTGCTTTCCAGATTATGCTTTTCCATTTCCCACTGAGATCTGAAATATATGATCATTAAAGACTCAGCAATATTACATCAAGCACAGCGTTTTTCATCTTATTCAGGAGGAAAAAAGTTATACAATCAGTAGGAAGTTATTTCTTGGAAAAGTGTATAGCACATGGAAACAAGAGAAGATATTGTTCAATCCCTGCTGTTATCCTTTACTATCAATAATATAGAAGTTTTAAAGCTATCAGGGTATAGGTTATGATTCAAAATGTGGCTCTGAAATCAAGTTGTCTGAGGATGAATCTCAGCTCCACAGCTTATTAAATGTTAAAACCCCTCAGCAAGTACAATGAACTGAATGTTTGTGTCCCCCCAAAATTCGTATGTTGAAATCTTAACCCCCAAGGTGACAGTATTAGGAGGTGGTACCTTTGGTAGATGATCAGTCATGAGGGCACAACTCTAATGAATGGAATTAATGCCCTTTTAAAAGAGGCCTGAGAGAGCTCCCTTGGATGCCTTCTGCTATGTAAAGTTACAGCAGAAGACGACTGTTTATGAGGAAATAGATCCTCACCAGATACCAAATAGGCTGCCACTTTGATCTTGGACTTCCCAGCTTTCAGAACTGTGAGAGATACAATTCTATTTTTATAAGTCACCCACTCAGTAGTATTTTGATATACCAGCTCAACCTAAGACCACAAGCTACTTAATTTCTCTATACCTCAGTTTAGAGGAAAAAATAGTACTACCTACCTTAAAGAGCTATTGTGAAAATTAATTCAGATAATACAAGGCACTTTGTGTTTGGCACATAATAAGCACTAAATAAATGTTAGCTAGTATCATGATTAATATGTTCTACATGAAATTTCTATAAGCTTTTTTGTATTCCAACAATAACAACCACATAGGTTTTTATTATTCCTGTCATTAAGTGAAGTCACTGCATTAAAATATTTGATTGGTTATTTCAGTGTTCATAGTCAATGTTTTTGACAGAAAGCACACCCTATAGTTTGAAAGGGAAGGAGGGAGATGATGGTAAAGACATTGTTTACCATCATTCCAAGGACATTAGGGAAGTGGTTACCTTTAAGGTTTCTTTTTTTATTCTCATCTCAGTTTCCTACACTTGACTCCAAGAATTCTATATACAAATCAAATTCTAAATTTAATGAAAACAATTAATTGAAAATATAGCATTATAATAGAGACAGTCAAAGGCCATCCTCAATGTTTTATTATTAGAAACACTTGGATACTTGAGGACCTAACAAACATTGATGAGAAACTTGGTAACAATATCATCACTACAATAAGTATCATTAAAGCTAGACTTTCTTGAGGAGAAAAAAATAAAGCTCTTAAAGCAGATATATTAACATAAGAGGAATTATTATTTTTTAATGCTATTGCTGCAGTCCCAATATTCTCTCTCTTCTCTCTCCCTTCCATAATTTGTATACCTTCCTAAGAGTGTCTGCTCTTAAGATGACTGCTAGCAGCTTCTTAGAACTATATTTAGAGGATCCAAGATGGCCGTTTAGGAACAGCTCAGGATTGCAGCTCCCAGTGAAAGCGCAGAGGGTGAGTGGACGACGCGTTTTTATTGCCCACAGACTAGGAAATTCCCAGGCAGAGGAGCTCCACGGTCGCCAGCGCGGCTGTTTCGGCCAGCGCAGCTGTGCCGGCCAGCGCCGCTGCTTTGCCCCGCGCGACTGCTTTGTCGGCGCCCCGGAGCAGCGGTTCTCCGTACGAAATACACCAGTCTGGGTGCCCTTTTGGCTGGTGATTGGAGCCACGGGAAGCCACCCATTCGTCTATTTAAAAAGGGAACTGAGCAGAGAACCAGGACAGTAGATTCCAGGGCAAAAAAAAAAAAGCGCCACAAACCCCAGTGCCGCTGTTTAAGCCAGCGCAGTGAGTGGCCGCAGGGGAAAACAAACAGACCCCGGTGCCTCTTCAACAGGCGACTGGAACACAAACTTAAAAAAGGAGTTGAGGCAGGGTGCCAGGCGATCAGGCTCGGCTGGTCCCACCCCCGCAAAAGAACAGCAACCAGAAACTCTGGATTGAGACTTTCACAGCAAGAGCAGCTGAACCCGGGACGGTCCAGCTCTGTGGGGGAGGGGCGTCCGCCATTACCGAGGCAGCCCGCCAGGACGGAAGTAGTGGGCCAATGCTGAGGCAGCCTGCCATTGCCAAGGCAACCCGCCACAGCAGAGAGACTCCGCCTCAACAGAGGCGGGCCACCATCGCCAAAGCAGTTCTAACTACACCCATATAAACAGGACTGCAGGGAAGTTCACTCGGCAGCTGGGCAGAGCCCACAGCAGCTCAGCAAAGCCTCTATAGGCCGACAGTGACTAGGCTGCCCCCTTGCTGGGCAGGGCAGGTCTGAAGGAAAAAAAAAAAAAAAAGGCAGCGGCAGCATAACGGAAACTGATAAATAAAGCCCTAAATCCCTGGGACAGAGCACCTGGGAACAAAAAGCAGTTTATGAGTTCTGCTGCAGCAGACCTAAACGTACCTGCCCAGCAGCTCTGAATGAACAACAACAGAGCACACAGCTCACCATTTGAGCTCCTATAAAGAAGAGATCGTCTCCTCAAGCAGCTCCCTCACCCCTATATATCCAAAGAGACACCTCATAAAGGAGAGATCAGATTGACACTAGGCGGGTATCCTTCTGGGACAAAGATAGCAGAAGAAGAAAACTGGTAACAACCCTTACTGTTCAGCAGCTGCTGCAGGTGAACCCCAGGCAAGCAGGGCCTGGAGTGAACCTCAGCAGACCTACAGCAGAGGGGCCAGACTGTCAGAAGGAAAACCAAGAAACAGAAATAACCTCATCATCAACAAACAGAACGTCAATCTGAAAGATTTGAGATCCAATCTGAAAGCCAGCAACTACAAAGTCGACAGGTGGATAAATCCTTAAAGATGGGAAGAAACCAACGCAAAAAGGATAAAAACACCCAAAACCAGAACACCTCTCCTCCTACAAGGGATCACAACTCCTCACCAGCAAGGGAACAAGGTTGGAGGGAGAACGAGTGTGATGAAATGACAGAATCAGACTTCAGAAGGTTGGTAGTAAGAAACTTCTGTGAACTTAAAGAACATGTTCTAACCAAATGCAAAGAAACTAAGAACCTTCAAAAAAGATTTGACAAAATGCTAACGAGAATGGACAAAATAGAAAGGAATATAAGTGAATTGATGGAGCTGAAAAAAGCAACACGAGAACTTCGCGAAGCATGCACAAGTATCAACAGCCGAATTGACCAAGCAGAAGAAAGGATATCAGAGGTCGAAGATCAACTCAATGAAATAAAATGGGAAGGCAAGACTGGAGAAAAAAGGGTAAAAAGGAATGAACAAAGTCTCCAAGAAATGTGGGACTATGTGAAAAGACCTAATCTACGTTTGATAGGCGTACCTGAATGCGACGAAGAGAATGAATCCAAGCTGGAAAATACTCTTCGGGATATTATCCAGGAAAACTTCCCCAACCTAGCAAGGCAGGCAAACATTCAAGTCCAGGAAATACAGAGAACACCACAAAGATATTCGTCAAGAAGAGCAACCCCAAGGCACATAATCGTCAGATTCACCAGGGTTGAAATGAAGGAGAAAATACTAAGTGCAGCCGGAGAGAAAGGTCGGGTTACCCACAAAGGGAAGCCCATCAGACTCACAGCAGATCTCTCAGCAGAAACCCTACAAGCCAGAAGAGAGTGGGGGCCAATATTCAACATCCTTAAAGAAAAGAACTTTCAATCCAGAATCTCCTATCCAGCCAAACTAAGCTTCATAAGTGAAGGAAAAATAAAATCCTTTGGGAACATGCAAGTACTCAGAGATTTCGTCACCACCAGGCCAGCTCTACAAAAGCTCCTGAAAGAGGCTCTACACATATAAAGGAACAACAAGTACCAGCTCAACTAAAGGACAAAACACCCAGCTAGCACCAAAATGGCAGTATCAAATTCACACATAACAATATTAACCCTAAATGTAAATGGACTAAATGCCCCAATCAAAAGACACAGACTGGCAAATTGGATAAAAAGACAAAACCCATCAGTGTGCTGTATCCAGGAAACCCATCTCATGCAAGGATACACAAAGGCTCAAAATAAAGGGATGGAGGAAGATTTACCAAGCAAATGGAGAGCAAAAAAAAGCAGGAGTTGCAATTCTCATCTCTGATAAATTAGACTTTAAAGCAACAAAGATCATAAGAGACAAAGAGGGACATTACATAATGGTAAAAGGATCAATGCAACAAGAAGAGCTAACAATCCTAAATATATACGTACCCAATACAGGAGCACCCAGATACATAAGGCAAGTTCTTAATGACTTACAAAGGGACTTAGACTCCCACACAATAATAGTGGGAGACTTTAACACCCCGTTGTCAACATTAGACAGATCAACCAGACAGAAAATTAACAAGGATATCCAGGACTTGAACTCAGACCTGGACCAAGCAAACCTAATAGACATTTACAGAACTCTCCACCACAAATCCACAGAATATACATTCTTCTCAGCACCACATCACACCTACTCTAAAACTGACCACATAATTGGGAGTAAATCACTCCTCAGCAAATGCAAAAGAACAGAAATCGTAACAAACAGTCTCTCAGATCACAGTGCAATCAAGTTAGAACTCAGAATTCAAAAACTAACCCAGAACCGCACAGCTTCATGGAAACTGAACAACTTGCTCTTGAATGTTGACTGGATAAACAATGAAATGAAGACAGAAATAAGGATGTTCTTTGAAACCAACGAGAACGAAGACACAACATACCAGAATCTCTGGGACACATTTAAAGCAGTCTCTAGAGGAAAATATATAGCAATAAATGCCCACATGAGAAGCAAGGAGTGATCAAAAACTGACACCCTATCGTCAAAACTGAAAGAGCTAGAGGAGCAAGATCAAAAAAACTCAAAGTCTAGCAGAAGACAAGAAATAGCTAAGATCAGAGCAGAACTGAAGGAGATAGAGACACAAAAAACCCTTCAAAAAATCAATAAATCCAGGAGCTGGTTTTTTGAAAAGATCAACAAAATAGACAGACCACTAGCCAGATTAATAAAAAAGAAAAGAAAGAATAACCAAATTGATGCAATAAAAAACGATAAAGGGGATATCACCACAGATTCCACAGAAACTCAAACCATCATCAGAGATTATTACAAACAACGCTATGCACACAAACTAATAAACCTGGAAGAAATGGATAAATTCCTGGACACCTGCCTCCTCCCAAGCCTAAACCAGGAAGAAGCCGAAACCCTGAACAGACCCATAACAAGGTCTGAAGTTGAGGCAGCAATTAAGAGCTTACCACCCAAAAAAAGCCCAGGTCCGGATGGGTTCACAGCTGAATTCTACCAGACATACAAAGAGGAGCTGGTACCACTCCTTCTGAAACTATTCCAAACAATACAAAAAGAGGGAATTCTTCCCAAATCATTTTATGACACCAACAACATCCTGATTCCAAAACCTGGCAGAGACTCAACAAGAAAAGAAAACTTCAGGCCAATATCCATGATGAACATAGATGCAAAAATCTTCAATAAAATACTGATAAGCCGATTGCAACAGCACATCAAAAAGCTTATCCACCATGATCAAGTAGGCTTCATCCCGGGGATGCAAGGCTGGTTCAACATACGCAAGTCTATAAACGTAATTCACCACATAAACAGAACCAAAGACAAAAACCACATGATTATCTCAATTGATGCAGAGAAGGCCTTTGACAAAATTCAACAGCCCTTTATGCTAAAAACCCTCAATAAGCTAGGTATCGATGGAACGTATCTCAAAATAATAAAAGCTATTTATGACAAACCAACAGCCAATATCATACTGAATGGGCAAAAACTGGAAGCATTCCCCTTGACATGTGGCACCAGACAAGGATGCCCTCTCTCACCACTGCTATTCAATATAGTATTAGAAGTTCTAGCCGGAGCAATCAGGCAAGAAAAAGAAATAAAGGCATTCAAATAGGAAAGGAGGAAGTCAAATTGTCTCTATTCACAGACGACATGATTGTATATCTAGAAGACCCCATCGTCTCAGCCCCAAACCTCCTGAAACTGATAAGCAAGTTCAGCAAAGTCTCAGGATACAAAATCAATGTGCAAAAATCACATGCATTCCTATACACCAATAACAGACTTAAAGAGAGCCAAATCAAGAACAAACTTCCATTCACAATTGCCACAAAGAGAATAAAATACCTAGGAATACAACTAACTAGAACGTAAAAGGCCTCTTCAAGGAGAACTACAAGCCATTGCTCAACGAAGTAACAGAGGACACAAACAGATGGAGAAACATTCCATGTTCATGGTTAGGAATAATCAATATCGTGAAAATGGCCATACTGCCCAAAGTAATTTACAGATTCAATGCTATCCCCATCAAGCTACCAATGACCTTCTTTGCAGAACTGGAAAAAACCACCTTAAACTTCATATGGAACCAAAAGAGAGCCCGCATAGCCAAGTCAATTCTAAGCAAAAAGAACAAAGCGGGGGGCATCACACTACCGGACTTCAAACTATACTACAAGGCTACAGTAATCAAAACAACATGGTACTGGTACCAAAACAGAGATATGGACCAATGGAATAGAACAGAGGTCTCGGAGGCAACACAACATATCTACAACCATCTGATCTTTGACAAACCAGACAAAAACAAGCAATGGGGAAAGGATTCCCTGTTCAATAAATGGTGTTGGGAAAGCTGGCTAGCCATGTGCAGAAAGCAGAAACTGGACCCCTTCCTGACACCTTACACTAAAATTAACTCCAGATGGATTAAAGACTTAAACATAAGACCTAACACCATAAAAACCCTAGAAGAAAATCTAGGCAAAACCATTCAGGACGTAGGTGTAGGCAAGGACTTCATGACTAAAACACCAAAAGCATTGACAACAAAAGCCAAAATAGACAAATGGGACCTAATCAAACTCCACAGCTTCTGCACAGCAAAAGAAACAACCATTAGAGTGAATCGGCAATCAACAGATTGGGAAAAAATTTTTGCAGTTTACCCATCTGACAAAGGGCTGATATCCAAAATTTACAAAGAACTAAAACAGATTTACAAGAAAAAAACCAACAAGCCCATTCAAAAGTAGGCAAAGGATATGAACAGACACTTTACAAAAGAAGACATACGTGAGGCCAACAAACATATGAAAAAATGCTCATCATCACTGGTCATCAGAGAAATGCAAATCAAAACTACATTGAGATACCATCTCATGCCAGTTAGAATGGCGATCATTAAAAAATCTGGAGACAACAGATGCTGGAGAGGATGGGGAGAAATAGGAACACTTTTACACTGTTGGTGGGAGTGTAAATTAGTTCAACCATTGTGGAAAACAGTGTGGCGATTCCTCAAGGACCTAGAAATAGAAATTCCATTTGACCCAGCAATCCCATTACTGGGTATATATCTAAAGGATTACAAATCATTCTACTATAAGGACACGTGCACACGAATGTTCATTGCAGCACTGTTTACAATAGCAAAGACCTGGAACCAACCCAAATGACCATCGACGATAGACTGGATAGGGAAAATGTGGCACATATACACCATGGAATATTATGCAGCCATCAAAAACGATGAGTTTGGGTCCTTTGTAGGGACATGGATGAACCTGGAAACCATCATTCTCAGCAAACTGACAGAAGAGCAGAAGATCAAACACCGCATGTTCTCACTCATAGGCGGGTGTTGAACAATGAGAACACATGGACACAGGGAGGGGAGCACTACACACTGGGGTCAGTTGGGGGGAAATAGGGGAGGGACAGTGGGGGGTGGGAAGCTGGGGAGAGATAGCAAGAGGAGAAATGCCAGATGTAGGTGAAGGGGAGGAAGGCAGCAAATCACACTGCCATGTGTGTACCTGTGCAACAATTTTGCATGTTCTTCACATGTACCCCAAAACCTAAAATGCAATAAAATAAATAAATGGGGGAAAAAAAAAGGAAGTTGTTGGCTGGGTACAGTGGCTTGCGCTGTAATCCCAGCACTCTGGGAGGCTGAGGCAGGTGGATCACTTGCAGTCAGGAGTTCAAGACCAGCCTGGCCAATGTGCTGAAACCCCATCTCTATTAAAAACAACAACAACAACAAAATAGCTGGGTGTGGTGGTGCGCGCCTGTAGTCCCAGCTAATTGGGAGGCTGAGGCATGAGACTCGCTTGAACCTCAAGGAGTTCAAGCAGGAGGTTGCAGTGAGCTGAGGTTGCAGTGAGCTGAGGTCACACCACTGCACTCCAGCCTGGGTGACAGAGCGAGACCCTGTCTCAAGAAAAATTAAAAAAAAAAAAAATTAAAAAAAAAAACTATATTTATTTATTTTTTAATAGTCCTCACAATGTGCCAGGTGCTGTTTTTGGTGATTAATACAGATTTTTTTTCATTTTTATTATACTTTAAGTTCTGTGGTACATGTGCAGATCATGCAGGATTATTAACATAGGTTTACTTATTATATCACTAAATATTATGTGAAATTTGCCTGTAGGAAAAAATAAAAAATCGGACTTTATCAAATTTTGTTTTTTAAATGACATCAATAAAATGCAAAAGCAACCCACAGGATGAGAGAAACATTTGGAAATCATGTATCTGGTAAGGGACTTGTATCTGATCAGGGACAAGAACTCTTAAAACTCAACAATAAAAAGACAATCTAATTTTTTAAATGGGCAAAGGATTTGAATAGACATTTCTCTAAGAAGATACATAATTGGCCAATAAGCATATGAAAAGATGCTCAACATAACTATCAGTGGGAAAATGTAAATCAAAATCACAGTGATATACTACTTCACGCATAATATAATGGGTAAAATAAAGATGCAATTTAACAAGTGTATCAAATGTTGATCAGAATGTGGAGAAACTGAAACTCTCTTACACTGTTAGTGGGATTATAAAATGGTGCAGCTACTTGGAAAACAGTTTGGCAATTCCTCGAAAAGTTACACCTAAAGTTTACTGATCACCCAGCAATTCTACTCCTTGCTACAAACCAAGAAATACAAAAACATGTTCACAAATCTGTATATAAATAACAATAACAGTATTCATAATAACCAAAAAATGGAAACAAGCCAAGTGTCCATCAACGGATGAAAAATAAAATAAGGTATATCCAAGGAATGAAATATTATTTATCCATAAAAAGGAATGCATAATGATACATCCTACAACATGGATGAATTTTGAAAATATGTTAAGTAAAAAATGTTATAAGAGGCTACATATTATATAATTGCATTTATATAAAATGTCCAGAATAGGCAAATCCATAGAAGTACATTAGTGGTTGCCAGAAGTGGGAGGAGGGGAGAATAGAAAATGATATCTAATGGGTTCCTTTTCTGAGGTGATAAAAATGTTCTGGAAATAGATGGTGGTGATGACTATAAACCTCTGTGAATACACTAAAAACAAATCAATACATTATGTATTTTAACAGAGAGAACTTTATGCTATATGAAATAGATTTCAAAAAGGTGTTATTAAAAAAATTACTCACAGGCAAAACAGATGAGTAAGAATAAAACTTGCTCAATTTCATAAAGCAGTCACACCTAACAGTACTGATTTGGGTAACTCTTAAGCTCTAGTAGTTTGTTGTGGGACTATAACATTGCTGATACAGATTCTTCTGGCAGTTTTCTAGAGTCAGAGCTAAAGTGGCCATACCTTCCTATTTGCCTAAGATACTCCCAGTTTACGCCTTTTGTCTCAATGCATTATTAATACTGTTCAATAGCAGCCTCAAAAGTACCCCAGTTGGAATGATAAATTACATTCATATGCCAGCCAGAAATCGTTGAGTGAAATACACAGAGAGAGTGCACCCAAAGAAAAAGCTAAGTTTGTTACCTTTTCATGGAAAGTTGCTCTTTAAGGTTCTTGATTTCATTATCTTTAGTATGGATTTGACGCTGTAATCTAAGCAAGCAAACAAGAAAGTCAAAAAATGTTAGAAAATATGTCTCATTAACACAATCAGAACAGCTCTAGCTACAACTGTGCAGGAGACCAAGTATGTCCATTTGGGGCCACAAATCTTCAGCCTGAATACAAATGAACTCCTATACCTGATCCTTTTGAAATGTATCTTGTTTCTGATGTCTGATTTACTTACTTCCTAAAGAAAGGGGAACTCAGTTCTAATTCAGTAAATTACACAGCATATCTTGTATCCTCAGCTCAACGACATGGAAAAATGTCTTTGGCTCTTCATGCTTCAGCTTACTTACTAGAAAACAGAGATCGTATCTTCTGATTTTATAAGACTGTTGTGAGATTGAGAACTTTAAGTTCCTTAAAGTGGTATTATATCAAGTCATGCAAATTAGAAAGACTGATCTAAAGGAAATCAGACCTTAAATACTGAAGTGACGAGGGTGTATGCAAATGCTAATTTTAATTAAAACTATGACTTAGCACCTGTGGGTCACTCATATGCTCTTATCATGGAAAGAATGGGTAAAAATTTTGTATAAATCAGAATCTATATAGCCTGTTATCAGCTTCAAAATTAATATGTAAGAAACTAAGAGAAATACATGTTTTTGCTTGACATATATTCACATGCCATTTTTCATGTTCCTCCCTTATGCTGCTGTATTTCTTTTCACAACCAAGCTTTTACATAAACCTAGTAATTAACTTAAATATGAAGAGATTTATAATAAAAGCACATTGTCCTTTAAGTCTCTAACATGTTTAAGCTCTTGGAATACATAGAAGAGTTTGGTTAATATAAAGTATTGGAATAATAAGTTCTTGAAATGACAACTGTAATGTTGGATGGATTGCTCACTACTAGATGTCAGAGACTACCCATTCACCTTTACGGTAAACTTCTTAGATTTAGAGATTTACAGTTAATGTTCTGTTGGTCTGAGAATGCAGTGAAAAGAAACCAGGTCTCTTTCTTTACAAAAGAGGTCACATTCTAAAGTGAAATATTAAGAAATATAAGTTTGATTACAGTAATACATAGGAATATGTTGACAGAGTTGAAAAAGCAGTAATTTGTAAGACTGACATCTTGTTTTCCTTTGTATACTTCCATTACTTCAATGCTGTACCTAGCTCTAGTTTAGAGTGGGCAATAAGAGTAGACATAACTAGTGGGTATTCAGAACACCTAGATTCTTAAATAATAGAGGATAAGGTAGGCATAGTTCTTATTATCCAGCTCAGGTAAGAGTCAGCTACATATGTTCAGGCAGTCTTTTTCTCATGTTTAATATGACAGGATGAAATTATTATATTTTCTTTTCTAAAAAATCTAAAGTTCTCAAGTTAACTCTGGCTATTGAGTTTTATTACAGACTTTATTAACAGCAGTTTCTTGACATTTATTAAGTGCTTAGTGTAGTTTATGCAAAGTAAGTCACTTGCATAAAATTTTCTTTTTAACACTTTATCATCAACAAATATTTGCCAAACATTTACTGCACACATCAAACTGAATTAGGCAAAAAAAAAAAAAAAAAAAAAAACAAAAAAAACAAAATGATTTTTTGCTTTCTAATCTCCATATTCTAGGATGAAAGAAGCCAGCATTTACAATTAAAGAATATTTATATTTTATCACATACTCTTGGGCAATGATCGGATGAATTAAACAAAGAAAACATTCAAAAGCTTATATGAGAACACAGAGGAGTCATTATGTCCATTCTGCCTTGATGCCCTGTCTTTTCTTCCAACTCATCCCACCTAACCTTCAATGCCGAGGATCAGTACTATGTCTTTAATAAAATTCTTCATTGAAGGAAGTTCCTTATCACAACAATCAAAAGTATTCTATCTACCCTACAAAATTTCCATTAAGTATATCCTTGACAGTTTTTTATTACATACTTTTAAAAATAGTCAAACTGTTTATTTTGAGAGAATTGTAAATTCATATGCAGGTATAAGACATAATATACAAAGACCCCATGTATCCTTTTCCCAATTTCTCCCAGTGGTAACATCTTGCAAAATTATAGTATAATACCATAACCAGAATAGTGATGGTGATAGTCAAGATACTGCACAGTTCTATCATCACAGGGATCCTTCATTTTGTCCTTTTAAAGCCACACACACTTCCCTTCCACTCCCATTCCCTTCTTATAACATTGGAACCACAAATCTGTTTTCCATTTTTATAATTTTGTCATTTCAAGAATGTTCAAGAAATGGAAACATATAGTATATAAGCTTTTGGAACTTTTTTTCATTCAGCATAATTCTCTGATGTTTGTAGTGTTTGTAGTATTTGCAGTGATATCACTATTTCATTCTGGATGGTAGTAATTTATGTCTTTTCTCTTATGTTGTCAGTCTTGCTGGAGGTCTGTCGATTTTATTGACCTTTTCAAAGATACAACCTTTTGTTTCACGGATTTTCTCTACTATTTTTCTTTTTCCAACTCATTCTTTTTTAGTTTCTTGTTTTTGAGATGGGCCTCACTATGTTGCCCATGCTGAACTGTAACTCCTGGGTTCAAGCAATCCTCCCATCTCAGCCACTCAAGTAGCTGGGACTACAGGTGTACACCGCTGCATCCTGCCTCCATTATTTCTAATCTTTATAATTTCTTTCCTTTTGCTTAAGTCTATTTTGGTTTTCTTTTTCTCGGATCTTGAAGTAACAGCTTGGATTATCCACTGAAGACTTTTCTCTTTTTCTAATGTGTCTGTCTGTTTAGTGTTATAATCTTCTCAGCACTGCCTCAGCTGTGTGGCACAAATTTTGACATAATGTATTTTCACGTAAATTCAATGTATTTTGTTTCTCTTTGACCTATGGATTATTTAGACATGGGTTGCATAGTTTCCAAGCCTTTGGAGGTTTCTTGGTATCTCCCTGTTACTGATGTCTAATTTGACTCCATCCTGACCTGAGAACATGCTTTGTATGATTTCAACTCTTAAATTTGTTGTTGAGGTTTTATGGCCCAGGATATTGTCTTTCTTGGTAGACACATCCTGTGGTCACCTGAAAGCATGTGTATTCTACTGTGGTCTGATGGGGTATTCTATAAATATCAATTAAGTCCTGTTGGTTGATGGTGGTTATTGAGGTCTTCTATATCCTTGCTGATTTTCTGTTTAGTAGTATTATAAATTGAGAGTGGGGTTTGAAGTATTCAATTATAATGGTAAACTTCTCTATTTCTCCTTTCAGTTCTATCAGGTTTTACTTTATGTGTTTTGAGGATGTTTTTGGACATATACCTTAAGATTCCTGTGGATTGAGCCTTTTATCATTATGTAATATCCCTCTTTGTGTCCAGCAGTCTTCTTTCCTCTGAAGTCCACTTAATCTAATTTTAATATAGCCACTCTTACTTTTTTTAATAAACCTCTGCATGGTATATCCTTAACTTTATTCTTATTTCGGTCCCTTTACCCTCCTCACTTTTTGAATATATTGCGTTTCTTCTACGTACATTGAATTCCATGAGATGGCGTTAAAATTTTTGCCTCAACCATCAAATATGATTTAAGAAATTAATAAACAGTAGAACAATCTCTTATTATTTATTGTACTCTTTACTCCTTCTGATGGTCTTCTTTCCTTTCTGAAGTTTCAAGCTTCTATCATATATCTATTTTTAATGTTTAGACACCTTTCTATAGCCATTCTTTAAAGGTAGGCTATATGAATTTACTAGCAATAAATTCTAATAATTTTCCCTTGTCTGAGACTGTCTTTATTTTCCTCTATTCCTAAAGAATATTTGTGCTAAATATGGGATTCATGGTTCTGCTTTTTTCTTTCAGTAACTGAATAAACTGCCATTTCATTCTGGTCTTCATGGTTTCAAATGAACAAAATCTGTTGTCATTCGAATTACTGTTTCATAAGTAATTTTTTTCTCTGCCCTTTTTCAAGACTTTGTCTTTTATTTTCAGAAGTTATGATGTATCTTAGCATGGATCTCTTGGAGTTTTTGCTATTTGGGGTTCACTTAGTCTCTGAATTTGTACATTTATACATTTAATCAAATTTGGGAAATTTTCAGTATTTCTTTGAATACTTTTTCAGTCTCTCTTTCATTCTGCTCTCCTTCTGAAATTCCAGTGACAAGTACTTTAGCTCTTTTGTTACTGTCCCACAGGTCCCTTACATTCTGTATTTTTCTCTCAGTCTATTTTCTCTTTGTTCTTCAGATTGAGTTCATTCTATTCAGCTGTCCCCGTGTTCACTGACTGAATCCTTTTGTCATCTCCACTCTACTAGTGAGTATATCCAGCAACTTTTTAATTTAATCACTGTATTTTCTAGTTATATATTTCCCACTCTTTATTATAACTTATTATTTCCTTACAGGGATTTTCTATGTTTTCATTTGTATCAAGATTATTCTGTTTTGTTGAAGCATTTTTATGATGGTGGCTTTAAAATCCTTGTCAGATAATTCCAATATCTGAATAATATTAATATTGTGATTTGCTGGTCTTTTATCTTTCTTGTCTGAATTTCCTGGTTCTTGGTATGGTCTATGTTTTCTACTCTACCCTAGATATTTTGAATATTATGAGACTCTGGGTTCTATTTAATCTTCCTATTTTTAACAGATAGTCTCCTGTTAAGGTATAATGTAAAAGCCAAGGAAGGTGGGTATGCACGGCTTTGCACTGTGCTCTACAAAAAGCACCCCAGGAAAAGTGGGCACTGACTCGCACTGCCTCAATGCAAATGAGAGGTGTACAAGTTCAGCTCCCCTCCCAGTCCCACTGATACCTTCCCATGAAAGTGGAGCACCAAGTCACATTGCCTTCTTGCCGCCAAGTGGAATATAAGATCAGCTCTTTGCTGGACCCTGCTGACATTAGGAAAGAAGAAAGCAAAGGACTGACTCACAATACTTTGTTGCTGCAGGGTAGAGGCAGAAGTTCAGCTCCCTGTTGTGCCCTTCTAGCACCAGCTGAGGGAAGGGGGGAAAGGGAATGCCAACTAGCCCCATGGGTGAAGACTTAATTATCAGTGAGAGGGAGTAAGGATGAAGCCTAGTATTGACTAGTTTTGTCTCAGACTGGCTTGTTAAGTAATATTGGTGCTGGGTAGCGGTAAAGTTCAGCTTTCAGCTGACTGACACATCCTGCAGAGGAATTAAAGTACCGTCTCCTTCTCCCCAGTGGAACACGGAAGTCGGCTGCCTGGTTAATACTGCCAACACTATCCTACAAGAAAAACAGGATTCCTGCTACCTACTTCTGTTAGATGGGAGAATCGGTGTGTACCGCTTACTTCCAAGGGGTGGCATGGGACCACTTGTGTGTGGCTGCAGTAGGGTGGGTATTGTCAAAAAGCCCTTCTATTATTATAATTTCCTTTTACTGATCCTTTGGCTAGAAGAAACAGGCTTTTTTAGAGTTTTTTTTCCCCTCTGCTTTTTAGCAATTCCAGGTTAAAGGCTTCAGCAGTGCCCGAGATATATGGGAGGCAATCAGAAAATTTATTGCCAGATCATTCCTTAAGTCTCAATGTCTTTAGACAGCATGCTTTCTTATTCCACCTTCTAGAGTGTTACTATGCTTTTCTGTTGTGTTATATCCAGGGTGTTTAAGTTTTTAAGAAGAAACAGCTGTGAGAAATGGGGCTATACATCTTAGTGGACCTGGAAGTCTCTGTTTTATGTAATTTTATCCTTACGTGTTAATCTACACTCTCCATTGGATCATAATGAATGTCTCACACATCTTGGTATCTTCTACATGTGCCTTCTGTAAGTTTTCTAACATAGTAGGCCCTTGATAAATGTTTGGTGAATGGCCAACATTAAATGCTCATTTTGTGAAGGCATATGCATCCCCTACAGTGGACTGCTTATAGCCTCAAGCATGTAAGGGTACATGGGCCACCTGTCAGGAGTTGAGGAGGAGTATCTTCAGATGGAAGGAAGTCAGCTCATCTGAACTGACAGCATTGCTTTTCTAGTCTCTGATATTATATGACATATTTCTAGATTAGTCATCCTCTTTAGGCTAAACAATGAAGTTTGAATGCTGAAGTACAGTTTCTTAAATGATTGCAGCCACCTTCGTTTGTCTAAGCTTTCTTAAGTCCCACAGTCTTCTAAACTTGAATGATCTCTCTAACTCTAGTAAGGATCAGTCTGACAATGCTTGTGAATGAAATTATGTTGTCAGAACGATGGCATCTAGTTCTTGCTAATAACCCCTTCATGTGGCAGATACAATATGTGAGAGAAAACTTAGACCTAAATCTCTGGCAAATATTTCCCCAATTTTATAAGAAACAGCTTGGACTCCCCACTCTAAGACATTCCCAGTACTTGTCTATTCTCCCTATCAGCATTCTAGGAACTGCAATGTATTTTAAACTAGACTTTTTGGATGGCTGGTGTCTTATGGTATTAGTTTGTTAAAATAATTTGGTTGAAACTATGCTACTATTCAAATCAATACAGGTTGGAAGCAGTAATTAGTAAAGAAAGAACAAACAAGGTTACTAATTTTTCCCTAAGTCAGTCAGAATTTTTGGTCAGGATACATAAAGTATATCCTAAACTTTAGGTTTAGGAGAAAAGAGATTGGGGTAAAGTGGGAAAGAGTCAATCAAACAAACAAAAAAAGAGATTTATTTTCAATCTCACAGGCTTAGAACACAAATGCTCTGAAAGACCAACATAAAAATGCACTCAACTGATTCCCTGGTGTCTTTGAGGAATGTATTCATATACTATAAAGAAACAGCCAATCATTGGTCACATTTTTACAAATTAGAGTCATGACCTGAAAGTTAATTATCTTTCTCATGTAATTCTATTACATTCACACTTGTTCGCCAATACATGAAAAGCTTGATATATAGTGTGAGCAGCTGCTTATTTCTCAATCCAGTTGGCAAGACAAAAATATGGTTGGTTTTTAAACAAGCGCAGCCTTATTGTTGGAGTTCCTAATGTGTAGTCACAGTGCCACCTAGTGGTTATGCAGGGATTAAGTATTAAGGATACTGTTTATTACGGGGCAAACCCAGAATTTCCTTTTATCAAAAGATTTACACTTACTTGGAAACCTTATTGATTCCAAAAGCCACTTGTTGATTAAGAGATGAAATAATTTTGTCTTTCTTTTTAATCTGCATTTGGCTTTCTTGCCACCGAAAAGTCACTGTTCTCAACTGTCTTTTGAAATCCTGATCAATAAAAATATTATTTCAGATAATTCTGTTCAAATAACCAGAAATTGAGAGAAAAATGCAAACAAAGTTATTTTCAAACAGAAAGCACCTGTAAGTCTAATATTTGAAATACTTCTCACTTCCCTCAGATCTAATGGCAAAAATACTTACTTCACACTGATAGTGCAATTTATAAAGCTGCCTTTGACGAGCAAGCCTTTCCTTTTCAGTTTCTCCATAGTCTGTAGTTACTTTGCCAGCTGAGCCCTATTGAGCAAAGGAAATATGCATGCCTTACTTTCCTCTAAAAAAAAACACTAATATTTTAGTTATTTGAAAGGGATTTAGAGTTGCCATCTAACTCCTGTTCATGTTTTTTGTCTCAAGTAAAACACCCAACTTAGATAAACTCACCATTAGATAAACCCAGCTCCCCTCAATTATAGCATTTAATAAAAAGTACCAGTTACTTGCCTGTTGCTGCTACTGCTGGAAACCACTAACTGCATGCTTACCATTTCTTAAGCATTTTCTTTGTAAGAGTAATGCTTTTATTGTCATAAGAACCATATGATGTAGACAGTCATTATTTCCATTTTAGAGATGATAAAATAGTGAGTAACTTGCCCCAAATCACATAGACAGTAAGTGGAGGAGCCTGCATTCTAACTCAGGCAGTCTTAATTGCACAAGCACTTAATTATTACACTGCATCATCTGAGTTTAATGTTCAACTTATCCACCAGATTGTAAACACCGTAACAGAGACTCTGTCTTAGCATAGCTCTTGACAAAATGCAGGTGAATGTATCATTTTGGCTAAAATGTACATATTCTAATTAGGAGAAAAAAAGGTATGACAATTATATGAATGTTGTACCATCAGCCAAGGAAGCATTTGTACTAACTGTACCCTTAGACAATAAGTATTCCTACATACTATATACCACTATATTTAAACAGCAGAGCAGGTTATCACTGAATTCACACTAGCAGGTAAAAAAAATTGGTTTTTAAAAAAATTCTTTCATTTGCTGTTGAGCACTTAAATCATGTTCACATGCCTTTTCACATATAGGTACATTATTCCAAGCAGTGTCTACTACCAGGAATGGAGCCAGAAAAAAACAAATGATTATACGTAGTCATTTTTGTAGCCATTTCATGGTAAAAATCATATTTAATTTTTAAAAATCAAAGCAGCTTTATATTACAAAACTATTTTTCTCATGACCTGTAATCTAGTGGTATTATGCTAGGTTTTTTTTTTTTTTTTTCCTTGTGGTATTCAAAAAACCTTTGTAAGAAAAGCATCTGTAATCAACTTTGCCCTATATTTAAAGCCAGGAAATGGTTTGAGGGCTAAGGTGAAGTTTCCTGAAGTTTCCAGCACCTAGGGGTTCTTTATTTTTTATTCTATTTTCCTTCATATAGCCTTCCTTACCTCCTTTTCTGTTTTTCTCTTTCTCCTCACAAACAGTATAAACCACTGGGATTTTCAAAGGGTTATGCTGTTTAAAGAGTCACAGGAAAAACCAGGTAACAACTGAATCTTAGAAAAGGCAGGCACCCTCTCCAATCAAGCTTACCTGCTCTATCATGTCCAGAATATGCAATTCATCCAGGCTATAAAACTTATCTTCCGTTGCAGAATCCTCTTGAACATCACTTGCATCATCTTTTATAAATCTACTGACTGAGTGTGGATTTGCTTGTTCTTTCTTCAACTGTTCTTCCTTTTCTACCACATATGGGCTATAGTGGCAACATAATCAATGTGAGCCTTTACAATCGTACAGTGATTTTCATCTAAGCTATGGCTTCCCAAATTAGTATTGTACTGGTTTCATGAGATGCTCAGCATTAGAAGGGTTCATGGTCAAAGAAAGTTTGGATAGTGCTCATACTGAGTCTTTCTTTTGAAGATTCACAATGAACATTAGCATATTTAAAGCAGCACTTAATCAAGGTACCTATTTAATTCTGTTCATGCCACTGTTTTCAAAAATTATGACACTACAGAGTTCACTTTATAAATTATAACTAGTAATATCAGTTGCTTTGGAAAACAGTATTTCAGAAATATTGGCAAGCATTTCTGCATCTGATATATTATTTTACCATTATAACATCCTTTGTTCTCCCATAATTTCCTTGACAAGTAGGTTGGTTTAAGCAACTTCAGTGATTAGGTCCAATGTACTTTTAAACAGAAGGTCGAAAATAACAACATAAAACAGACTATAAAATGGAGGTTTCTTTTGTAACAGGACTTTTAAAAAAGAACTACAGTAATAACATGGATTTCAGTAACAACTACTAACAGAGACCACTTTTAAATAATGAAAATACTATATACAAATGATAGCAATTAACCAATTTCTACACTTTTTTTCTAAAATTTAATTGCCTGAATTAAATTTTACTGTCCTTTCACTTGGCCTGCTACTTACTAGTTATAAATTTCCTTCCTAATCTCTTTGAATGGCAACAAGAATAGTATTTTTACTTAGATTGTAATATAAATGACTTGATTTAGCTAGTGAATAGAAACTCCAGGATACATTATTACTTTTTGGAACACTGAGATCTAGAAAAAATGAAATCTAATGCTTGTGGAATAATTCATAAAATACTACATAAGCAGTAATTAGGTATTACTGAGGTATTCTAGAGTGATCCAAACATTCTGAAAAGTTCGACGAAATCAATTGCTTGTGTAGAACACTGATTCTCAAACTTAATTACTTTTCTAAATTATCTGAAGAGCTTTTAAAAATTAAATGTTTCTAAACATTCCCACAACTGTAAAAATACAGATGAATTTCTATTTTTGAAAAGTTCACCAAGGTTATTCCTAAATTTTTTAAAGTATACTCACGCATTGCCTAACAACAAGGACAATTTCTGAAAAATGTGTCATTAAGCATTTTTGTCATAACATAATATCAGAGTATTATTATACAAAACTAGATGGTATAGCCTACTACACACCGAGGCTATATGGCATAAACTATTGCTCCTAGGCTATAAACCTGTTACAGCATTTTACTCTACTGAATATGATAGGCAATTGTGATAAGTATTTGTGAATTTAAACATATCTAAACATAGAAAAATTACAGTCACAATGTAATATAAAACATAAAAAACTGTACACCTGTATAGGGCATGTACCATGAATGGAGCTTACAGGACTGGATGGTGCTCTGGGTGAGTCAGTGAATGAGTGGTGAGTACCATACACTACTATAGACTTTAAAATAAACATGGTAAACTTAGGTTACATTAAATTTATTAAAAAATAAAGTAATATCACTACAATGTTATGACAGCTACACCACTACTAGGCAATTGGAATTTTTCAGCTTCATTTTAATTTTATGGAACCACCATCATACCTGAGGTCTGTCCTTGACCAAAATGCTGTTATGCAGTACAAGACTGTACTATAACAGCATTGAGATAATATAAAAAATGTTCATATTTCTAAGATGTAAACTGAAGAATGAAGGGGTGGAATTAAAAGGATGTTTGGGATTGAAAACACTTCAGTAAAGAACAAAATGTCAAAGGAAGTATGAAACAAATGTGAAAAACAGAATAATTGTTGAATCAAAGTTATAGGTACATATGTTATTGTATATATACTATTCTCTTTACTTTTGTGTATATTTGAAAATTTCCATTTAAAGACAAAGCTCCTTGGATGTTCTGATCAACATCCAGATTTGGATCCACTGTGTAAGCAAAATGACTGATGACATTGTTTCATCTTTACTAAGCTATATTTATGGCATTAGACACAGCCTAAAAAACAAACAAAAACTATCGCTCCAGTGGCTCAACCTGTTGCCAAAGAAAGTGAAAACACATCTTAAATGATGAACTATTTTATATACCAAGTGGATCACATCAATTGAAAAAATCAACTACAAGTGATAGATTTAAAGTTAACAAAATATGTTCCTCTTGCTGCTATTTTGAAGATACTTTATGTCCTCAGAGTTCTCTGAAGTAACTACTATTCAATTAACAAACATTTTGGTAGAAATGATGATCTCTTCATTAGGCTGTCTCCACCCCTTCCTTCATATACTATACTGTCATTAATCATGCAAGCTACATGCAAAATACAGTGATTTTTTTGCCATTAAAATGTTTCCATTAAAGGTTCAAAATTCACTGTGAATAACTGGATTAAAAAAAAAAAACAGGTTAAATCTTAAAAACAACAAAGCCAAACTTTTTGGTAAAAGGGGTGACTGAGACATAACAATGATGCATCCTTTAAAATTAGGTCTTAGTCTAGGTTTGGTCTAGACTGCAATGTCTAGACTAAAATGCAGTCTAACTACCGTGTAGACTATATTTTAAAATGACTCAAGTAGCCTTACAGAAAAATGATAAGAGGTTCTATTCTTCCAAAGCAAATAATAATGTTAAATGATAATTTAACTTTTTGTTACTTTCTATAAAAAAGCAGCAACTTATTAATTACTAAGACAAGAAACTATTCTTCTTCTCTTGGGAGGTTTTCTCAAGGAAAATGAGTCCTGATAGGACACATCTTCCTTCTTTGGGGACGTTTTCCTTGAGAAAACTTATAATAAAATGTTTTTATTATGTTCAAGGAAAACGTCCCCAAAGAAGGAAGACTGTGTCATATTAGAAAAGTATGCCTTAAAAATAGTAAGAAAAACTTAAAAATTAAAGTAATACTTACACTTGCTCGTCTTTTGAGTCTGTATTCTGAAAAATAACATAAGAATCAGTAATCTATATCAACTATATCAAAACAACATAATAGTAATATGATTGCATTTAGGTCAGTTTTTCTCAAAAATTTGTGATCATAACTAAAGTAAGAAATATAATTCATCATGTCATATGTACTTGCACATAAATTTTTACACATAAGTATAAAACTGAAATAAGGTTCCGTGAAATAAAACTTACTCATATTGTAGTGATGAACTCTAGCATTTTTTTATTTCTATTTATTCTATTTCCTTTTCTTAAAATGGCAGTTGTGAGTTACTAAATTGGTCTTATAATCTATTACTGAGTCTTGAAACATGACTTGAAAATCACTGATTCAGATGATAGAAATGAGTATTGCGGCTGTGTTTGTACTGATTAGTATGCCTTTGGACACAATGTATGTAATTCCAGCATATTCCTACACTAACTACAAGTGTTCCTGAAAACCTACACATAAGGAGAAAACAGACTGATACTTTAAGAATCTCAGAAAAAGAAGTGTTAAGAAGAACAAAATTTGAAAAAAACCCTTAAAAGCCTAAAACTTTATGTTCATTAAAAGAAAACTATAAAGGCAACATACCAAATAAAGGTAATATCAGTGACATTTAACACATATTAAACTAAGAGTATTACAGTATTAATTTCTACCATCTCTTGGACACAAGAAACTTCAGGGTCTCCTTCTCCACAGATACAATGCTGTGTGTATGAATTTGTTTACTTTCTTGTCTGTATACTAAGATTTTTGTGTTTCAGTGTCTGACCTTATGCTTAATATACAGTGCCAATTTGATTCTATGATTTAGAATTATTGACTCCTGTCTTTGCTCTAGTGTACTTGAATACCTGACTTGAAAAGACTTTAGGTTGTTTACAATAAACACATCTAGCATAATGGATTATTTCTCAAATTCCTTTTGGCTCTTCCCATGACAACTTTATGCCAATGGATATAACAGCCACACGAAGCCACCCAGTTTGATAGGCTCGATTTATTTCCTGTCATGTTTCCTTTTTCCCAAAGCTTCATCACAAGTGTTCTATTCTTGTGCCCTACTTAACTCTGAGTGGTGGACGGGAGGATCTAATTAACCCCCAAAAGAGTTATTAACAATTTGGGAACATTAGAAACCAAATACTAAATGCTTAACTGAAGAAAGGGAACATATAGAGTAGCTACAAAGTTCCCATACCTTCTAGTTAGAAGTTATCTATACTGTCCCCTCTATTTGCTATATAAATTTTACTTTTCCTTCATATTCTTTCAGAGAGTCCCTGATAGGTCCTTTTAGGATGTCGGATAGACATGTTATATAATAAAATAAGTAACAGAGGACACAATTTCATGCATGGAGCCTTTGTCAGCACTGCATAACAAATGCAAATTTCTATATGCTATAATTTTTCATGAGAACTTCTGATTAGAGAATTTGGTTTATGTTATTTTATTTTTTTGAAATGGAGTCTCCCTCTGGTTGACTTCGCTTTTTATAACTGGTTGCTTTGCGCTACAACTAAACAATTTTTTATGCCTATAATAACAGTAATTATTTAAATAAGACTATTCCACATGAAATAATAACATGTATAAATTTTAGCATTTTTATGTCCTAGGACATTTTTTTAGGTCCCACTTTAAAACTTGGGTAAAAGATACGATATAAGATCTCTCTTCTAATGTCCAAATTTTATCTTGATAAAATTATCTTACTTTCAAAAAGTATTTCAACTTAATAATATAAATTGAAGAAAACCTTAGGATATTAAAGAAACAAAAGTTCCTAGATATTTGTTGACATTTAATTAAAAAATTACTAGTCATGAATTTCTGAGTGGTATATTTACAATAATATTATTTCCAGTTGTGTTTGTTCCCTTTTTAATTTCAATTTGATGAAGAAATAGGATTTTCATTTAACTAAATTTGAGAATTTGAGCATTATCATATTTTAATATTATGGCAGTAAAAACAAGACACATTATATGTCCTTGCAACTTAGTTTGGTGATTTGACAGCTGTGAATTTACTTGGCCAGTTTTATGTAGTATTAGACCCTCTACTAATCGATACTTTGGCAAAAATTAAAAATATCATCAAAATAACAAACGTTTGTTTTATCAGATAAGAACTGTCTAAAAGTAAGAAAAATATCTCCATACTCACATTTTTAAATAAAATTTAATTTTCATAACTTTTAAAATAAGTTATAAGTGATTGTTAAATATAACAATAATGATATTTTACTTATCAGATTTGAATATAAATTATCTTTTTTAAAATCTTGACTTCATTAAGTATTTTACAAAATCATCTTCATTGTCTTAAGTTTCATTAATGATTACAATTTGGTTACACTTTCAAATGACTAACAACATGGGGTCACAAGATTGTAGCTGGGCAAATATTCTCATTCAGTTTATAATACGCAGAATATATCAAGGTTTTAAATATATTTTTCAGGCTAGAAAATCATTTTTTCACCACAAAGTTGCATAACATGGTGGTTAGCTATACGCTTGATTAAAAAAAGACAAGTGGCTTTCCCTTATAGTTTTCCAAGCAATTAAGAGACTCGCAGCTAAAACTGTGCTAGATACTGACTTGTTCATTTTGCAACTGACAAAAATCAAAGCAGCAGCAATGCAAGAAGTTTGTATTTGTACCTTTTTGTGCACATTATTGCATTTTGGCATAGTCTCAGACATAAAGGAAAAAAATCAAGATTTCTCAAAGTTTTGAAAGCGGCTTCTAAACATATCAATAAAGATATGACAAAAATAAACTGTTCTTAAAACAATCAGTATGCATTTTAAAAGTAAGTGGTATGCAGAAATTAATGAAATTTCCATGTGACTAATTCAGTCTATATTTATATATGGTGCAAATGTATAAATTACAATTTAGGGACGTGAAGTACGAAATACCATTTCATACTTCAAAATCATTTAAAAATCATTCAGGATATAACAAATGTAGACTTCTCTATAATCATTTATTAAGTAAGCCATTGAATCATTTGAGCTATATGTCTACCTGAACTAATTTAAGTTCTAACAATGTATTCCTGTATTTAACTCGTGTCCATTATCAGTATTATAATGCTAGTATAGTCTCTTACCTTTTTATTCTTAGTCTTTTTCTTTTTCCTTTGTTTACTCTTAACCTAGTAGGTAAGAAATCATTTATTAAATATATAATTCAAACTGCACAAAGGGTTATTTTGCAAAATATATTTCGTGTAACCACTGAGATCTTTTGTTTTCTAATATTATAGATATTTCTTTCTAGATTCTATGGAAACAATTATTTTTGTTTTTATCATTTTTATTTTAATCCTACTCTTCTGTCCTTACATAATCACTGATGTATAAAGGAACAACACAATGTCAGTAAGTAGGTTACTGATAAAAGTTCACAGATACTCACTTACACACATGGATATGAGTAACAAAGAGGAAGGCGCTTTTTAAAAGCAACATATTGATGCCCATGAGATTAAAAAAAAAGGTCTAAGAAGAATTTAGTGACTATATTATAACCGTTACCACTTATTTGTAACGAAATATGGAGATTCCATTTTGGATAATTTTCATTCTACCTCTGCAAATGGTGTCGAAATATCCCACTTTTCCTTTCTTTCCTTTCTATTTTACACTATACTTTCTTCTACTTTCCAATACCTTCCCACATCCACTTGGATCGGGATTAAAACAAACATATTATAATCTAGCATAATGCCTGCCATGTAAGTGTTTAATAAATGGTAGCAAAATAAATGGTTATGGCAGGAAAGATTATGGAAGGAAGTACTGAGGAAAGGACCATTCCAATTCAAGCTCTGTATAAACACTATGATAAATGTAAACTAAAATTATCTGGGATGCTTTAAATATAGCACATGCAACAAATTAAAGGCCCAGAATAAGTTCTTCTAATTCAAATATTAATGAAAGCTTATACTTCCTGGAGATCTTTAAGAGATTCTGTTGAAGATTCACTGGGTATTGAGGCCCCATCTTTATTAATTTCTGCAAACTGTATTTCAGGGCTTGATTTCACATTTATATTGTATTCCATGATAGGTGGACTTAGTTCTTCTTCCTCGTTCTGTAACTCTTCTATTTCAATACCTAAACATTAAAGGCAAAATTCTCAAAATCTAGATGAAATAATTTCAGCTTCTTATCAATATTATAAATAATGTTTGCCCAAAAAAGCAACATTCCCAAAATAGAAATAAAAGATATCTTACTCTTTTCAATTACTCAATGAAAATGTGATGTTCATTTATCAATTACCAAATTGCCAAACAGCCTGGAACCTAAATGCCATGTTACCTACTGGTATCTTAAGTAGACTCTAGATATGGGATACTCCAGAACTTAAATAGACTCTAAATACTAACTTTTTGCATGTTCTGACCTTGGTCCTATTGATACTGCAACTAGTATTATTTTAGCACATATATCTGAAATATAAAGAAGAAACTAGAAGATCTATTTTTTATTTTTTCTTTATTTTTCATAAGAGGGATGTGAGCCCCCTATTACGTAACCTTTTCTTTGACACGTTGCTCCTTGATATTGCCCCAGAGACTCAGTCTCAAAACTTGTAGACTTTGTCTGACTGGTCTCAGATAGTCCAACAACACTTTACCCCAAACAAATACGTGGTATTTTTTCTTAAGCATAATTTTAATCGAAGGATATTAATTACACTTAAAAAATAATAGCACAAAAATGGAAATAAAAAAATTACAACTCACCACCTGGCAAAAAAATATATAGCTATAAACAATAGACAGACTAAATAAAATTATACATGCTAAATGTCAAACAGATAGGGAAAACGGGAAGGTATTTTTTCCTGCTGAAGTTTCTGTGAGTAAAACAGGAGAATATCCTTTTTGGGAAAATCCTGGAGCACATGCACTAAGTCCAGGGCAGAATAAAGATCTTTCTCCACTCAGCAGACCAGTAGTGACTTGACCACATAATTTTCCAAATTCTTAACAGTTATAGCTTATCTGATCAAATAAAAATTCCACAGATACCCCTTGTTAAAAAGTCACTTACATATTTTATTTTTAAATATACTTACACTGACTGCCCGTTATTGACTGTAGAGCAATTCCTATAATACATAAAAATAAATTTTAGATGTATAATTGCAAATGCAACAAATGAATGTCTGGCTAGGATTAAGAAAAGGCAGAATATTTTTATATTGCACCAATTTATCCTGTAAGCAGCTGGAAAAATAACCAGTTTTGCTCATCAGTCCAGTTTAGACAAGGCACAATCTTTAGATTATTATATAAAGGTTATAAACTCATGATTAGAGAAAAAAAAGAGTAAACAAACAAAAATGTAGTATCACAGATAAAGCCTAGAACACAAACACTTTAAACCAAGCAACAAATACTTGTGTTTACAGTCCTACGCCATGAAATAATAGTTAATTATACAGCAAACCTCCACTGAAAGTTGGGGCCTTTTTGGCAATCTGATTTATCCAGGTTAGCACTTGTTCTCCTTGCCCATTAATATTTATTGAGCACCTACAGTCTATATCAGGCTGTGTTAAGATCTAGAGATTGAATGGTGAAGGAAAAAAGACAATCTTCCTGGAGATTTAGTGGGATGATGTATGTTAATCAAATTACCAGATATCCAAATGAAAAGCAACTATAATAGCTAAGGAAAGGAATATAAGATTCTAAGAAAGCCTCTATTAAAGACCAATAAGCTCTTCAGACTACTTGAGTAAAAGCTGTTTAAAATGCTTTGCATTGAATGAGTACTCAAAACTCTTTCTCAAATAATTACTCTATTCTCATGAATTTTTGTTATTTAAAATCCTAATAAATATATTTTTTAAAACCCAAATTTGTAAGTCAAAGATTCTTGCCTGACTTTCTTATATATCAAACTGTGTCCTTTTCTTTCATGCTTATATTATGCAAGAAAACAAAGGTATTCCAGAGCCTTGGTAAATACCAGGACTGAAATTGGACATAATAATTATCTCTAAAGAAAATCTGGACCAGATCACTAGAAACTTGTAAAGTTGTATGTTTACATAGCATCTTCAGTTGTTCACTAGGCTGTAAATAACTTGGGACCAGGAAGTTCCCTGAATAGCATAGCAAGGTTTTCAGTGATGTTGACATGCCTTGAACTCTGCTTTCCAAGAGAATAGCTGAGAAGGGATCCTGAGATATGGGAGAAGAAGTCTGAAGTCTTTTCCATATCAACAGACAAGTTGGGGAATGGCCATTGCTGAATGCAGACACTTGCATGAATGTTATCTGATTTTAAAAATTACCTACAGCCAATGAATAGCTGCTAAAATTGTAAACTAAACAAGGTTCTGCTAAAAAGGAGAAAAAAACATATCCACTGCGTCTAAAAGGACATCTTTGAAACCACATAGTACCTATATGTGATGGTTTTAGACTTTACTAATTTTGGAGAATAAAACACCACTTAAAGTGATAAAACTCTACTTAAAAGTCTTCAATGATTTATTTCTGAAAAATGCAAACTCCTCAATGTGACTAAAAAAATCCTCTTGAATGTATTCTATGAGCTCTTTCCTACTTTAATCTTAATAATGCCAACCTTTTTTACTTTGCTGCAGTATATTTTTGTATCTATACCTTTATTTTTATTTCTCTCTGAAACATTCTTCTCCTTCGTCGTCACTTGGCTAACATCTGCATGCCATTAATAATTCTTTAACTATTATATTCTCCAGAAAGCTTTTTTGGACTCCTTTAGCCTAGGATTTCCCATGGTATTCTGGAAACATCTCTAGCACTATAATTTCTATTACCTTCCTAATGCGTCCATTCTCCCAAAAATGTGAGCTCACTGACTCTCTTGCCCTTTGCACTGTGCCTGGCCCAGAGCAGACATTCAGTGGAAGTTTATTTGCTGAAGTAAATAATCATTTAGTACCTTGTTGATAGCAGGATAACATCCTCTGTATGATTTCTGGTACGGGTATGCCTAGGTAGATGGACAGCTGATGGTAATCAAGGGAGATATTCTCAATGGGATTCTCCTTCACTTTATCAATATCTTCTTGCTTCATCCCAAGGCGCAGAAGAATATCTGAAACTTTTTTCCAAATTGAATTGAATTGTGACTCAGTGAGACCATTCATCAAAATCTCACTAAGGAGGATATCCCTGTATTTGCACAGTCTCAGGATGTCTGCAGATTTAGAGATATCAGAAGATGGCGGTTCCATATTCCATCCTTTTTTGGGTGCAGGGAACACATTCAAATGCTTTATGAGAGCTAGTAGGAGGCATAAGTCAAACTGTTTGGATTGTGGTAACTCCTTGTTTGGAGGATAAAGCAGATGCCATGATCCACCCAAAGGATGATTGGTCCAGAGATGGTTGTAGTAAGATTCCAGCACATTCTTGTGTATAAGAAGCTCTTTTCTCAAAAGAGGGGGTGGCATAGCCTCATCAAATATTTGCCGAACAATGTCAGTACCAGAAATAATAATTATATGAAGCAGATGATAGAAATAATTATAATCAAGCTTGAAGATAGGCATTTCATCTGAAAATAAATTTTGGGAAGTCAAGACATTCCACATTAATGCTCTTTTTCTATTTGGTCTCTCATATTTTATCCTTAGCTCCCGTAGGATAAAAACTGTTCCAAAAGAATGAAGCACAGTACACTGCTTTGCTACAACCAGTGCTCAATAAGCATGCTGCTTTCTCTCTGTCAAAAAATCTAAACAGAAACATGTTCCCAAGCAAAAGTAATGAAAGACTAATCACCACAGAAGTCTTTCAACCATCCAAGGTTTTGTTCAAGTAAATGATCTTTGGCAACAAAATAGCATCAAAGTATTAGATCTTTAAAAATTCTGAAATTTGCCAAGGCTGCTAATTGTCAACGTTTAATTATGCTTTACTTAATCAATTATACTTTATCCTAATCAGCACTGTCCAACAGAACGTGGTGTGATAAAATGTTTTATATTTGCACTAATACTCGTGGAATACTGGAAATGCTGCTTGGGTGCTTGGGTGACTAAGAAACTGAATTTTAAATTTAATTTTAATTAACTTAAATTTAAGTAGCCACATATAGCTAGGGACTACTATACTAGATAGCTCAGATCTATATCAAGAAATGCAAAAAAATCTAGTTCCTTGCTACTCAGAGGGTAGCCCAGAGACCAGCAGCATCAGCATCCACCTGAGAGCCTGTTATAAAAGCACAGTCTCAGGCCCCACTGCAGACCTACTGAACTGAAATCGGCATTTTAACAAAATCACCAGATATATCAAATATATGTATAATGTTTGAGAAACCCTGACTTAATAAACGTCATCTTCTTACCCCTTCAAAAAAAGATAATAAAGTAGATATTTCATCAATAATACGGAATAAGGCATGAAACTGAACTATTTGGTATTTTCCTGTTTTAATAATGATTTCAAAGGAGAAAAGTAGGCTGAAGTGAATTAGAAAGTACTAATAATTTGATATATGATGGCATTTGGCTTTTGTATGTATATCAAAATATGTATCTGTCACATAATACAACTTTATTATTTTATCCTTCAAGATTTTATGTTTCAAGAGATTTTTTAAATTAACATTTTTGCTTGAAATATTTGATATACACTGGGAGGGGGGCAAAGTTAAAAAGCAAATGACACAGGGAGCTTCCTTTGGGTTGCCAAATAAGAAGTTGGCTGGACTGCCACCAAACTATTCTTCCATGAGCCCAGGGTCCCTTAATTAAGGTCTTCAGGTTCTGGGCAGGAAATGTACTAGCACGCTCCTACACAGCTGGCAGCTAAGTTTAGAGTAGTTGGTCTCAAACTCAAAATGTTCATTCCTTTCATGTAAGGGTACTCTAATGCTTGCTCTGTTAAGAAGGAATGCAGCAAGGGAAGGAGGGTTGGTAGAGAACCTCTGCTAGGTCACAATCCCACAGTATAGTTAGAGCTATGCACCAGAACTAGCATGTCTCTCTATAGAATGCCAAGGTAATGTGAGGTCCATACATCTGCTGATCTTCCTGTCTGTGATTTCCAGCCTACACCAAATGCTGCTTGCTGGTATAAACCCAAGTTCAGTGAATGACAAACGCAGTGAAGATGTGGTAGTTAATGGCATGAAAGTTGACAACAGAAGTAAAAAATTTTAACACAGTTTTCAATGGAAGGCATATAAAAATAAAATAATACCTTTTGCATTAAATTTTAAACTGATCTTCGGTCTTATATCAGTATCAGCTATTTTCAGAGATACCAAGTTTTTATAACTGAAAATGGAAAAAAATTAAGTTACAGTGGAAATAAAATAATGCCAAAGTCAGTCAAGATTTCTAGTATAAGCATGAGTATTTCTAGTATAAGCTGAGTATTTTCATCTTCTACTCCTAGAAATAATTCAAGAAGGAGAAAAATAAATGAACAAATAAAGCCCACCAACAATGACAACCCTACATTGTCACTTTCATTGGAATTATCAAGTAAGCAGTAGTGCCAGATTTCATACTAAAACAATCACATTACAAACTTCCTTGCAAAAAGGTTGTATGGTAGCAGAAAACAAGGAAAGAAAGCTTTGCATTGTAAAACAAAAAAAGCAAACAAGCAAACAAAAAATAGCAAACTTGTAAGTCCTCCCTGGCCCTCTCTTCATCACATAAATTTTTTGGCAATAACTATTCCAAGAAAACCCAACTCACTTAACGCCTAGTGATTAAAAACAATAAAGATGCCAAAACAATAAAAATAATTAGAAAAATGAAGTAGCAAAATGTATTAACTAGACTAAGCACTAGGTAAATGTTGCCATTAAACAGACAGCTTCACTTTGAAATGAACCACAGAAAACAAAACAAAAAAATATTGGACAACACCACAATGCAAGCTTAATGAGGAAAGGGATTTTGGTGGTGGTTGTTATTTTTAACTGATTTTATCTCCAGTACCACTATTACACTGTTAGTTACACATTACACTGAAAAAAACGTAAAACTCTTAACAATATGAAGTTACTGGCAAAGATACTGAGTAAAAGGTATCTCCTATACAGTTTGTGGGGAGTGTACATTTGTAAAACCACTCTGGAAAACAATTCGGCAAAAGCTAGTAAAGTTACAGATACACACAGGTGGCTTAGAAATTCTACTTTTAGGTATACATTCTGGAAATTTTTCTGCTCATATAGACCTAGAGACACGTACAAGAGAGTTCACTGCAAAACTATGGTTATAGCCAGGAACTAGAAATAAATCTGTCAATGGTAGAATGATTAAATTAGTGAAGAAATAATCTAAAGTTAGAGCAATAAAATGAAAACACTAAAGAATGATATTAAGAATGGAATCAGGCCGGGCGCGGTGGCTTGAGCCTGTGATCCCAGCACTTTGGGAGGCCGAGGCGGGTGGATCACGAGATCAAGAGATCGAGACCATCCTGGTCAACATGGTGAAACCCCGTCTCTGCTAAAAATACAAAAAATTAGCTGGGCATGGTGGTGCATGCCTGTAATCCCAGCTACTCAGGAGGCTGAGGCAGGAGAATTGCCTGAACCCAGGAGGCGGAGGTTGCGGTGAGCCGAGATCACACCATTGCACTCCAGCCTGGGTAACAAGAGTGAAACTCCGTCTCAAAAAAATAAAATAAAATAAATAAATAAATAAAAATGCATAAAAACAAATGTTTCCATACATAATGTTCAAAACAAAAAAAATTAAACTACACTTATAAGTAACAATAATTTATAAAATAAGTAGAAATAAAACATATGAAAACAATAGCACAAAAAAGGGAAGAAATGGAAATCTATTATTGCAAGGTTCTTACACTATACATGCTGTAGTATAGTATTATTTAAAAACAGACTTTGGTAAGTTAAAAATATGTATTATAAGTCCTCAAGCAATACATAATGCCCTCAAAAAAGGGTAAAACTAATAAACCAAACCAGGAAATAAACAATAAAGACAGATAAAGCACACTGAAAACAACAAGGAAGACAGATTTCCAACCATATAAATTAGTAAAGAAAATCCATATGAAATAAAAAACCCAATTTAAAGGCAGAGATCGTCATTTTGGATATACAAAACAAGAAAGACCTATGCCACCTAAAATGATATATATAGGTTGAAGTAAATGGATGCAAAATACTAAACTAGATATACTTCAATGCATTAATCAAAACAAAGCTGGAGTAGCTATATTAATATCAGACAAAAAACACAAGGCAAGAATATTATCAGGGTTAAAATGAGATGTTAAATAAAAATAAAAGGGTCAAATTGTCCAAGAAAAAAGGTAGCAATCCTAGATGTGTGTGTAGCATTTAATAAAAAAGTTTCTAGATTACAATTAGACAGTAGACAAAAAATATAAATAGTAGACGTCAACATTCCCTGAGTAATTGATAGAAAAAGTAAATAATAAAAAATGACATAGAATGCTGAAACAGAGCTGTAAACTAATTTTATCTAATAACTATTTTATTCAAGAGCAGCAGACAGATTCTTTACAAATGCAAGTGCAACATTCACCAAGATATATAGTAATATGATCATAAAATAAATTACTGCAAGGGAATTAAGCTGAAAGTCAGTATCTGGAAAGATAGCTGAAATATTCCCAAATATTTGGCAATTAAACAAATACTTCTAAAGAGCCCATGGTTAAAACATACACACACATATGAAACTAGAAAACATTTTAAATATAATGAAAATAGTAATAATAAATTTCTACATATCAAAATATACGGGAATACAGCTAAAGCAATGCTTAATGTAAAATAAGTTTATAAAGAACAAAGGTCTTGTATCAATGATCAAAACTTACACCTTAAAAAAAAATTAAAAAACAAAGCAAATTAAACCCAAAGCAGCAAAAGCAAGGAAATTACCAAGACCAAGCATCAATAAAATTTAAACAAAAATATTATAGAAAAATCAAAATTAAAAGCAGATTATTTGTACAGATCAACAAAATTGATAAACTTCTATCCAGAATGATCAAGAAAAAAAAACAAAGACACAAATTGCCAACATCAGAAATGAGAAAGGTGACATTGCTACAGAGAAAAGGTCTCTTTGGCTGAAGGAACCAGAAAACTGAAATGGAATCATGACCAGTAAGAGAATGGGGTAATCCTAGAAGAAAAAGCAGTCAGAAAAGAGATCCTCAAATTCTTTCTCACAACGTCTTTGAACGCTGAACCGCATGTATAGAACAGACTAAAAGCAGCTCAACTAAAGCCAAAAGATCTGGACTGAGACTGGATGCACCACCCAAGAAAGAGTTCAAAGTTCACATCTAGCCAAGTTAGTGGCCTGTCAAAGTAAAAGTAAGATTACCCACTAGAGAATAATGGAATCCAGAATCTCTACAACCACTTTGTATTTATTGCTGTCTAGCTATGTGCCAGGTATTACGCTACATGCTGGGAACATCCTAGAAAACAAGATAAAGTTCTTGTACTCATGGAGGTGTAATTACACTCAAATGGAGAAGATGGCCAAGAAAGTATAACAAAAGTTAATAAATGTTTTGATAGGAGACATAGAAGAAATACATCACAGAACATCTACTGTAATCTAAGTAAGGCTTTTCGAAAGTTTTAACTGGGCAAAGTCAAAGGAGCAGAGTATTCCAGGCAAAGCTTGGAGGTCAAATACTAAACCAGATATACTTCAGTGCAAAAACTGGGCAGGTTTCTTGACATAGCACACTGAAGAAACCAAAAGAAGCTCCGTATAGTTGGTACATATATGGTTAAGACTAAAGTGTCAAGGGATGACAATAATGAGTTCAGCTGTGTACAAGGTTAAGTCAAGAGTCAAACTAAAGAATCTGAACTTAATTTTAAAAGCAATGAGAAACTTCTGAAAGATCTTCATGCACAAAGTGATATATTCCAATTTTAATGTTAGAAAAGTCCTATTGATGGTTATGAAAACAACAGACTGAATAAAGGAAAGGCTAAAGACAGACACGTTAAGAAGCTGTTTGAGAATTCCAAATGAGAAATAATGATAACCTGATTTCATTTAGTGAAGTAGTAGAGATAGGGCAGAACTAAGAATAAATTTATATTTTAAAAGCTAAATTGATAGTACTTTTTTAAAAGTTACAAAGCAGTGGTAGAAAGAAAGATAATGAGTCCAGTTTTGAACATGCTAAATTATAAATATTTTTGAAAAATAAAACTGGAGATATTCAGTATGGAGGTAGGTATACAAGGTAAAGCTTTTAAGAGAGAGATACGTGCTAGAGATCAAGATTTGGGCTTCATTAACTAATAAGGGAAAATTGATGCCTTAGATGTCAATGAAATGTCCCTACTAGACTGAAAAATGGCATTTACACTTTAGACAGAAGAAAAAGAGAATCAATAGATTAGGAGAACTTTTATATTGAAACTTCTAACTTCAGTAGCAAGACTCTATAGTACCTCTATTAATTCCAGTCTTATCAAATATATTATTCTGCAATACAGTTTTCTCATCAAAGAAACAGGAAGGTTCTAATTGTAAGATAAACTTAGTGGTTTGGATAAGCTTCAAAAGATAGAAAAGTCTTTATTTCATAACAAACTACTTTAAGAAAAATATGTTTTATCTTTAGAAAAGGATTATTTTCACACTTAATGTGAAAGCATCCACATAATTTCTCCGTATCTGTTTTAGAATGTAAATGTCTAAAATAAGTGGGAATAGAGAGGGAAACAAATGGAATTAAATATGATTTTTTTCATATACCTAATACTACCTTAAAATTTAATGGAGTTCCATTAGGTGACAGAAACACAGAAGAATTAAGCAACCAAAAAATATATACAGATTCCAAAAAAGGTAACAGAGTAGTTTATTTTAAACTTACCTTGCTCCTAAATTTTCAATGGTTATATATTCATCCTTTCTCACAACTTCAAACTGCAAGTAATGGGGAAAAAATTAGCTTTAAAGTACTTCAATTTTCAAAATTTTTAATGTTATTTCTTAGCCTTAACATTTGAAAAATACAATGAGAGTGAAGCTAAAGTGAATATAAAACAAACAAAACAGAAATAACAAGGTAAGTAATAAACAATCCTGATCAAAAAAACAAACTAGAGTTGACCTTAAAAAAGCAGTTCTACTTTAGACTTTCCATCACTATAGGATTTAAATGCCAAATCTGAAATACTAAAACAGCATATTTAAAAATAAAGAAACAAATAAGATACATTTCTATTCATAATTTTAGTCTGTTTAGTTATAAACTAAAAATTCAACAAGATATTTCATTAGTTAAAACATAAAATGGACATCATCTGACTGCATTTTATGTAACAGGTACTACATGTGATGTTCTACAGATATTTTCACAGGAGGATATTTACAGACCAAAAGAGGTTCAGAAAGTCTAAAATTATTTTGAAACGTAGGTGTCAAAGAATTAGATTATCATTCTTAGTTCATGATGCTTTCTTTATTGGTATACTTACGGCATGTTTTGTCTTTGTTTCTCTTTTTGCGTGTCTTTCTCTTTATTTTTAAATTTTTCTTGTTCTTAAGGACACTTAAATATTACTTTGCATAAATCACAGCAATAAAAATGTCAAAAAACCCAGTCACTATCAAAGGGAATATGGCTAGAATCCAATTACGATGATCCCCAACTCTGTTTCAGGTCAAAAATACTCTTCCAATGAAGGAAAGCAAAAAAAAAAAAAAAAAAAAGGTGAAATAAGACACTCACCAAAATTTTAACAATTCCAGGTACATCACATTGCAGCATCCTTGCCATGTCACCTGTACATCCTTCCTTCAAACATTTCTTCGCAATAAAACTCTAAAGTTATTAATAGAAAAAAATCACTGATGTGCAAATCCGATTATATTTAAATAAATGTTGTTAGAAACAAATGTTGCTAGATAGTAAACTGGAGTATGTGAATAAATATTTGAGAAGTAGCTGTTCAAAGATGGTCCATTTCATAAATAAATGGATATCCTATTTAAAATGCATTTCACTCTACATCAAAACTGTCAAGCAGCAACATTACAGACTAAAATGCATTTGCTGCTCCAGAGAAAGCAACTTCAAATAAAATGTATTAATTAAGTGAGTATAAAAAGGATTACTGAATTTCTATCAGGGAAAAGGAAAGAATAAAAATGTTACATCCTTTTTCTAGTTCTGGCCTGTGATTTCTTTTGGTTAAGTCACTTATTTTTATTTTACTTCTCTTTCTAAAATTCAGTAATATTAATTGGTCCCCAAATCAAGGAAATTGTAAAGTATTTATATACCACTTAAAATTGATTAAGTAAATATTTATAAAGTTGTTTTTACAGTTTATAATGTGAGTTCATCTGTTTTATCTGTTAATTCTCACAAAAACCCTATGAAATAGGTTTATCTTATCCTTACTTTAGAACTTAAAAAAATTAGTCTTTGAGCAATTACCAGTCTAACATAATAAAACTAGTAAGTGGCTCAGTCTGGATTTTAACCCAGATCTCCCAACTCCATATTCCATGCACTTTCTACTACAGCACAATTGCTTTAAAGGGGTTTTCTATTGTTTGCAGAATGTAAACACTACAGAATCAAATATTATAGACCCAACTTATGGTCATCAACTCACTAAAGAGAAATTAATACAGAGCTGGGCTTAGTATTTTCACTTTAATATTAGAGGCAAATAACTCTATTATATGTTATATAATAGTAATTATAACAATTATATGTTATATATAATAGTCATAACTATAATATATAACTATGTTATGTTATATAATTATATTATCTATAACTATATATATGTATCTATAACTACAGATATTAAAAGTTCCAAATATATTTTTCAAGACCATGAAATTTGTCCTTGTTCTTCACCTCTTAAATAGAAATCCTTAAAATTGTATAATTATCCTTTGTATGTTTATTAAGAAATTCTATTCTATTATCCTACATGCATATATGCAACAATATTTCTATTCTTAAGAGTATACATTTCTAAAAGGAAGGAAATAAATTGACGGAAACCACTAAGCAAACCAACCAGTAGTGTATCATCTACAAAGAACTGTTTAATAAATGATGATGAATGAAAAGTGGTAGGGAGATAAGCATCAGAGAGAACTGGGAAAGAACAAAGAAGGTATTAAAAGAAAAAGAAAAAAGAAGTAAAAAGGAGGGACGTTATGAATAGGAAGAAACGATAGGGAAGAGAACAAAAGAGGAAAGGGTAGAGGAAGACATGCTATTGTAGTTTTAAGAACGAATATAGTACCTGATCATTTTCACCTGGATATTTTAAATTCTTGAACCTTTTCCAGCAAATTTTGTGGAAATAAACACAGCAATTTTTACTGCACATTAACTGAAAAAATCCCTGGAAAAATATAAAAGTAAGTGTCACTTAAGGACATAGCGATTCTTATATACACATAAAAAATTATACTAAATCATTTTTAAAACTGTTCTACAATTAGATTTTATAAGGTATTCAAAATTTATCAACAGAAATCAGAGATCACCAAATAACTTTACAAGTCATTTTACATCACTAAAGACAGGAAAACTAAGGCAGAAAAAAAAAAAAAAAAAAAAAAAAAGGTGAATAATTTGAAAATGTTAATATAATATTTTCCATATGCTCTGTTAACAAAACATCAGAAACGCAGTGAGGGTTGTCTATAGAGGAACATGCAATCTACCCATCTTCATCTCCATTTTTACATTTCTCTTTTCCACCAACCCCAGCTCCATACCATTACTGCCTCAATCTCCTCTGTTACCAATCACGAGAACTCAGGTTTGCTGCCTTGGTGATAGCTCCTGAGCTACTGCATTATCTGAGGGTATAGATTGCTTGTCCTTTCCATTGCACCCTCCCTGGAAACTACAGCCTTGCTTTTTACAATTTTTGTTTTGATGACAAAAATTAAATTGTATGCTCAGGTATTGTTGCTGCTACATGCTGTTCATTTGATTAGAACCCTAAAGCATTCTTGGGAAACCTTAGGACTATATCACCATGTCACCTAAAGCAATACTGAACAAGCCTGACCATGAGCACTGCATCTACCAGGCTCATTTTTCAATCCCTGTCTTATTCTATTGAATAGATCTTGGTCTTCTCCTTCTCCCCACCTACTGCACGGGCTGTACACATCATGCCTTGAAATTGAGATTTCAGTTATTTTTTAGAAGTATTATCTGATTTGCATATCATCTCATTCTATCTTGTGATTTCACCAAGTCTTGTTCTGATAGATCCAGAGAGATCTATCAGAGGTATTCTGATAGCTAAATTTCTTCAAATCAAGGCTGGTTACATTTTCCCCTGTCAAGGCCCACAGAAGAGATAATGATCACTTATGTAGTAGCATCATTCCTGAGGAGTGACAGCCTTTCTCCTTAGTCAAATGCTACCATTCTCAACCACTAACATTTCTAACTATAAAGTAAACCATTTTTAGATCATTTTCACTGTATGGTTGGCTGTGGGAATAATACTTATAACTTCAGATGCATGTGAATGTTACAAAAACCTTAGCAAAATCAATTTATTCTTTTATTGACTCATGAAATATAAATAATTCCTGATGGCTCTGAATCTTAAGTTCTCAGAGATAACTTTTCAACTGCTTTTCCATTGTAATTAAACTAAATACTGTTTAAAAATAATTTATGAATAATATAATTTTTATAATGGTATATAGTTATATATAATTTTTCAATTACATTAAAAAAAACTGTTAATGACAATCACAGTACCTTATAACTGGTGTTCTTCACAATGTCAGCTTCACAAGATCGTTCACAATCTAGGTAACTACAAATGGTCTGCTTCATTATATTACTTTCAGTTGTCTTGATAAAATTATTAAGAAGATCCTAGATTTTAAAAACAGAAATAATTCTCATGAATTATTAATAAAAAATTAACACCACAATTAAGACTACCCATGTTTTACCTTGGTAATATGTCCATATCATATTCCTTTTTAAAGTGCTTGTATATATGTATTTTTTTAATAGTAATAAAACATTTCCCTAATTCAAAGTAAACAATGTATAGGAAGGTACTAAATTAAAAGTACTGGATTTCTCAGTGAATGATATAAACATGGAGGATGGAGAGAAGTGTATTTTGACGCTTTACTTCTCTTTATCATCTAATCCATAGCATAACACCTGGCATGTTCCTATCAAGAATTATTTGCTCTGGCCAGGTGCAGTCGCTCACACCTGTAATCCCAGCACTTCGGGAGGCTGAGGCGGGTGGATCACAAGGTCAGGAGTTCAAGACCAGCATGACCAACATGGTGAAGCCCCGTCTCTACTAAAAATACAAAAATTAGCCAGGTGTGGTGGCACATACTTGTAATTCCAGCTACTCTGGAGGCTGAGGCAGGAGAATCGCTTGAACTCAGGAGGAGGAGGTTGCAGTGAGCTGAGATCATAACACTGCACTAAAGCCTGGTCAACAGAGTGAGACTCCATCTCAAAAAAAAAAAAAAAAAAAAAAAAAGGAGTATTATTTGCTCTCATATATACACACAGAAAGACAATAAATTGCTGGTGTCCAGGAGAATCTTGATCAGAACCAACCCCTAGGTCACTGCATTGGCAGTGGAACAACTGTGGTAGTACAGTATGACATTCACTGCCATGACGGTCTAAAGTACAGTAGAGAAATATGTTTTCAATGTCTACAGTTACAAATCAGAATATAATTTCTCATTTTAAAATGCTGATTTAATGGCCAGAAGTGGTGGTTCATGGCTGTAATCACAGTGTTTTGGGAGGTCAGTGCAGGAAGACTGCTTGAGCCCAGGAGTTCAAAGCTGCAGTGAGCTGTGGTAGCACCATTTCACTACAGCCTGGGTGACAGAATGAGACTCCATCTCTAAAAAATAGTATAAAACACATAAAAAATAAATGAAATGCTGATTAAACGCAGCTGAATCATGTTATCAGGTCTAAGTTAAATGATTTGATTAGGTGCTTCATATTTATCCTTTAGAGGAAGAGTGTTACAAAATTTCAAATAGTATCACTGCTAATATACTGAGGGTATATGATAAGATAAATAAGCCTCTAGAAATTATTTCACAAATATCAGCTCTATGCAGGAGGATAAAGTTGAGAAAATTTCCCAGAAAGTAGAAAAATAATTGAGAAATAAAAAAAATTAAAGACAGTCTAGTATGAAAGGCATCTGGATAAGTATTTCACAAAGAAAAAGAGAAAATTAAGAAGATATATCAATATATAAAACAAGAAAATGTTCTAGAAGCAAAAAACAAGTTCAGAACACTGGGACACAGAAAATATCCTTAACAATTCCCAGAAAGAAAAAAATAAAACAGGTCAAATACAAAATTTTAAAAATCATAATAAAATCTGGTTTCTTAAAAGTAGCATTAGAAGTTAAAAGATAACAGAAAAATACACAAGAGGCCAAAGTGGGAGGATTGCTTGAGCCCAGAAGTTTGACACCAGCTTGGGCAACATAGTAAGACCTTGTCTTTACTTGAGAAAAGAATTTTTTTTTTTAATTAGCCAAGTGCAGTGGCATGTGCCTGTAGTCTCAGCTACTTGGGAGGCTGAAGCAAGAGAATTGCTTAAGCACAGGAAGTTGAGGCTGCAGTGAACTATCATCATGCCACTGCACTCCACCCTGGGTGACAGAGTGAGACCCTGTCTCTAAAAAGAAAAATTATTTTCCACCCACAATTCTACACTCAAGCAAGATATGAATAGAGCATACAAAAGATAAATTATTTTGATACTTGAAAGGTCTCAAAAAATTTACCTTCCATGCAAGCTCTCTTTTACGGGAAGCTCTAGAGGCTACAGGAGTTGCACCACCAAAAGAAGGGAGCAACCCTAGGAAGGAAAACTTGAATTCTCAGAAACAGAGGATTCCAGATAGAAGAAAGGTGAAGAAAATTCCCAGGATGAGAGTGAACAGAAACCCTGAGGCCAGCTTAATAACTTATAGCTACCAGTAGGGTAGGATAGGGGATAGGGGGAGAGAGGGAGAGAAGGAAAGAGGGAGGAAGGGAGGGAGGGAGAGAGAGTGATAGAGTGATAGAGAGAGAGAGAGAGAGAGAGAGAGAGAGAATGTGTGTGCGTGTGTGTGTGTGTGTGTGTGTGTGTGTGTGTGGACATATAAGCAAGCTAAACTCTCATCTTTCATAGTGAAAAATCAAAAGAGAATATGTTTTAAATAGCAGCATTTTTTTTGAAAAATAAATATCAAAGAAAAATGTCTAGAAAGTTGGAAGAATGTCTCTAAGAAGCAGAATTTCAGTTAGAGATAACAAAACAGGAACTCTTATTTTAAGTCTTTAAATATTATTTGACAAACTGAGTAAGTATATTACTGTGCATAAAATAAAAATTCCCTTAAAAAGTTAGATAACAAAGAAAGCAAAATTTTTTTTTTTTATGCACAGTAGAGAACGTGTTTCACTTGTTTTACCCAGGCTGGAGTGCAATGGTGCGATCTCGGCTCACCGCAACCTCCGCCTCCTGGGTTCAGGCAATTCTCCTGCCTCAGCCTCCTGAGTAGCTGGGATTATAGGCACGCACCACCATGCCCAGCTAATGTTTTGTATTTTTAGTAGAGACGGGGTTTCACCATGTTGACCAGGATGGTCTCGATCTCTTGACCTCGTGATCCACCCGCCTCAGCCTCCCAAAGTGCTGGGATTACAGGCTTGAGCCACCGCGCCCGGCCAGAAAGCAAAATATTTTTAAAAGAGGAAGAAAAAGAGTAAAACCACCAAGTAAGAGACTGCTTTACGTAGGGATGAAAATTTAGTATTTTTAAAATGCATAAAATTATTACTTTAGCAAGTCAAAATTAAAAGTTATATGATTATCTTGACAATGCCAAAAGCTGTCTGCATGTTCCATTGACTACTGAGAGAGGTATATTAAAATATTCCATTGTGATTGGGGATTTAAAAATATATCAATTTTTGACCCATATATTTTGAAGCTGTATTACTTTCAATTTTGTCAATTTTTGTCCCATATATTTTGAAGCCATATTACTAGGTATATACAAATTTGAGTTGTTATATCTTTCAAGATAATTGAATTCTGTATTTTTATAAAGTGTCTCTCTTTATTTTGAGTAATTCTTTTGGCCTTAAAGTCAGGTAAAACATAAAGATCAATAAATATTTAAAGTTTCTTTAAGGTTTTGGAAAAGACATGTCATTCAAACATTAACCAAGAGAAACCTGGTATAGCCATGTTCATATTCAACAAATTAAAAAGAGACCCAAATGGCTTATCAGGTGGATTAAAAATTACCAAAAGGTAAAGGATACCCAGAAGGTATGGGAAAATGAAAAGTCTCACACTATTTGAAGAATATAAAGTGGTACGATCTTTCTGAGAGGAAATTTGGAGACATATAACAACTTTACAATTGTGTGAATACTGCTCCACAATCACACCTTTGAAATTTATTCTAATGAATTTATTAGCAATTTATTCTAATGAAATGATGTAAGAAATATGCAAAGATTACTTTATATAAGAAGGAAAAACTGGAAATGTCTAGAATAAACTAGCAGGTAACTAATTAAGCCAATTAAAGCAAAATTATACAATGGCTTATACCAAAATCACAGTGTATTATAATCTTTATTACTGAGAAATAAAAACTATTATATATTTCCAGACTATAAATAAGTATGCACAACATCATACCAACTTAGGAAAAATAAAGGCTATGAGTGTTTATACGTGTGTGTGTGTGTGTGTGTGTGTGTCTGTGTGTGTGTGTGTGTGTGTGTCTGGAAAGCTATAAATGAAAATGCTAACAATGGTTTCTCCATTTGAAGAAAAAATATAGATTAATGTCATCTTTATCTTTGGGCATTTTTATATTTTCCATGTTTTCTTAACTAAGCATTTAGTAGTTTATAATTTAAATCAACAGCAAAATAATGGTAAAGATAATTAGGAAAAAAAGTTAACTGCTACATTTTACTCTAATCATGCAGGGTACTAGCCTAATATGGCTATTAATATTCTTGTTATTTGAAAATGCTAACACTGCCACCTCACTTCTTCCTCCTTGTTGAATCATACATTCTGCACTAGATAACCCAATAAAGGTTGTTTCTTATATAAAAAGTTGTGTGTCAATAAAACAACGTGCTTGCTATAAGAATATGACATAGTTGGTTCACACTTTATCAAAGATGATTCTGATTAGTTACAAATAAAATGTTACTCTTAAATAATTTCTTACTTTAAAAGTTGTAGGTAAATCTTCATCTTCTGTAGGATCTATGTCAAACCAATGGTCATTTATATCTCCAATTTCTTGTAAGCCCTTATGAAATTCTAGCAGTCCCCCATTATATCTGCAAGACATTTTAAAATAAGGTTAGTTTGAATGGGAGTGTGCAGATGGATGGTTTACAATGAGACAACAAGTAACCAACATTTTGTGGTAAATAGGGCGGTGACAACCTCTGGCATGCCATAGAAATACAAACACTGGGACTCTCGCCTGTGGCAGATTGGGATGAAATACAGGTGGAAGGGGAGGCACTAGATTGTGTAGTAGCTCAAGCGTGAACAGTATGGGGGCCATGGTAATTAAAGGGACTATAGAGTTGGTTGGCTTTTGTTAAATGTCTTGGAGGCCTTGAACAAAGAGAATGACAGTCACAGGTCAGCAACTATTAACTCAGGTTACACAGCAAAAGCCAGACGGCCTCTATGGTGGCAATTTAAAGAAACTCTCATCTCCTATGGCCATAATCTGTGCTGAAAATAAGGCCCATATTTAATCATAAAGTGACACGAACTGCAAAGATATTGAATACACTGCCTCAACAAGACTAATACAATCAACTCAGGACATTGTGAAAACTAGAAGGCCTCTATGGTAACATCTAAAGAACCTCCTCCAGACATAAGGCAGACTATGCTGAAAATGAAGTTCAGAATTTAACCATAAGGGTAGAACAGCTGCAAAAGAAACCCAAAGCACAGCCTCAACAGAACTACACTAAAATTAGGACTTTGATATGCAATGGGTAGACCCTGGGATCTAAAATGGGGATATTTAGGTGAATATGCGTAGAAACACTGAATCCTTAAATTCCCCCATGAACTTCTTGACTGGCAAACACCTCTTCCTTACCACAGGAGAACAGCCCACATTTATTTAGAGACCATGCAAAAACATCAGCTGAGATGCATGTCTCAAAAGATGATGCCCTTCCTTCTTAAGATCTTCCCTACCTCATCGCCTTCAGACAATAAATCTAAGGTCAGGTGGAGAGCCCAAGTGAGAAAACAGAGCCCTTGCCCAGGAAGAAAAACCTTATTAATCTTAAGAATTGCAGAATCCCACTAGAATGTACTGGCAGGAACACGAGTGGGAGTGGATCTTTAAAGTGCTGAATTAAGGGTAAACATAAGGCTGGATATGGAAAAACTCTTCCATAATTCAAGATTTACTTTCCTAGAAAGGACACCTGAATCCAGTCCTAATAAGGTGCTGAGAAGGCTCCTTGAAACATGGACATGATGGTCTATAGTAAATGAAGTAGAAATGCTAAAAATTTCTTGGAGGAATATTAAAGCAGTCAGGAGGTTCAAGGAAGTGAGAATGTTAGAATGGACTTACTACATAAAAATACAGAACCCACCACTAATTCAGTGTTCCTAGGAAGGCTCAAAGGATACTCCATTCATTAATACAGTAAGAAATGCAGAGTAAGAAGGGCACATGTGTCTTTGAAGAGCTCAAGAACTCAGTGGTGGTTGTCCTCTATAGGCTAGGGATGAAAGTAATGATGCTGCCATACAACTGGACTTTCTAGTGTCAATCATGTAGAAAACGAATTATCTCCAATGTTCATCAGTAAAGAGAATATAAAACAGTTTTCACATCTGGGGAAGGACAGCAGGATAGATTCTTTATTCTTGTCTCAGGCTATGTTAATTCTCTTACTTTGTCACAGTATAGACTGAAGGGATTTGGATCATCTTGACACTGTGCAAACCGTCACACTAGCCCCACTATATTGATGGCACATGTTGCTCAGACCCAGGGAACAAGAAGTGAGAAGTCTTGTGGATATCCTAGCAAAAAAACACCAAGCCAGAGAATAGGAAATCAGCCTTGCAAAGAATCCAGGAACTACCACATAGGTGACACTATTAGGGATCCAATAGTTTGGCCCGGCAGTAATCCTTCATAAGAGGTTGCCCAAGTAAACTTTTCCTAATTCATCCCTCAGATCTTAGCCAAACATTGTTTCCTCAGGGAGACTTCTGATTCCCAGAACAGGCCTCCAGGAAAGACTTTATTCACTGAATTTTCCTTCATATCTCTTTATCCTATTTCATAAATGAGTATTTTATGACTGATTATTTGATTAAGATCTGTATCTTTCACTGTTCTTTCAGTTACATGAAGATAGGAACTGTATTTTGTAAACCATTGTAACCTCAACACCTAACAGTTTCTGGAATATAATGGATACTTAGTAAATAAAATGAATGAATGATGCTACTAACGGTTATGGATCTCCATATAGGAAGTAAAGAGACAATCTATATAGTCTTATCCATACAATTTCACTTTCTTAAAATAAGGAGAAGCCAATACTCCAAAAACTCAGCATTTGGACCCTTTTCAACTCTTTATAAGCTTATTTATACTTTTAAAAACTATTCCAAGTTAGTGGTGATAATACTAGTAACTCCAACTATCATTTATTTATTAAGTACAGCATTTTTGTGTCCCAGGCACTGAGTTAATCATCTGTAACATCCTTATGAGATGAACCACACACTATTATTAGTTCTATTTTAGAGGTACAAAAAAAAATATAAGGCTTAACAACATTAAGTTTCTTAGGATTAAGTGATAGAAAATGTAGCTGATCTCAGGTCTATCAGACTCCAAAGCCTATGCTCCTAATGTTAATGCTAGACTGCCTCTTAATGCCATAGCCTGTTAAGTTTGATATTTAATATTCTCAACTATATTAAAGAAATTATCTATACAAAAAGGCAAAGAAGACAAGGATAAACCAATAGAGCACAAATGTCACAATGCCTGGTATATTGTGCACATTAATTCCATTGCACAATGCTGAGACTTCACAGGGAAGATCTACCTATTAATTAAAATCCTTACCTCTTCTGAGCACATCGCAGTAAACCACGTCCAAAATAAACTAAAGGCATAAAGTTTTCACAAATTTCATTCTCTTGGATCACCATCTTCATCACCAGAAATTTATTCTCAGCTTCTGTATAATCCTGTAGTAACATAAAACTAAGTTTAGCTGATGTAAAAAGCATTTTTTTTCTTTTACAATAAACAATTATTTCTCAAACTGGAGAAATTAGGGCAGCTTTAAAAATAATCCAATCATCTGGTCATTTATTTACATTTTGAATCCTGGCATCTCTGTATGTGATTACAAAGATCATGTAGTCAGTGTTTAAAATATTTATTTATACATAAATTTAAGACCTTCGTTAACCAGTATTTCAAAGTAAATATTAAGATGGTAACAACAATTTGTGTATCTAAAACTGGCAATCAGGCATGGTGGCACGCACTGATAGTGCCAGCTCCTTGCTTGAGCCTGGGAGTTCAAGTCCAGCTTGGGCAACATAGTGAGACCCCCATCTTTTAGATACATATATATACACATACATAACTGACAAGCATTACTAGCCAAAATAAGGGCTTTTCTGATAACTGTTAGAGCACAATTCTTTATCATTTTCCTAATCGGCGCACAATTCTTCACAATTTTTCAAATAGAAAGTAAGTGACTCTTTGATCATAGGTGTAGACTCTTTCGGGGTATCACCATCTTAATCATAAATAATATAGGTCTGGGAGTAAATATCAGGATCTGTTATAATAGATGCTTCAGTAAAACAAGCATAATAGCCTCAGTCTCTCTAGAAAAAAAAAAAGCTAGGAAAATACTGCATGGCCTTACTTTAAAATATTCTCTAGTACATCACACTAAATAATTAGCACTACATAAAATTATTTAAAATAGAAATGTTCCTGGCTAACATGGTAAAACGCCATCTCTACTAAAAACACAAAAATTAGCCAAGCGTGGTGGCGTGCTTCTGCAGTCCCAGCTATTCAGGAGGCTGAGGGAGGAGAATCGCTAGAACCTGGGAGATGGAGGTAGCAGTGAGCCGAAATCGCGCCACTAACACTCCAGGCTGGTAACAGAGTGAGGCTCTGTCTCAAAATAAATAAATAAAATAAAAATAAAATAGAAATGTTTTCAGTTTGGATGCTTATCAATTCTACTTCATCTAAATAACAATTCATATTTATATATTTAATTTATGAAGTCAAATAAAAATACAGATTTGGGAAGAAAAAATAAGAGAAATATCAAGGCTATGAAGAAAATATGAGAAATCATTAAAAAATCAGAAAAAGAAAGGAAATGTTAAATTCAACAGAACCCTTAGAAATTATCTAGTTAATTCCCAGATTTTTATTTAATTGAACTTAAGTTTGGCAAAGAATTTGAGGCATATTTTACCAAAGGGGTAAGATTAAAACCACAGGGATTATGCTACACTAGAAAATGGATTAAAATGTATCATACAAGTGAAAGAAGCTAAATAATTTTTTATTTTACACAAATGATATGCATTTAAAAGATAAATAAAAGAAATGAAGTTATAAGCTAATACTAAGTTTCCTTTCTAAATATATTAAGTTTCATATTATGATTTTTGGCCTGATTATTCTAAGATGTAAAAAGATTTATAAAGGGTAAATACCGTGTTACATACCTCTTTCTTTCCTCTTTCAGTGAGTGCTACTCCATATAAAAACAGTAACGTCAAATAATAACCAATATTAATCTGGTGTGCCTAAAAAGAAAAAAATATATATTAATTGGTTATTTTGACTAAGCTACTTTTCAGTACAAGCTTAATTAAATATCCTAAGCTTAATTAATAATTATTAAAATGAGTAAAAATTATCATTACATTCTCAGTTATCTAATAATAATTATAGATAATATATTTTAGATATATTTGATAATTTGACCCCGGAAGAAGAAAGAGGATAGTCAATAATCTCAAAATAAAACATTAAAATTTAATTAAAGGAAAGCATATGGAACAAAGATGGCCAAACAGAAGCCGCCAACAATTGTCCCAACACAGGAACACCAAACTGAACAACTACCCCACAGAGAAGCCCCTTCATAAGAAACAAAAATCAGGTGAGTTATCACAGTACCTGGTTTGAACATCATATTAATGAAACAGGCACTGAAGAGGGTAGGAAAGACAGTCTTAAATCGCCTACACCATGCTTTCCTCTATCCCCTGACAACAGCTATGTGGCATGGACAGAGAATCTGCGGGCTTGGGGGAAGGAAAGCACAGTGACTGTGGGACTTTGCATTGGAACTCTGCTGCCCTGTCACATCTGAAAGCCACCCTGAGTGAGCCACCCTGAGATCACTGAATTCAGTCAGTGATCATGGAGGAAGCATTTAGACAAGAGTTAGCCAGAGGCAAATAGCCCAACCCAGCAGTCAGAGCCTGAGTTCCAGCAAGCCCTGCCAGAGCGAGCCAAAGTGCTCTGGGGTCCTAAATAAAAGGCAGTCTAGGCCACAAGGACTGCAATTCCTGGCCATGTTCTGGTGCTGTGCTGGGATTGGAGCCAATGGATTTGTGGTGTACACAATCTAGTAAGATACCAGCTGGAGCAGGCAAGGAAGTGATTATGTCACCCCTCCAACTCCAGGGAAAACAACTCACAGGTCTGGGAGAGACACCTTCCCTCTGAGCAGAGGAGAGATAAGAGTTAAGATGATTTTGCCTTGCAACTTGAATAACAGCTCAGCCATGGTAGAATCCTGAGGCTCTAGCAGCAAGACAATATTTCTAGACACACCCTGGGGCAGAAAAGAACTCACTGCCTTGAAGGTAAGAACCCAATCCTGGCAGGATTCATTACCTGCTGACTAAAGAGCACTTGGGCCCTGAATAATCAACAGTAGTAGCAGTACTCACCATGGGGTGAGACTCAGAGCCATGCTGGCTTCAGGTGTGACCCAACATATGCCCAGCTGTGATGGCTATGGTGAGAGGTGGCTTTCTGCTTGAGAAAAGCACAAGGAAAAGTAAAGGGGACTTTGTCTTGCAGCTTGGGTATCAGCTCAGCCACAGTGGGGTAGAGCACTAAGTGGGCTTCTGGGGGACCCACTTCCAGACCCTGGGTCCTGTCTGGCACTTCTGGACTTGCCCTGGGCCAGAGAGAAAGGCACTGCTCTGAAAGGAGAGACTCAATATAGGTAGCAAGGCAGTGGTCACCACAGAGCAAGACCAGTGCTATGCTGGCGTCACATCTGAACTAGCACAGTCCTAGTGATCGTGGCCACGGGAATGCTTGTGTCACCCCTCTCCCAGCTCCAGGCAGCTTGGCACAAGAGAGAGAGAGACTGTTTGTTTGGGATAAAGGAAGAGAAGAGAACAAGAGTCTCTGCCTGGTAATCCAAGGAGTTCTTCCAGATCTTACCCAAGACTACCAAATGGTACCACTATGAATCTGCAAGAACCACAGTTTTACTGGGGTTAGAGTGTCCCCTAATGCAGATATGGCAGCAATGAACAAAGACTTAGATCACAATACCCAATCCCTTTGAATACCTGGAAAGCCTTCCACAAGAAGGGCAGGTACAAAAAAAGGCCATACAGTGGAGACTACAGTAAATACCTAACTCTCCAATGCCCAGACATGGATGGACATACATAAGCATCAAGACCATCCAGGAAAACATGACTTTACCAAACTAATAAAGGCACCAGTTGCCAATTCCAGAGAGACAGACATGTGACATTTCAGACACAAAATTCTAAACAGCTTTTCTGAGGAAGTTCAATGAAATCCAGATAACACAGAAAAAAAAATTCAGAATCCTATCAGATAAATTTAACAAAGAGATTGAAAACAATTTTTAAAAATCAAGTATAAATTCTAGAGTTTAAAAAAGCAATTGACATGCTGAAGAATTCACCACGGTCTCTTAACATCAGAATTTATCAAGCAGATGAAAGAAGTAGTGAGTCTGAAGACAGGCTGTTTGAAAATACATAAAGGAGACCCCAAAAAGAATTTTAAAAATGAAGTATACCTACAAGATCTAGAAAATAGCCTTAAAAGGGCAAGTCTAAGAGCTAGTAGCCTTAAAGAGGTGGCAGAGAGAAAGATCAGGATAGGAAGTTTATTCAAAGGGATAACAGAGAACTTTCCAAATCTAGAGAAAGATGTGAATACTCAAGTACAAGAAGGTTATAGAACACCAAGTAAACCTAACCCAAATTAAGACTATCTCAAGACATTTAATAATTGAACTCCAAAAGGTCAAGATTAAAGAAAGGATCCTAAAAGCAGCAACCAAAAGGAAACAAGTAACATACAATGGAGCTTCTATACGCTGGCAGCAGACTTTTCAGTGGAAACCTTACAGGCCAGTAGAGAGTGGCATGACATATTTAAAGTGCTGAAGGAAAAAAAAAACCTAGAAAAAAAATACTATTCTAGAATAGTATATCCAGCAAAAATATTCCTCAAACATGAAGGAGAACTAAAGACTTTCCCAGACAAAAACTGAGCAATTTCATCAACACCATACCTGTCCCACAATAAATGAGAAAGGGAGTTCTTCAATCTGAAAGAAAAGGATGTTAATGAGCAGTAAGAAATCATCTAAAGGTACAAAACTCACTGGTAATAGTAGGCACGCAAAAAAACGCAGAATATTATAACACTGTTATTGTGGTGTATAAACTACTCATGTATTCAGCAGAAAGACTGAAAGATGAACTGGTCAAAACTACTTGATGGTTTCAATGCTGAATTTTACCAAACATTTAAAGAAAAATTAACACCAACCCTACTCAACCTATTCTGAAAAACAGAGGAAATAATACCTCCAAACTCATTCTGTGAGACCAGTATTACTCTGATACCAAAACCAAAGATATGTCAAAAAATATATACACATATTGGCCAACCTATCTGATAAACATTGGTGCAAAAATCCTCAACAAAATAGTACCAAACCAAGTTCAGCAATATATTAAACATATCATTAATCATGACCAAGTGGGATTTATCCCAGGATGCAAGGATGGTTCAACATAGGCAACATAATCAATGTGATACATTATATCAACAGAATGAAGGATGAAAATCTTGTCCTTCATGGTATGATCATGGTATAATCATTTCAATCGATTCTGAAAAAGCATTTGATGAAATTCGACATCACTTCATGAAAAAGCATGATAAAAAACTGGGTAGCAACGGAACACACCTCAACCCGATAAAACACATATGACAGATTCACAGCTAGTATCATACTGAATGGGGGAAAACTAAAATTCTTTCATCTAAGAGCTTGAATATGACAAGAACGCCCATTTTCACCACTATTATTCAACATAGTACTCAAGTCCTAACTAGAGTAATCTGACAAGAGAAAGAAATAAAGGGCATCTAAATTGGAAAGGAAGAAGTCGAATTATCCTTGTTTGCAAATAATATGATCTTATATTTGGAAAAATCTACAGATTCCATGAAGAAACTATTGCAACTGAAAAACAAATTCAGTAAAGCTGCACGATATAAAATAAACAAACAGAAATCAGTAGCATTTCTACATGCCAACAGCAAACCTAAAAAAGAAATCCAGAAAGTAATCCCATTTACAATTGCTGCACAGAAAGTAAAACACCTACAAATTAATTTAACCAAAGAAGTGAAAGACCTCTACAATGAAAACTCCAAAACACTGATACAAGAAATTGAAGATTAAAAAAAGGGTGGGAAGAAGATATTCCATGTTCATGGATTGGAACAATCAACACTGTTAAAATATTCATACTACCCAAAGCAATTTACAGATTCAATGTAATTCCTATCAAAATACCAATGACATTCTTCACAGAAATTTTTTAAAAATCCTAAAATTTGTATGGAACCACAAAAGACCCAGAATAGCCAAAGCAATCCTTGAATAAAAAGAACAAAACTGAAGGAATCACATTATCTGACTTCAAATTATACTACAGAATTATAGTAAACAAACCAGCATAGTACCGGCATAAAAGAAAAAGACACATAGACCAATGAAACAGAATAGAGAACCCAAAAACAAATCCATACATCGACAGTGAACTCATTTTTGACAAAGGTGCCAAGAACATACACGGGGGAAAGAATGGTCTCTTTAATAAATGGTACTGGGAAAACTAGATATCCATATGCAGAAATGCAGAAGAATAAAATTAGACTTTTATCTCTCACCATATTCAAAAATCAAATCAAAATGGATTAAAGACTTAAATCTAAGACCTCGAGCTATAAAACTACTAAAATAAAACACTGGGGAAGCTCTCCAGGACATTGGATTGGGCAAAGACAGGCAATCAAAGCAAAAATGGGTCTCTGGGGTCATATCAAGTCAAAAAACTTCTGCATAGCAAAGGAAACAATCAACAAAATGAAGAGACAATCCATAGAATAGGAAAAATATTAGCAAACTACCCATCTAACAAGGAACTATTAATAATAACCAGAATATATAAGGAGTTCAAACAACTCTATAGGGAAAAAATTCTAATAATCTAATTTTAAGAATCTAAATAGACATGTCTCAAAAGAAGACAAACAAATGGTAAAGAAGTCCATAAAAAGGTGCTCAACATCATTCATGATCAAAGAAATGCAAATAGAAATTACAGGAAGATATCATCTCATCCAAGTTAAAATGGCTTATGTAAAAAATACAGGAAATAACAAATGCTGGTGATGATGTGGAGAAAAGAGAACCCTCTTACACTGTTGGCGGGAATGTAAGTTACTAAAACCACTATGGAGAGCAGTTGGAGGTTCCTCAAAAAGCTAAAAATAAACCTACTATATGATCCAGCAATCTCACTGCTGGGATATAACAAAAAGAAAGAAAATCAATGTACCAAAGAAATATTTCATTCTCATGTTTATTGCAGCACTATTCACGATAGACAAGATTTGGAATCAACCTAAGTGTCCACCTAGATAAATAAATAAAGGAAATGTGGTACATATACATAGGAGAGCACTATTCAGACATTTAAAAAAAGAATGAGATTCCCCCCAGCACTTTGAGAGGCTGAGGTGGAAGGATCACTTGAGCCCAGGAGGTCAAGGCCAGCCTGGGCAATAGCGTGAGACCTCATTTTTATTAAAAAAAAAAAAAAATTAAAAGAATGCGATCCTGTCACTTGAAACAACATGAATGGAACTGGAGGTCATTATGTGAAGTGAAATAAAACAGATAAAGACAAACTTTGTATGTTCTCAGTCATTTGTGGGAGCTAAAAATTAAAACAAGTGAACTCATAAAAGTAGACAGTAGAATGATGGTTACCAGAGGCTGGGAAGAGTAGGTGGGAGTTGGGGAGAGTGGTAATATTTAATGGGAACAAAATATAGAAGATAAAATGAATGAGATTTAGTATTGATAGCACAACAGGCTAAGTACAGTCAACAATAATTTGTTGTACATTTTAAAATAAGAAAGAGAGTATAAAAGAACTGTTGTAACACAAAGGATAAATGCTTGAGGTAATGGATACCCCATTTACACTGACATGATTATTACACATGGCATGCCTACATCAAAGTATCTCATGTACTTCATTAAAATATACACCTATGTACCCACACAAATTAAAAATAAAAATTTTAAAAATTGGTAAAAAAAGAAGCAAATATCATCAAAATTTGTCACATTAAACCTTTCAAAAACTCTCATTCACTTGGTTCCTCTTTTATTATATAACATTTTTGGTATCAAGAACATATTAAATAATAATATAATGAACACTAAAGTATCTACCATCCACCATTAAAAATACAATGATCTTTTAAATCAAAATCCTTTACTCTCCCATAGGGATTCCACAAAATAGTATGAACATAAAGCTAATCACTTCTTCAATGAAAAATTAAACCGTGTGGTATTTTCTTCATATAAAAATGGTCTATGTAAAATTACTGAGATGAGATAGGTTAGGGATCAGCGAATTGTAGAGGGAGAGAGGTGAGTGTGACCATAAAGGTAGCATAAGAGAGATTTTTGTGGTGGTGGAATAGTTATTTTATCTTGATTGCAGTAATAGTTACACAAATGTACATTTTTATAAAATGGCACAGAACTATACAAGTCTGGGCATTAAAAAGCTAACATAGCTGGCCTGAGGATGCTATCCTTATTAAGGCTGCCTGCAAAGTTGATCTTTGGCTTGTGTCTGGAAACTTGAATTTTGGCAGTGTTCCCTAACTGATAAAGGTGCCTTGTTATATCTAGACTATTTGTGCAAACAATGTGATTTATGCTGACCACCAAGGAGTTTCTTCTGGAAGTCTGGAATTTTGATACATGCCATGCAGCAGGTACCTAGATGACCAACACGCAATAAAAATGTTGATCACTGAGTCTCTTATGGGCTTCCCTGGGCAGAAACATTGCAGATGTTGCTACATTTTCATTTGTGGAGGTGGCCATATACGCTGTGTGACTTGTCATAGGAGGGACAAAATAAAGGGGAACTTGTAGATGGCTTTCTTCAGACTTCACCTGTGTCTTTTCCCCACATGATTTACCATACATCCTTACTACATCACCATAATAAATCTTAGATGTTAGTATAACCACATGGTGAGTCCAGTCCTTCTAGCAAATCTCTGAACATGAGGGTGGTCTTGGAGACCCCAGACACAAAGCCCATGGACGAACATCAATTTCCTATTTTTCATATGTACTGGAGTCATGTAATTATGTAACTATTGAGGGAAACAGTGTGAGGTGTACACCAATAACTCCCTGTCCATTGTATTTGTGATGGTTAGGATCATGTATCAACTTGACTGGCCACAGGGTGCCCAGATTAAATATTATTTCTGGGTATGTCTCTGAGGGTGTTTCCAGATGAAATTTGCCTTTGAAATGGTAGACTGGGTATAACAGGTTTCCCTCTCCAATGTAAGTGGGCATCATCCAATCCATTAAGGCCTGAATAGAACAAAAAGTAGAGGAAGAAAGAATTCATCCTTTTTTTGCTTCCAGCCTACTTGCTGGGGCTGGGACATCTCATCTCCGCTTCTGCCCTCACCCTTGGATTTATATCATTAGCTCCCATAGTTCTTAGCCTTCAGAACTGGGATGAATTATACCACCAGCATTCCTGGGTCTCTAGATTACAGAGAGCAGATCATGGGAATTGCTGAGCCTCCATAATCACATGAGCAAATTCCTCATAATAAATCACATATATATTCCTTATAATCATGTATACACACATGTGTGTATAAGTATTTGTGTGTATGTTTTGTACATATAAAACAGAACACACACACACACACACACACACACACACACAGCAAAACAGTTTGGTTTCTCTGGAGAACCCTGGACTCCTCTGCTCTTAAGCTCTATATTGACTGAGATTATAGACCTATCTTTTGTCACATTACCCTTTTTCATCAAGATTACCCTGTATCATAAACAAGATTTTAAAAAATACATAGAACAATGAATATCCATAGGATATAACCTTTCTTTTTATAGTGATCTAACGTATTCTCTCACCTTGTACACTTCTAATGACCAACAGTATAAAATGAAGAGATAAATGATTGGGATTAGAAATTTGGCTTCAAACTGATCTCAGTAGAGATAGACATATGTGTTTGTTCTTGATAGACTAAGTGAGTTTATTAATATAAACTCCCCATAACATCTAAGTGTTAGAATTCCCATCCCTGAAGAGGCAGTAAAATGTTGTAGTTCAGACCATAGACTACATGGACTGTATCCTGAATAGAGTCAAGATTACATGGACTGCATCCTGACTCCACTACTTACTACCTGGTCAAGTTAGCAAGTTATTTAACCTCTGTGCCTCGGTTTCCTCATCTACAAAATGGGAATAATAAGATGGGGTAGTTATGAACAGTGAAAGAATTAATTCTCACAAAGTGCTGAGAACAGTGGCTGTCATAAACACTAAATACGTGTGAGCTATTATTTTGCAATGAAAAGAAAACAGCTTCATGAATAACACAACAGAGACTAGCTAAATACAATTCTAAATAAAACATTTCTAAGAACAAGATAAGATGCAGGATTGTGGTAATGCTGTAATTAGAAGAAGAAAAACCCTGGAATTTAAAGATGCAAGTGGTACATTTCTAACCTAAATCCCCGTCCTTTTATCCTACCTTACCCCCATCAGCAAAGATTATTCCAAGAACTAGAAAAACAGGAATATGGAGATGCTATTGGCAAATGCACCTCCATCATACATAATCCATTGTTGCCTCCTACAAGATTGTCTTGTCCCTCTTTGGTGGCCTTAAAGGACAGGGAGAGTAATTTAGACAGAGTAGTAGACTGCTTTGATCATGACAAAGCCACTGCTCACAAGTACTACCAAGAGCTACCAAGAGAGAAACTCTTCCATTTCCTAGTGCAAGACTCATCTTTGAAGTAATGTCTGAGTAAAGAGGGTTAAGACATGGGTACCTGTTAAGGCTGATTTACATTGATTTGTTTCATTCAAGGGCAATCTGGTCAGTAGGAGAAATAGCAAGTCTGCCACATCCCCAAAGTTCTGAGGATTACAAAATGTAAACCCCCCATTTTCTTTGTTTCCTCATTGGAATCCAACTAGAATCTCCTTCTGAATGGTATATCTCATTAGGAATTAGGGTAAGAACCCTAATTCCTAGAATACTAAATAAGAATCATTTTTCCATCTTTTTGTACATCATTATGATATGGGATTTGATGTCTTAGCTCCCTTTTCTGGTCTCTGGGTAGTCCTTTTTTGAAGATAAATCTATTTATTGCTAAAGTATCATTTGGTCTTAAACACATAAATACATTTTGTTAATTTTACCTACAACAGAAATCTCAGAAGAAAGAGAAACTGAGTATGGTTTAAAGACAGAATTTTTTTCTTTTTTAAATTGATAAATAAAAATTGTATATATTTATCATATACAATATGACATTATAAAATATGTATACACTGTGAAATGACTAACTCAAGCTAATTAACATGTATAACCTCACATATTTATAATTTTTGTGAAAATACTTAAAATTTACTCTCAGCAATTTTTCAAAATTATAATACATTGTTATTAACTATAGTCACTATGTTCTACAATAGATCTCTTGAACTTGTTCCTCATATCTAACTGAAATTTTATATCTTTTGACTAACATCTCCTCGGCCTATACTCCTAACCTCTTATCATCACTGTATTCTCTGCTTCTGTGAGTCAACTCCTAGATTCCACATTCAAACGACATCATGCAGTATTTGTCCTTCTATAGTTGGCTTATTTTTTTTTAACTTTATGATTCTCTATTTCTAATTGGGAAAGTCAATTTCTATTAGTTCAAGTTTATCTTAAGATGAAGAATTTTGTGGTAGGTAAGGGGACTAGAATAGGCTTATTACAGAGCTTATTACAATCACATAAGAAAGTACAAGACATATAAGTCATCTATAAGTCATATAAGAAAGTACTAGACACAGAAAGGCAATAAATTTATATGTACCCTTTTCTAGAGGTAAAAGAGAAAAATAAAAATAGGCCCACACCTTAAAATAAGCATGCATTAGCTGTTTTCTCACTGAGAAATATTGACCCAGTCCATTATTTCACATTTTCAAAGGCAAACACTTACAGTATAATTAGTAGCTTGAATGTTCCTGAGTGCTGCTTCCAGTTGTGTTATCAAGAAACGTAAAGTCAAAGCAGGGACAATTTCCTCACCATTCTGGCTGTTAGCTGCAACTTCTCTCTGTGGAAAATAATTTAGTTAAAAAAGTCTTTAAGTCTGAACAAATATCTACATATGTTTACATTATACAAATAATTCATGCTCACTGGAGAAAATTTGAAAAATAGGATGAAAATGGTTTTAAAAAAAATCCATACCATCCAGATACACTGTTTTCATGTTTGTTTTTAAGTAGTTTTTTTTTTTTTCCCCTTTTATTTATTTTATTGCATTTTAGGTTGGGGTACATGTGAAGAACATGCAAAATTGTTGCATAGGAACACACGTGGCAGTGTGATTCGCTGCCTTCCTCCCCATCACCTACATCTGGCATTTCTCCCCTTGCTATCTCTCCCCAGCTTCCCACCCCCCACCGTCCCTCCCCTATTTCCCCCCAACTGACCCCAGTGTGTAGTGCTCCCCTCCCTGTGTCCATGTGTTCTCATTGTTCAACACCCGCCTATGAGTGAGAACATGCGGTGTTTGATCTTCTGCTCTTCTTTAAGTAGTTTTTAAGTCGTCTAATGAATGTCATTTGTAACTATTTCCTTAAAACATTTTTTAAAAAGGCATTCCTATACCTGTCAAGGGGTTAGCAACATCCACACCTACTTCAGAGGAAAGTGGTAATCCCACTTCACTCTCATACATTCTACTGTGTGAAATAGCTAAAATCTTTCAGCTCTGAGCCAGTCTGTGGTAAACAGGAATGCTGGCATTAATAGCAATAAAGGGGTAAACCATTTTATGCTGCAATCTGATTGCAGCTGAGCTAATGCATGCTTTATTATGTACTATAGTTTATTTACATGGTTGAAATGAAAGGTAGGACTATGTCTTTGTGTCCATTCCCCAATGCTTTCTACCTGACAAGTGCTTGCTTTAAATCACATTACCTGTTTAATGATGTATAATCTGCATGGAAAATTTAATCTACATTTCCATTAACTTGGTTTCCATATATAATATTTTCCTGTTTCTTTCCTAGCCGACTAGATACTTTATTTCAGTCTCCCTAGCCATCAATTGAATGAGCCTCTTCTCTATCAATACATATTCTCTAGATAAAGTACTCCACTATCATAATTTTACATAGTGTCTACACACTGACAGTTTCCAAATTTTCATTTCTGGCCAAGAACTATCACCTGTATTCCAGGCTCACAGCCAACTCAACAATATCTCTTGAATTTGAATAGAAATATAAAACATAATACTGAAGTTCCACCTCTGTCAAACAGTCTAGGTGGTTTCAAATCAATCTCCCCAGTGAGAATGACTAAAACAACTGGACAAAACATAAACTAATTATCTGAGAGCAATGGAATTCTACCAAGACAATGAAAATGAACACCTCTGAAAGGAAATCTCTGGGAAGCTGACTTTCGGAGCTAATTTTCTCATTAAAGTAACTGCTACATTCAGTTGTGGCATAGCCTTCAGCAGATTTGCGAGGCTGCGGAGAAGACTGGAGTGCATGGTCTGTAAGGAAGAGCAGCCCTGATAAACAGCTCATTCTTTTGATTGAGGCCCTGTTTTGGTTACAATGGAAGTGGACCTGAATTCAAGGATTTCAATGGAAATAGTCTATTTGGGAAGAACAGAGACAATGGTAGAAAAGTGGAAAAGTAATAAAGTAAAGGAAAAGTACGCTTTAAGTTAAAGGATATGTTATTAAGCTAGTTACCCATGGTGGGCCACTGCAGTTATTACAACTGGGAAATTTTGGAAAGCTCAAAATTACAAATCAGTATTAACCAACAAAACAGAAGAGGCAACTGGGATACTCATATAACTTCCAAGACCTACTGACTGAGTGCTTTCTGGGGTAATGGGGAAATATTAATTCCTTGGATTTTCTGAACTGCCATGAGAAGTACTTTATCCTGTTTTAGAAAAAAAAAAAATCCCTGAGGCATAGAGATATAGATATGAAAAACTACAATTGTCCAGGGCATACGGAAAATATTGGTAGGATCCAATTGGTATGGGAAGAGCACTGACAGAGTCTGCTACAAAAAGTAGAGAAACTGACCCTTCTTCAAAGAACTAAGTAAAGATTGGAATCATCTCTACCCCAGGTTGAATTAAATAATTTACTAGAAAAACAAAAATAAAAATAACTAGAAAAAATTTTGTCCAGTTTTCTCAGTTCTTCACAGAGGAAGGTTGCTATGAGACAAACCAGGCAGCTACTCCAATAAGCAGAATTATCTTTACTATTTTCAAGGGCTACAGTATTTGTATTTATGTTTTCATATTCATTCATGATTTTGGATATTTTTGCTTTCTTTTTTGGACATACTTATTAAGCATTTGTCAATTTTATTGTTCTTTTCAAAAAAGCAAGTTTTGGATTTATCGATCCTTCCTATTTTATGCTTTAAATAGATTTCATTAGTTTTAAATCTCTTTATCATTTCCTTTTTGAGTGCTTTTAGTTTGCTGTTCTTCCATTAACCTCTTGAATGTATGCTTAGATAAATGATATTCAATCTTGCTTCTTTTTTTTCTAATATTTACATCACATCGCAAGTTATAAATTTTCCTTGAAGCACAGCTTTATCTTATAACACAAGATTTGATATGTTATTTTATTCAGTTCAAAAATGTGTTTAACTTCTGTTGTGATTTCTTCTTTGACCAGTTGGTTACCTAGAGGTATATCTCTTAACTTATGAACATATGGTTTTCAGATTATTGCTTTTATTGATTTCTAGATTAACTGAATGTTAGAGAACATACTCTGTTATGTTTTGATACTTTGAAATTTGATGGGGCTTGCTTTGTGACCTAGTAGATGGTCAGTTTTTTGTAAATGTTCTGTGTGCACTTAAAAAGGATACATATTCTGCCACTGTTGGGTGTAGTGTTTATACATGTGTCTCAGGTAGACCGAGTCTGCTATAGTTCTACTAATTTTGTGTCCATGTTCTCTCATTTATTAACAGAAGTATGTTAAAATATCCCACTGAGATTGATTTGTCTGTTTCCTTTAGTATTATCTATTTTTACCATCTTATCATTCATGAAAGTTCTGTAGATATTTGGGTCTACTTCTGGAACTTATCTTCTATTTTCTAGACATGTCTGTGGTATAAAGAACAAGTAACATAATCTTTTAGTTATTAAAGCTTCAATAATAACTTTTTTTTTTTTTTTTTTTTTTGAGACGGGGTTTCGCTCTTGTTACCCAGGCTGGAGTGCAATGGCGCGATCTCGGCTCACCGCTACCTCCGCCTCCTGGGTTCAGGCAATTCTCCTGCCTCAGCCTCCTGAGTAGCTGGGATTACAGGCACGTGCCACCATGCCCAGCTAATTTTTTGTATTTTTAGTAGAGACGGGGTTTCACCGTGTTGACCAGGATGGTCTCGATCTCTTGACCTCGTGATCCACCCGCCTGGCCTCCCAAAGTGCTGGGATTATAGGCTTGAGCCACCGCACCCGGCCCATAATAACTTTTAATGTTTAAGTAGGCAAATTCCCAGCCCTATTCCTTTATACTTTTCTTAATTTTCTTGGCTATTTTTCCTCTTATTTCCCATGTGAACTTTAGACTTGGCATTTAGGGACACTAACCAAAAAAATCCTATTGTTTTACTGGAGTTATGTGATATTTGTGGATTTTAATTTGTGGAAAATTGACAGCTTTAATATACTGTGTCTTCCTACATGCACTATTCCATTCATGTGGTCATTTCTTACACTTTCAATAGAATTTTAGAAAGTTTTATTTATTGTTTTAATAAGGAGTACTGACTTCTAAACTTAATGTGACTACAATCAGTGCTTGGGTACTTGCTAAAATGCAGATTCCCAGATCTATCCCCAGAGATTTTGATTCTTTAGAATTGATACAGGGTCAGATATTCTCATGTAAGTGGTTCAGAACAAGCTTAAGGAAATACTAGTTTATCTTGTACATTTCTTAAGTGTTTTACTCAGTATTTCAGTTTTGTTATTACTATAAATAAGTATAGTTCACCCTCCATATCCACAGGTTCTGCCTCCGTGGATTCAACCCACCATGGACTGAAACTATTTGAAAAATAAATAAATAGCAAGAATATAATAATTTAAAAAATTGAAAAGACAATATAGCATTTACATTGTATTAGGTATTATAAGTATTCTAGGGATGATATAATGTATACAGAAGAAGGTGTACAGGTTGTATGCAAATACTATGTCATTTTACATAAGAGACGGGCATTCTTGGATTTTTGTACTGAGGGCTGTTCTGGAACTAGCATCCCACAGATAACAAAAGATGACTGTACTGTTCTTCTATTTTTACATTCTAGTTGGTATTTTTTACATATCTGAAGGCTACTGATTTCTGTCTTGTTTCTAAGTGATTTCCAAAACATAAGAGGGAAATGATGGCATTATTCTATCAATTTCAAGCCAGAATTGCCTTATACTGTGGTAAGTTATCTCAGTTAATGTTATAATTGTACATAAAGTCTTATGAATATCTTCAGAGTTTGTTAGAATTTTTAATGATACTAGTATTAAAGTGTTTCATGGAAATAATTATATATTCTTTCATAGAAATACAAATGTAGCCTTCTCAAGACAACTATGGTGCTTTGCCCTTCTCTTCCCTAGTTAATTGCCACAAAGAAAAGAGTATATAATTTTCTTTAACTTCAGAAAACTCTATTAATTTAAGAAATGGTACCCTTTTTATGCTAAAAATTACCACAAATTATATAGAAAAACTACTTTCTAGATGGAAATCTACAATATATCCTCTGGAATATTATATGAATAATTCCAAAAGTTTTGGAGATGATTTTTGAAAATAAATTTTTGACAAATGTGTAACTTTTTTTTTTTTTTTGAGACACGGTCTTGCTTTGTCTCCCAGGCTGGAGTTCAGTGACATGATCTCAGCTCACTGCACCTCCATCTCCTGAGTTCAAGTGATTCTCCTGCCTCAGCCTCCCGAGTAGCTAGGATCACAGGCATGTGCCACCATGTCCGGCTAATTTTTGTATTTTTGGTAGAGATGAAGCTTCACCATGTTGGTTTAAGTTCTGACCTCAGTGATCCACACACCTCGGCCTCCCAAAGTGCTGGGATTACAGGCGTGAGCCACCATGCCCAGCCAAATGTGTTAACATTTTGAGTTAGGAGACCAAAAGCAGTCCCCTGTCCCAGAGTGGCATGTTATAGGTTGTTAGTAGGACTGGAATAAACACTAGACCTTGTAGTCAACAGCTTACAAGCTACCAACCCACATTCCTACCATTATCCTTAAAAGGCTAGCACCACATGACTCTATTTGCTCAATGTTTTAAAAGTCTACAGTCAAGGTTGTACCAAAGCCCTTTACAACAGATAAGACAGAGATATTTTTCAAGACTTTGGCTACATTGTGTGGTTAAAATTTTTTTTTTTTTAATTAAAAAAGTCATATAGAGATAGCTGCACTTCTGCCACAAAGATCAAATTATGATGTTACCTGCATAGTTTGGAAGGAAAAATCTTCTTGTAAGAACTTCTTAATGTGAGGAACCACACCTTTTGGTAGAGTATTAATTGCACTTAATAACTTCTTCACTTCTAATAGTAGGTTAACAGGAACAAGATCAGTAGGAACATTCTTTTCCTGTTTGTCCTAGAAGACATTTTGATTAAAAATTTACACAATTATGCATATTCTCATTTACTCTATTATCAAAATCAGCCAAAGCGTTAAAAAAGGAACAAAGCTCCCTTTACCTTGTTCTTCTAGCTTCTATGACAGAACTATAGAAAATCTAAGGAAGAATAATATACGTTCTCTGCTTTCTAGGAACTTAAAATATTACATATATTCTCAGTAACAGGAAAATTATATCTAACTGTGCTTTTTACATTATATGACTGATGCTTCATCTATTAAATACAGAGCAATTTGAAAATGAATAGTTGTAATAGTTTAAAATTGTGAACAAAGTAGTAAAGTAGAATGACATCTCAATTCAGTCAGAGCTCTATAAATAGTAATAATTTTCAGGAATTTATTCTTCCAGAATTAATAAAGGCATTAGTAATTTGATAACTACACCATCAAGTCCTGCTGGAATATCTATTAACATTAGTTGTGAAGAACCAGTGGACAACAGAGATAAATGGCCTATAACAGATGGATGACGGCCTTCCTTCAAACCTTAAGAAGCCAGAGATCTTATACTCTGCTGAAACTTCTAGGAATATGATTATGTTGCTGTTGATCTTTGAAAATAAGAATTTCTTATTGTAGAAGCCGCATAGAGCTTGAGATGCTGAAAATGCCCTGGTATGGGGTAATTCTTTCACTTTCAGTTCTCTAATAGATCTGTAAATAACTAGAAATGAATAAAGTCCACTGCAGGACTATCTGCCTAATCTAACTATGATGTTCTGCCCTTCTCTTCTCTAGTTAGTTGCCACAAAGAAAAGAGTTTGCAGAGGTTATCCAGTAACTTAGGAGGGGAAAATATGTAAACATAAAATAACCCTGGTATGTGGTATTCACCTGTATGAGGTTTTCACCGTAAAAAATGGGTTTGAGTGCTACGTTAAGATTCCTCCATCCCCATCTATATTCAACAAATGTACCTTAGATTTTATAGCATTTCATAAGATTATGTATGCAGAAAAACGTTAACAGTTTACTGTCTATGAAGGATGTTCATTGTACTACCATTCATTTTACAATCCTTGCAATCTTTCTATAGGTTTGAAATTTTTCAAAAAGTTAAAAAAAATTCTACCAAGTAACTAGAAAAACCCCTTATAAAGAATGATCAATATCAGTGGTGCACATAATTCAAACTAAAGGTCAATTCTAGTCAAAAGTAACTGTAGAATCATCTGATACTAATTTAAAAGTTTATACAAAGGCAAGATTATAGCATGACAAACCATTTTTCAACAGGGAATACTATAAACTTCATGCCTACAGGGTCTTGCTTTGTCACATAGGCTGGCGTGCAGTGGCATGAACACAGTTCACTGCAGCCTCGACCTCCCAAGCACAAGTGATCCTCCCACCTCAGCCTCTCGAGTAGCTGGAAATACAAGTACGCACCACCACACCCGGCTAATTTTGGTATTTTTAGTAGAGACGATGTTCACCATGTTGTATAGGCTGGTCTCAAATTCTTGAGCTTAAGCAGTCAATCTGCCTGCTTAAGTCAATCTCCCAAAGTGCTGGGATTACAGGCGTGAGCCACCATGCCTGGTCCAGAATTTTAATTTTTTAAGTTAGTTGTCATAATATTTGATGCTTAATCCACTTTGACAAAATTGATTTAATATCTAAACAAAATTCAGGTCAAAGTGTCCACCTTTCTCGCTTTTTGTATTCCTAATTCTATATATAGAAATGCCTTTTCTGGATCTAGTCCCCTGGTTCTTGCCTTTGCTCAACTGTACAATTCCACATATATTTGCATGTAATGTACTTCCTCTGCAACATTGTTTACAGTGATAACCTCATGCAGGTGAATACCATGGTTATTTTATGTTTATATATTTTCCCTTCCTAAGTTACTGGATAACCTCTGCAAACTTTCCTACCTATGTTCCTGCTAACATGTTTCTACTCAAGTCTCATGTTGAATTGTAATTCCTAGTGTTAGAGGAGGGACCTGAAAGAAGAGATTGGATCACTGAGGTGGTTTCTAATAGTTTAGTATCATCTCCCTAGTGCTATCTCATGATATAGTTCTTACATTATGTGGTTGTTTGAAAGTGTATGGCACCTTCCCCTTTGCTCTCTCTCCGGCTGCCATGTGAAGATATGCTTGCTTCCCTTTGCCTTCTCCCATGATTCTAAGTTTCCTGAGGACTACCCAGCCATGTGGCCTCCTGTCCAGCCTGAGAAAATGTGATTCAATTAAACCTCTTTTCTTCATAAATTACTCAGTCTCAGGTAGTTCTTTATAGCAGTATAAGAACAGACTGATATACTTATTAACAAGTGGATTCATTACATAAAACTATATGGAAGGTAGAAGTTATACTAATGAGCTCTTCATCAACCTTTCACAAAATATATGAACATATGATGTTCATACAACTATTTTTAACTACCACAAAAGCATATCACTGGTACTAAAAGCCTTTTCTGTATAATGCAGTTATTCTCTTTCATTTAGACCTAGGAGTTCTAACCATAAAGATAAAAATAAATAATAAACTTAAGCTCAAAAATGACTCAAACTTCTTACTAAATAAAACTCTGATGTATATATGTGTGTTTTCTTTATATGTGCGTAGTTTTATTGTTGTTTTGCTTGAATGTTCCCTAAAAAAAAAATGAGGGATTTCTTAAAATTGACTGTTGGGCTATTTATGGATAACTCTATTCATTTTTTTCCTAATTTTTAGTTATGGTGAGGAATGGTGTTTAGAATGACAACCCTGAGACACACTATCAATCATCAAAGCAAGATTCAATTGGACCATTTTACTAATGAAGGTAGGAAGGCAGACCCACTCAAAAGATTTTAACACATAACTAGACTAGCTAAATTTATCACGGCATTTGCATATATAATTAGTTATTATCAATTAAATAAAAGTTAATGAAAGTTAAACTTTGTCTTACCAGTTGAACAGATGATGATTTTTCTGGTTTATTCTCAGTTTCTTCCTTCCTCTGATCCTCCACATGGGGATGCCTATTTTAAATGAAAATAAGGTGCATTAAGAACATCTCCTCACAAAGAACACAAATTATAGTAAGGAATCTAACAACTAATTATTGTCTGAAAGTGCAACCAAAGCGTATCAAAGACTGGTAATGGTGGTAGGTGCCATATCTCTTTAGGGACTCAAGTTAAGAAAGACAAATTAGGTCATGCCCTTACTGGATGGTGGTAGAGAAAACAGCAAGCTGATTATGAAAAACACTGCATCCTTAATAGATATGCAGTAGACCAAAAAAATAGGAAGAAATACTTATAGCACTGTTTCAAGGTAAAGGAAAAAGGTCTTAAAAGGGTTGAGATTTTGTGTGTTTGTTTACGAAGATATTACAGGTTAGGGAGACATCTATCTTAAATAGATCATTTTATTTTTTGTTTGGGGTTCCTAAACTTCTAATTGTCCAGTGTTCCAAAATATTTTTAAATGAGAAAAAATGTCATATTTAGAAATTATTAACTATTTGGGTAATAAGGAATCACTTGACAGGTTTTGCTTTTAACCTTAGCTCAAAATATGAACATATTGCAGTATTATACACTGAACAGAAAATTTTATTTATAGTATTGCTTTTGCCTCCATACAGAATCATTGCATAGGAACCATAATATAGGGTCATATATGATTTATTTAATATTAACTTTGGACTCCAGAAGAGATAACACTGAGGTGAGAAATTTATTTGATGGATTTATACAGAATCGTACTTTATAAATATTATCTTACTTGACTTTACATTTATGTATTCATTTGACAACCACTTATCATCTAATATATGCTAACTGATTTTATTGGGGTAAAGTGGGACAGATAAATAAAATGTTATCCATTTTCAAACTTCTAGTGGAAGTTTCTACAAAAGATGATATACACATGCAAACATTTCACAATATGATTTTCAGTGCTCTTTAAGGTACCATCATGGTAAAAAGAAACCTATTAACTGTCTTTTCCTCTACATCCAAGTGGGGCCCCACTTGCCCACAAAAAATAAAGCAAAACACAAATTATATCCGTGTGTTACCAAGGAATGAAAAATACTACAGTAGTATTCTGAAGTCTTTCAAGGTTTGAGAAAGAGTATAAAATGTTCTCAAATGTATACTCTACCAGCAAACTCAATTTTATGATCATTCCCTCCTTAACCCAATATTTCTCAATCCCAGATGCGTATTAAAATCAGCTGAAGCTTTTGAAACATCCAGATGCCCAAAACCTACTTCATGTCTTCTGAATCAAAAGTGTCATGTTAGGCTGCTATATTTTCTATAGGCTCCATTACAAATTTTGATGTGTAACCCCAACTTATCTTCACTTGCTCCTCTGTACAAAATAAAACTAAATCTCTTAGCAACACTGTCACAATACTCTCCAAGAATTTTTCTTAAGTACTTTTTCTTGCTATTTCCTCACCTAAGCCAAATGACCTCTCATCCTACCTTGCCTCTAAACCCATCACAATGTTTCTCAACCTTTTTTTTTTTTTTTTTTGAGACGGAGTTTCGCTCTTGTTACCCAGGCTGGAGTGCAATGGCGCGATCTCGGCTCACCGCAACCTCCGCCTCCTGGGTTCAGGCAATTCTCCTGCCTCAGCCTCCTGAGTAGCTGGGATTACAGGCATGCACCACCATGCCCAGCTAATTTTTTGTAGTTTTAGTAGAGACGGGGTTTCACCATGTTGACCAGGATGGTCTCGATCTTTTGACCTCGTGATCCACCCGCCTCGGCCTCCCAAAGTGCTGGGATTACAGGCGTGAGCCACCGTGCCCGGCTTCTCAACCTTTAAAGATCAGTTCAAATGTTACTTTGTGGAAACTCACTCAAATCATCAGTCAATAATTATTTTTTCTTCCTATAGACAGCCATTGTATCTCTAATAGTTATGCAATTTTCCTAAAGATATAATTACTTTTTGCATATGTTCCCATTATTATTATAAGCTATCTCTAGGTATGCAAACATTGTCTAGTCTTTATTCCTAAGCACCAAAGAATCAGTACATGCTTTTGTAAAATAAATAGGTCATGCTACTTATTATATGAGATAGTTCAAGCCTGGAGGGAGATCTCCAATATGAACCTGTTTAGCATTATATGAGGTACAGGTGGACTGAACTTGCCCTGCTTAGAGAAAAGATCATGTCATTTGGCCTTGGCCCACTGAACCACTCAGTAAAGTCTTTTGCATTATGCTTAAATTACTCTTTAGAAAATGGGGATAATAAGAGCACTCACTTCATAGAGTTGTTATGAGGTTTTTGAGTAAAACATAATGTAAAAACAACAATGTTAACATAGTAAGTCTATGTAAGCACCTGCTAAATGATAAAACATCTTGATGAGAAAGACTGAACAGTAAGGTATGGCACATTTTTCAATTCTTAGCTCTTAAGTGAGGATGTAATCCCTAGTGAACTTTTGTAAAATTAGATTTCACCCAGTCTACATCACCCACAATCAAACTTGCTGAAATGTCTTGAAGCATAAGGGTCTCCTGTCCACACTAGCGTCCCAAGGTTATGTGGAAAAAACAAATATTACGTCTTATGGAATACAACAAAGGCAGTTCATTTCTGTCAACCTATCTCCTTTACCCCTGGGGTCCCCAGCCCCCAGGCCACAGACAGGTACAGGTACATGGCCTGTTAAGAACTAGGTTGCACAGCAAGCAGGAAGTAAGCAGTGGGTAAGCATTACCACCTGAGCTCCACCTTCTGTCAGATCAGCAGCACCATGAGATTCTCACAGGAGTGCAAACTATTGTGAACTGCCTATTCCAGGGACCTAAGTTGCCCACTCCTTATGAGAATCCAATGCCTGATGATCTAAAGTGGAACAGTTTCATCCCAAAACCATTCTCCCCACCCCTATCATCTGCAGAAAATTTGTTTTCCATGAAACCAGTTCCTGGTGCCAAAAAGGTTGGGGACTACTGCCTTACCTCACAAAAAATTCTTCTGGTAGAGAGTCCATGCTGCACAAGGTTTCTTTACAAAAGTCTTACTCCACTGCTTGCAAACTGACTTTAAATACTGCCCTTTAGTGCTGTAAGGAAAATAATATTTTTATAAAGGTAGGAAAGTTACACTCTCCCCACTATTAAAACAGAACATGACCATCTGAAAAAAATTTGAAACATCTCTAAAAGAAGAAAATAAATCACATAGTTTCACCACCTAAACATAATCACTACCCATCCTTTAATATGCTTATTTTTTACCAAGCATAGGTATATTTTACCAATTTGTAATCATATTAAATAGAAGATGTTCTACCCCACCTTTTTCAATACTGAGTGTTATAGCAAAAGAATCTTTCATGTTATTTTATCCTCCTAGTAAACATTCTTAAAGGCTATACAATAGCTGGTTGATTGGGATTTCCTTGGCCATTTCCTTATAGTTGGACATTTAATTTTCCATTTTTTCTATTAGAAATAGTTCCATGATAAACTCCATTGTCCACAAAGCTTTTTCCATATTTATGATTCTTTATAATAAATTCTCAAAAGTAAAATTAATATATCAAAAGACATAAACATTTCATTGTTAAATGGCTTCCCAAAAGGTTTTTACTAATTTATTTCCCACAGAGGTATATATGACTTCCTGTTTAACACAATCTTTTATGACAGCACTGTTTTGTTTTCTTTTAGTCTACAAATAAGATGTAGTTACTTTTTCCCCCAAATCATGATTCTACGTCTCCATAAAATAGGAGACACAGGGTGTAAAGAACACTGGCACAATATCTCATTCAAATATCAACTGATGTTGTGGATATTTCCTGAAAGAAAAATAATGCTGAGGCAATACAAATGAAAACAAAGGGACTAGAGTATCATAAGTATGTATATTTATTTATATAGCTATATATTCCAAGAACAACTCTTCTAAAACTGGTCCTATTTTATCTCCTTACTGAGAGTTGAAGCCTGTAGACTCCAGTGCTTTGTGCTAGGCTGGCTTCCTTTTCTGATCCTACCCTAAGCTCAGAAAGTGTTAAATCACATGTAAAACTATTGCTATATGCTCTGGGCAAAAGAAGGAATAGAGGAAATAGAAAAGAAAGTGGCAGCAATAGCATAAATGAAACAGACATGGATTGCCTTGGTGCCAAGCACAAGGCTGGATGACGTTTCTCATTTATTGTTCCTGAACTGCTTATATATCTCAGTAATTGAGTAGCCATTTCTGTAACAGTATATTTAATACAATTCCATAAATTAGGTTGGTACATCTTTTCTAGGCCCATTACTAAAAGGTAATATCAGCATAGGGTAATTCCCAAATCAATAAAGTATATTCCACAAGATCACTATAAGTCATCTATTAAGAATTCAGATTGTATTTACTCAAATAAACATTGTTTTAATGATATCCTGTTCCTCCCCCTCCCCCCGCCAAGAAAGCAATTTACCGTAGACAGTAAGAAGTAACTGCAGGACCTGAATCTATCAATAAACCTTGAAGTCTGTATATCTTTTCAGTAAGCTTAGAACAAGGGAGGGGGCAACTCAGCCCTGGTATGAGGGCTAAAACAAGTTCTGTGGAGATCATCTGTAAAACAAGCATTCCTAATTATGATACTACATACCAATAATCTACATTTGACTCACACCTACTCTAAGTAACACAGGAAGTCTTGGAGAGACAAGAATAATTCTCCAACAATTTGCTACTGATATCTTAATCAAAACACAAAATTACACATACACACACACACACACAGAGAGAGAGAGAGAGAGAGAGAGAGAGAGAGAGAGAGAGAATTTCCTTCTAAATTTCATTTAAAAGAGAGCTTTCTTCTAGTAGCTCTTAATTTCTTGTTCTTCCCCAACAAAAACGCTTCACTTCACTGCTGTCAGTATTACAACTTGCCTACATAGAATGAAGAGTTCTCCTAGATAATTACTTTATTTTATAGTTTTATTCTTATTTCAAAAATTCAGTAAGTAATATTTTAATTTGTATTCTCTGTTCAAATACTGATGAAAGACACAAACTGCAGCTAATAACGAAGCAGAGAGGTTGAATAAACCTTGTCATTCACATTAGGTCAGATCTGCTTCATCTCGTTAATAAAGCTGTATAGAAAAGGACATAGCTTTGAGGATTTTAGGATTGTGATCAAGCTATTTTTATAGTTTGGTTTCTATAAATCTCCCTGTTATTTTAATAAAAAGTAACAACAGTTAAGGCATTATTTCATAGCTACAGAATACAAATGTATGCCTTTTCCAGACAAAACAATCCCCTCATTTCCAGAATTTATAAAAGCTCAGACTTGGAGACCTCTCCCTCTGCTAAGCTCTTCTTTGGCCAGTAGATGTTTGCATAGATCACAGCAAGGATGAAAAGAAGGGAGGAAAATCCTCTGGTTACAAGATAGAGAGAAGGCCTCTGCTAAGCTGTTCAGTGTTCAGCTTGAAAAAGAAATGGGTGGAAAATTAATAAATCAAAAAGATATTTGGATCCTGAATTAACAGAGTTAAGAAAGGCTAATGGCTTTTTCAGCCTGCTCAAAATACAACCTGAAATGAATCTCTGTGATGAAAGGTTTTCCAGGAGAGAGAATCATCAATCTCATCATTTCCCAGGAGCTAAGCAGGTATGTGTGGCAAACACTACCGGCAACAGCAACAGCAATAGCACTTGACAGCCTCTGTTGGGGAGAAAGGCGAAGTGCCTAGCAACCGAAAGGAAGTAGCCAGCCTGAAACGTTACCACTGTGCTGCTAAAATAATCCAAAGGTTTTTACCATTCTAGAAGAGGTTGCAGGAAACCTTTTAAGTCAGGGTTAACATGGCGGGGGGAGGGGGGGTGGTGGGAGGTAAATCTAGTTTCCCCTAGTGTATTCATTTCAATAGACTTTCCCTGTCAGCAGGAAACAATATTTACTCTTACTACCTGGGATTAAGAGACTGCTTTCCTGCAGGAACCCAGGTTCTTGTTGGTTGATCTGAGGGCAAGCTAAAGTTCAACATCAATTTATAGCACACCTATATCCACTAACCAAGATGATCTTATTTGTAGGCTGTGTTTTACTGGTTGAAAAATAAGGTATTGCCATCCATATCTTAATTATATGCCTTTCTTACTGTTCCTTCTACCTGAGCTCTCACCTTCTACTTTCTCTCACACTTACTGAAATTTTAACAATATTTTTTAGTTGTAAAGGTATTTTGTTTCAATTTTTAAAGCTGAGTATATTCACATCAAAGCAGGCACAGTTTTTATTTATAATTTTTAAATAATCTACTTAAACATTTAACTTGTGTTACTGTCACCTTCCTAACCTGTATATAGTCACATTTTTATTAAAATCCACTCAAATGTTCATCCTGACTAAAATGTTACCGAAATACCAAGGGTTCAGTCTAGATCCTACTGCTGGCCGCCTGGAAAGCTAATAGCTGAAACAACACATTTTGCCAAGGAAGAAGGCTTTAATTGGAGAGATGTGAGCTCAGTCTCAAATTCATCTACCTGACTAAAATTAGGGGTTTATATAGCAGGAAAAAATATAACGATGCACAAAAAAACAATAACTAGGAAGGGGCAAGGAGGCATCTGGTACAGTGATCTGGTAAGTTTCAGTTCTTGGATATTTTTTTGAGAGGCCTGAAGATCCTTTCCTGAGGAAAGAACTCAAATAAATAAAAGTCTGAAGCTTTAACAAAGGAAGGATCAATTTCTATGTATATCCAAAAACAATTGTCTATGGCACTACTGGATTATTTCAAAAATACCTGACCAAGATAGAGACTCTAATATACCAACAAGTTCACATTTCAACGTGTGGGTGGATGTCCCATGAATTTTCCTCCTTTGTCAACTCTAGCACTTACAGACTACCCAATGACAGGAGAAAAAAAAAGAGTATTAGTGTGGAAAACAACAAAAATAAAGTTCAATACTTTTCTCCATGCTACTAATTTAAAACAAAGTAATATATTTTGTATTTTTCAGGAAAGGAATTCAGTTATTAAGAACTTTTCCTCTGCCCACAAAATCAGGGTCTCTCAATTTTGGAACTACTGACATTCAGGTTTGGATAATCCTGTTACGGGAAGTTGTCATATGCATTTTTTAGGACATTTCACAGCACCCCCTAGCCTCTGTCCACCAGATGCCAGAGGCAGCTCCCTGCTAACACACACACTCCAACACATCCATACACATCAGCCCCATTGTGGCAATCAACAATATCTCCAGATATTGTCAAATACCCCTTGGGGCATAAAATTACTTTCCATTGAGAACCATTCAGTTAGATGAACAAGTTAAGATTAAGAAGCTTAATTGAGTGGACACAGAGATTGTTTTGGGGAAGAAAAATAAGACCGTGCTGACATTATACATGTACAAACACAAACAAACTTATGTCTACAAGAAAGCAAAATGACATAAAGTATCTACATTTCCATTAATGTCAACATTAAGTTGAGAGACTGCATAGTAGTTTAGGAGCACAGAAACCCTGTATCACTCTGTAAGGGTATCATTTGACACACACACTGCTTTGACACATACTAGCTAGCTGTGTGATTTTATGTGAAATTAATAAACATTCTCTGTGCTTCAGCTTGCTTATCTAAAACATAGGAATGACAGTACCTCCTCTTTCATAGGGTTGTGAAGATTAAATGCTTAAAACACAGAATAGAATAGTACCTGGCACTTAGTAAGCACTCTATAAGTGTTCCTATCAACAGCATTTTCATAACCATAATCATAATCATCATCATTTAACTGTTTAGGTTTGTAGCAAAATTAATTAACTTGTCTGTGAAGGAGAAATGCTATTGATGAAAAGGAATGTTAATGAGATTTAAGAAATGGGATAAGAAAAATTATTTTTCAAATATATCACACATGACACCATGACACAAAAGACAGCATAATGTGTGCATACTATTCAGTACCTTCCATTTTTCACACCACCACATATACATCTACTTTAGTCTTTAAACTGCATAATAGGCCAATGTATGAATATATCATTTTACCAGTGTATGATCATGTCATTTTACCAGACCATTGATAAAAACTTCAGCTGTCTCTGGGTTTGACTTTTTTTTTAAAATTGTTATTACAAACAATGCTGCAATACCACCACCTTGAACATGCAACTTAGTTAAAATTTTGAGAGCTATTTTGAAAAGCTGGATTTCCTACCTCAACATTGAATTAAATGTACTCCAGAAGATCATGGGTCTGTTAACAAGCAGGCTCTGATACTGCTAGTTATCATTTCTGCTAAATTTTACCAGAAGAACTCCAAAAAACTCCCTAAAGTTGAAACGTAAGATGCCATGGTCACTTCAAGCCTTAAAAAAAAACTTGAAGGAAACACTTTCAAGAATGTGGCAGGATATTTTGTGATAGGAATTCCTTGGAATCAGAATTTTAACTATTGTTGATCCGGGTATGTCTGCTAAATTAGCAGGGACCTAATTTATCTCCCAAAGGCCCCACCTCCTAATACTATCACATTGGGGGCTAGGTTTCAACACTGAACAAGGGGGAACGCATTCAGTCCAATTAAGCAGGTGTTCTGAGTTTACAGAACTAGGAAAGTCTTTATTTCTCATGTTAGTGAACTCTGTGTAGACAAAAATGGCTGAGGCCATTAGGTTAGACCCAAAAGAATAACAAGTTGCACCATTACTTTGTATTAGCAGTAATCAGAATAAACAAAATATACAGACTATTTGGTTTTATAATTTACTATTAATTTCTCCAGTTTTGAATTTGTTTAACTTCCTGGTAAAGCTACAAAATAAAAACATCTAGACACGAGTAGCTAAAATATTATTTGCCCCAAATAATAAATATACAGTTTGCTTAGTCAAACTCCCAAACCGATGGATGGTAGTGGAAAAATCTTTGCAAAAGTTGCCAGAAACTGGAAGATATTTTCTGTCCCAAAAGATCACTGTTCATCTTAGCTCTTGCCACTTTGCAAAGATCATTGTTAGCAATAGGCCTGCTTAAACTGGGAAACAAGAGCCTTGTAATGTACATGCACCACCTCTTGTTTCAAATAAGCCAACATAGGAAACAACTTTTCCTAAAGCAAAATTAACATCTTGTCTTAAGCAGGTTTTAAATTCTATTCAGAGCTATTCAGTTAGTTACTTGTGGACTTACACAGGTAAACCTACAGTATATACATATTGTTTTGAATAGTTGGAATGTAGCTACAATGAATATGCACAGGTTAGGATTTACCTGAAAAACCATCCAGATACTAAACAAGCCATTCATTTCAAATATTTACAGATAGCACTGCTAAAATCAAACTCTTCAGAAATGTAGCTAGAAACCACTGGAAGAACCATATGCTCCCCTTAAGCACATATACCAAAGGTAGAATATTTTCAGCAATTTAAAAATATTATATTGTCATTACAGCTGTTAGACAATAATGAGAAAAGAAGGGAAAATCCTGAGACATAACACATGCAGATATGGTGATCAACCAGGGAATACAAAATACTTCTTTCATGTACTTGGCTCTACCACCACCAATGAAAGCCTGCCCTATCCACCTCCAACTTGCTCCACACGTGTAAGAAAACCGGCAGCTCACTGTTATCTCAGAAAGGCATACATATGTAGGAAGGGTATAGTAAGAAGACAGAGCAAGCTTTTGGAAAATTAACTGAGTGTATAACCTAAGGTTGCATTGAAAATAAACTTAATTTTCATCAGCTCCTATGTGCCACGCTCCAAGCTATGTACATTGAATAAACATCTGATCTTTACACAACTCTGGAAGATAAACATTAATCAGTTTCAAAAATTAAGAAACTGAGGCTTAGAGAGTTCTCATAGGTAATAAATCAGTAAGAGCAGAAATTCATGCCCAAATTTTAGCACCTGCAATTCCATTTTCTTCCAAGCCCCATTACTTCTTGTGCAATATTTAATTTTGTATTAGCTTGATATACAATTATGAGCTGGACTAGATAATATGCACATGCACATACTCAGAAACAAAACCATTTACACATCTTATTAGTCTATAAATAATACTGTAAAAGTTATGCCACCTTAATATTTCATAGTCACTAGTCACATTAGTTTGTGCTAAGAGTTTTTCTATTCAATAAAACAATTCAGATACTATACATAGTACTGAAATAATGAAATGGACAATAGTTCATGCCTGACTAAATGATCTCTCAAAGTTAAAGATTTTTAAAAATGAAGTCTCTAAACTTTTTTGATCACATATCCCTAAAACGGTAAAAGATCTGAGAATATGCTGAAATATAAGAAAATATAAGAAAATCAATTCACTTATAAATTACATGTGGGCCTAATCATTATAACATAAAAAAGAATGAGATAAAAGCCAGGGAAAAAAGCTTTAATACTTGTTCCCACATTTCAAGAGACAGTTTCACACATCTCCTGAGGTGCACATACTATACTTTGGACACCACTGTCTTGGAAAACAGCTTCACATTTTAATTCAGGAAATAGATATCCACCCATTTCATAAGTCTAATAGTATTCATTTTCTGAAAGACTAGAAATTTATAAGTGAAATAAGTAAAGACCCATGCTCTGCATCAAAGAGATAGGTCTTCAAGAAATAGTAGTTACCAGGATTATTGTACCTTAACTTAAAAGTATACCACTGTCATCTTTACTTATACTCAACACTGGATTCAGAAACAATGGATAGTACTTGTGTTTAAAAAAAAAGACAAGGCAACATTCTTATTCTGGGATAGATGTGATTAGATGTGTGAGATGTGGGATAAGATGTGAAAATGGGGGAGGGAAAAATATATATCCAAATTATTCAAACCTTGTACTCTTAACCTAAAGTTGAATGCTGTGAAATGTATAGAAAGAAAAATCAGAAAATGTTTGAAAAGTGAAAGTTAACTTTATGGTTTGACAAATCATTTAGAGTTTAGCTGAACTGTAATACTTGATACTTGTGAAAGAAAATAGGAAGAGTAATTGCGAAAGGAGAATTAATTTTTTTTTTTAGATTTTCTGGCTTTGTGATAAAGGTAACATTTCTGAAAAATGGGAGTTGACACCTATCATACACTTAGTTTCCTGACTCTGCATGAGGGGTACAATCAGATTAATATTAGTATTAGATTTGTTTTAGCTATATGGGGCACATAGTTATCTAAATGACCCCATGCCTAGACCTCTGCCAATTTTCTATGCAGAATTTCTCTAACTTCTTGCTTTGGAAACTGGACCAATGAAACTTTTGTTCTACCAGCTGTTTATGTCTACTGAATAATCCCCTGGTTTTAGATTTGGCTTGATGTCCCCACTAGAATGTAAGCCTCATGAAATTAGGAAAACTTTGTTTTCATTCCTCGGTGCCTAGAATAGCACCTGGCACACATTAAGCACTCAATATTGCTTTTAAAAATGAAGTCACCCACCCTTCTGGACACATCAAGGCCTCTGAAGGCAGATGTAAAGAGGGAGCCTATGTGTACAGGGTCCCTGTACATTGTAACAGCCTTCTCAGCCAACCTAAAGTTCTTGTTAGAGAGGCAGCTCATATGCTACAGTAAAACTGGTTCCTGTAGACAAACAAGGGGTCAAGACAAAATCTGTGTTTTCTTGCAGTTACTTCTGTCTCCTTTGCCAGTTTCTCCACATTTCTCCAACTTCTAAATACTTAACTACCTTGAAGTTCAGTCCTAAAATGCCTTTTCTAACCATACTCACTCCTATTATCATTTAGTCTCAAGGTTTTAAATTTCTATCTCCAACCTTGACCTCTCCTTTAACTATCAATAATCCAATAGCCTAGTCAACCTCTCTTGGAACTCTGACATCACAACATAACCTAAACAGAAATCCAGATATCTGCCCCTACCCACAAAAAGGCAGAAGCAGAGCCACCCAGTCAAATAAGGCCTGGATCAGACAAACTGCTATCAACCACAAATCTGTAGGCAAGAAATAAATGCTCATGGTCTTAACTACTGTGTTTTGAGGTGATTTGTTACTTGGGAAATATCAATTAACACTCCACCCTATCTAAAATTTTAATACCTTATCCCGACTTTGATAATTCCTATTCCTCTTCCCTTTTTTCACTCCCTAACACTTACTACTATCATTCATGTAATTTTACTTATATGTTTTATTGTCTATATCCCTCATTACAAGAAAACAACTTGGACAGAAATTTTTGCCTATTTGATTCATTGATGTATCCCCCAAACTTAGAAATGGACCTAGCATCAAGTCATCATTAAATATTCAGGAGATGAATGAATGAACAATTAGCCCTGTGTTCACACCCCTGGTATAATTTCCATATTACAATACTTGGTATTCTGTAAACTCTGCAGTTCTGTCAAAACTATAATTCGAGTCTTCATTCAGTCTAATTCATCTACTATTACTTAAACCCTGGTTACTAGAGATTAAATATTCAGGACAGAAGACAATATGTTCTTTCTAGATTTTTCCAGAAGAAATAAAGGACCTAGACAGCCCTAAATTTGAGTTACAAGATCCTGAGCAAGTGTTACTACCATTAGGTGTGTTTCTGAAACTATAAATTATGGTAAATATCTATGCAAAATCTAAAGGACAGACAGTAATAAAAATTTACAGGTGGATGTGGTGGCTCATGCCCGTAATCCCAGCACTTTGGAAGGCTGAGGCAGGACTGCTTGAGGCTAGGAGTTTGAGTCTAGCCTGGGCAACAGAGCGAGACCCTGTCTCTACAAAAAATTTAATAATTAGGCAGGTATGGTTCTGCATGCCTATAGTCCCAGCTATTCAGAGGCTAAAGTGAGGAGTGCTTGAGCCCAGGAGCTGGAGGCTGCAATAAACTATTAATCATGCCACTGCACTCCAGTCTGGGCAATGAAGTGAAATGCTGTCTCCCCTCCACCTCCCCCGCCACACACACAAAAAATTCACAAAGAGGAATTTTATGCCAATCTTTGAAGAATGAAGGAATTGTATACTTAATATTTTACCCTAAAAAATATCATGTATTCCCACAGTATTCTATTTCTCTTAATACTACTTATTCTGGTTTGTCTGTTTCACCAACAGAATCTAACCACTTTGGAAAAGAACTGACATTCAATAAACATTTGATGAATAAATCACTGTTAGCATTTTAAAAACGTATTTACCTGACTGGTTAAAATTATTATACATATTTTAAGTAAAATGCAGATGTTAACTTTAGCTATTGACTTTTTTAAAGTTTCTGAAATATTAGCCTTTACTTTCTGCTGTGAAGACACAAAACAAAACCAAAATATAAAATTTGTGACATAAAATAAATAATTTTTATTTAAAAATATAGTAAAGAATGCAGCCATAAAAAATGAAACCATGTCCTTTTCAGGAACATGCATGGAATTGAAGGTCATTATCCTTAGGAAATTAATGCAAGAAAATCAAATACTGCATGTTCTCACTCATAAATGGGAGCTAAATGATAAGAACACATGAACACATACAGAACACCACACACTGGGCATTATCGGAGGGCAGAGGGTAGGAACAAGGAGAGAAATGGGAAAAGTAACTAATGGTTACTAGGCTTAAAACCTAGGTGATGAAATAATCTGTACAACAAACCTCCATGACACAAGTTTACCTATATAACAAAGCTGCACATGTACCTAAAACCCCTGGAAAGCCCAACTAAGAAAAAAATATAGATTACATTAAAATGAAAATGGAAATTTAAAACTACTATGAGATTAAGAGAATTACTGGGATACTGAATGCAACTTTTTATCAGTAAATTTTTAATCTAGAGAAACAATTGTTTATACTAAAAACCTTCTATATCTAAAATTAAGGAAAGATAGAATAAATGATCAGATCTATAACTATATTAGAAACTCAAGGTCAGGCATGGTAGCTCATTCCTATAATCCCAGCAGTTTAAGAAGCTGGGGCAGGCGGATCACTTGAGACCAGGAGTTAGAGAGCAGCCTGGGAAACATGGTGAAACCACATCTGTACAGAAAATATAAAAATCAGCCAGGCATGGTGGGGCATGCCTGTGGTCCCAGGGAGGATGAGGCGGGAGGATAAACTGAGCCCAGGGAGGTCAAGGCTGCGAACCATGCGAACCATGATCACACCACTGCACTCTATCCTGGGAAATAAAGTGAAACCCCATCTCAAAAACAAACAAACAAACAAATAAATAAATAAATAAACAAAAATAAAAACACCAAGAAAAATTCAAATATTTTCTAAATTTCTACCATCTACCACTAAATAAGCTATCAAGCTTAATGATTTTACAGGCAAACTGTGTACAGCCTACAAGAATCAGATAATTTCTATGATTCTTATTATCCCATAGGATAAAAAAAGATGAAACATTTTCAATTTATTTTTCAAAGGAAACATATAACCCAAATTTGATGTGGGGATAAAGAAAAACATTACTGAAAATGTTCACTTATGAACAGGTATATCTATAATAAAATCCTGAATAAAAATACCAGCAAATCAAAACCTGAAGCAGAGAAAACATAGGATTGTTACTACTGTCTTTGTGACCTTGAGCAAATTACTTCCTCCTCTTCTGTCTTAAGTTTTTCATCTGTAGAATGGAGATCATAATAATACTTTCAGCATGTGGTTATTATAAAGATTAGATAGGTAAGTAGAAAGTCCTTAGAATGGTGCTTGGCACATGGCAAATGCTCAGTAAGTATAAACTATTCTTATCCCAAGAACCAAAAGGCAACATAATCCACTGTGTTATAATTTTAAAGTGAAAAATAAAATATATAAATGTGAAAACTGGATAATTTTTGGCAGACATTTTTTAGAATGAAACAGATATAAAGGCCAAGCTCTTAAACATGATGAGTATCAAAAGCCAATAGCACAAATTATACCAAGTGTTAAAACACTTTTCATTCTGATTAAATTAAGTAATATTCATTCTGATTGAATTAAGTAATATAACAAAGCTGTTCAAAGTTAACATGACTTTCCATATTTTGGAGCTTACACTAATGCAATAATGTAAAACAACAAATACTGGAAGAGATAAAGCAATTATTTGCAGATGATATACAGGTAGAACATCTACATAAACCAATCTCTATTAGGATAAACGTAATGAGAAATAAACATAATGACAATGGAACAAGGTGGTATGACAAACTATATAAAATTTCATTGAAAATAAAATATACCCTGACTACTTTCTTACTTTTTTTTTTTTTGAGACAGGGTCTCCCTCCTGCTGCCCATGTTGCCCAGGCTGGAGTGCAGTGGGGCAACCATGGCTCACCACAGCCTTGCCTTCCCAGGTTCAAGTGTTCCTCTCACGACGCTCCTGAGTAGCTAGGACTATAGGCATGCACCTCCCACACCCGGCTAATTTTTTGTATTTTTAGTACAGATGGGGTTTCACCATATTGTCCAAGCTGGTCTTAAACTCCTGAGCTCAAGAGATCCTCCTGCCTTAGCCTTCCAAAGTGCTGGGATAATAGGCATGAGCCACCATGCCTGGCATACCTTTAATATTTTCTATTAGCTAACTCAGTGGTATCTGTATTTTCTCATTCATACAACCTAAAAACTTAGAATATCTGCTAGACTCATCCCTCTCTTCACTCCTCACATCCACTATCAGTCACCAAATCCTACCTGTTTTACCTCATATATATTTCTCAAATTCATCATCTCTTTTCTATCTCCACCTTAATTATCCTGGTTATGCTTTAGAAGGCTCCAGAAAATGAGTCTCCCTCTTTCCAGTCTTATCCTCCCCCAAATCACAGTTCATTCAGCTGCCAGAGTAATCAAGCTAAAAACAAACCTGACTAGACCAGGTGCCAGTTTAAAACCACAGATTGCCAGTAACTTCAGAATGGAGTCCAAGTTTAAGGCTAATAAGGCCTTTGATCATCTGGACCCCGACTCATCTCTCTCTTTTTTTTTTTTTTTGGACAGGGTCTCAGTCTGCCAGGCCATAGTGCAATGGCACAATCGCAGCTCACTGCAGCCTCAAGCGATCCCCCCACCTGAGCCTCCAGAGTAGCCAGGACTACAAGTGAGCACCAGCATGCCCAGCTAATTTTTTCATTTTTTTGTAGGGATGGGGTTTCATTGAATATGTTGCCGAGGCTGGTCTCCAACTCCTGGGTTCAAGATCCTCCTGCCTTAGCCTCCTAAAAAGCTGGAAATTAAAGGCGTGAGCCACTGCTCCTGGCCTTCTCTTCCTTTTCTTCCCCCTTTTTGAAATCTAAGGGTATGGACTGGCGTTTCTCAAATTAGGATATACAAGTATCTCTCATTAAAAACGTCAAGACTTAACCACAGGTAGAAACGATACATCTTACCAAACTTACAACATCAATTTTGGTGAAGACTTTTTTAGAAAGACACTTGATATTAAATACAGAAGAGAATGCAAAATTTGTTTGACTGCTTAAGTTAAAATCCAACAAAGATGGCACTGATAGCAGGCAGCTTTGAGCGTTACCTTGGGGCGCTGAATGGGAATGATGCTGACACACCTGTCATTACAGATGAAAAGTCTGTTAGACTTTTAGTTTGATAACAGTATCAAACTCTGATTATTTCATTTGCCAATGCGCCACTGACTGTAACACTGAGAACTTAAATACGCCAGATGACAGCTGACACTTTACATCGATTAATTCATTTTTTAACCATCTCCCAAAGCCGTATAGGACCTCATCTCTACTCCTCCTCATTCTTTCTACATTAGCCACATTGCATCCTTGCTGTTCCTGGCACACGGTAACCCACTTTAGGGTCTTGCTTTGCCATTTCCTCTAATAACCTTTTCCCCTAAAATACGGCTCCCTTTCTCAACTCCTTGAAGCACTTCCCCAAATGTTGCCTTCTTAATGAGGTCTATTCTGACCTTCCCATTCCCTTATCAATTACCAGCATGATTCTAGAGTAATAACGTCTGTTTGTCTCTTTATATAATTTTTCTTACTTACTGTGTTTACTTGGTTCCCTACCAGAATGTAAGTTGCATGCCAGTAGTATTCTTGTTTATTCAGTGAGTCTACTGTGTCTAGAAAAGTGTTTAGCGCATTGTAGACTCTCAATGAATTACTTTTTGAACAGTCCTATGAAACAGGTATTTCTCTTGGCCAGATTTTACCTTATGATGAGTCTGAAGCAGTGATGAGAACCTGCCTAGAGTCATATCGTCGAAGGTAGAGCTAGAATCTACAAGCAGCCTGGCTCTCTACTCTTTACCATTACTGCATGGTGCCTCTCATTTATGTCGTGAATTTCTAAAGTATTATCCATTTTGTATGTTTCCCTTACTAGACAGTTACCTCGCAGCAGGGGATACTTCCTCATCTCTGTTCTGTGACTGACAATTTCTAACCCAAGTTACATGCTCTACAGTTGTTTACGGAATGAATGAAAGCATGAATGAACACATAAGCTGCCCAAAGATTTTTTACATGAATGTCCCAACTGGTTAAATCATTTTATTCTTTCAGATTTAGTTTTAAACTTTTATAAAAACAAAAACGAAACACCAAACCTGTCTTCAAAAATCTGGGAATTCAAAAAATGTTTTTTGAAGTGAAAAAACATGATTTCTGATAAATGACTTAATTAAATGGAAATGTACGCTATTCTTAAAATTTCTGCACCCTGGTTTT